AAACAGGAAGCAAAGCCGACACAGCATTCTGGGGCACGGAGGCAGAGGCTTCTCGACCTATCACGGCCGAGCCTGAACCACAAAGCATTATGGGAAACGCAAAAAAACACCAGCAACCACAACCAGACCACGCATCGAGTCCATGGATCTATAGGTTGCGTCGTGCGTGATTTAATTTATATAAAATACTACTACGGAATGGAAAATGTGGGTTTTGGATGAACCAAGTTTTCCCCATTGTAAAACATACGGATTAACATTGGATGGAGCTGAAGTTGCCTGAATGATGGTTGCTTATTTTTCTCGCTAGACGCTGAATTTTTGCATTTTTAAGCCCAGGACTCGCTTGACAAAGAGGTTCTTAATCTCATTGGGTCTTTCCTTGTTTAAAGTAAACAAATAATAATCAGTATCTTCTCCAATGATTGAAAAAAAAAAAGTCAATTGGAACGATTGGAAAAACCGCTAAATCCTTTGACAAATCCACAACAGTAAAAGTTATTCATCTCTGTGGAGAATAGACTGAAGTAAACCTGATGTCCCACCTTCACACACTGTGGCTTTAAACCTTCTTGTTGATCTTGTCCACATAACTTTGTGCATACGTCTTGTAGTGCCCTAGAACGCTGCTTTAACCCCCTCTCCGCTTCTGTTTACCCGCCGTACTTCTGTTATAAATATAAAGTGGGCCGGACACAATAGCTCCGAGCGTCTCCACGGGGCCATGTGAAACTCAGCCCAAAATAACACCAGAAACCAACTGGAGACTGTTTGTTGAACTTGGGATCTCTACCTTTCTGTGTAAACTATTGTAAAAAGGGAAAAGGCTGTGGGTTTGCAGATAAGATCAAATATATACATGACAAGACGGATCTCTGGAGGAAGGACAGATGCAGTGGTTAGGGCTAGGAACGCACACACACCCAAGTCAATAACTAGGCAGCTGAAAACTAGTGTTACATGAGAGGGATGGATGGGCAGGAGGCAAAGGCGAGTACTGGAAATACTTTGGCGCTTTTGGGGGAGCGTCTTCCTGGAATTCAGAGGATCCGAAGCGTCAGCCTGGTTCACACAAACACAGACTTGGATCGGTCCACTGTCAGATACCTCACATTCACAGAAAACTATCACAGGCTCTTCCAATGTTTTGGGAGTTACTATGGGATCGTGTCAATAAGACAAAATGGAGGATGTTCAGGAGATTTCTGAATAACAACCAAATGCTGAGTAGCACTGGAGAAAGGTCAAGGTTTATCAATAAGAAGAAGGTCCTTTTTTCATCCCACAATGGGGACATTTCAGTTTGATGCATATACATACACATACACACATATACACACATATACACATACACATATCAAGGCAAGCAGAAAACATCACTTCCACGCTCCTTGTAGGCAAAGTTGGTTAAGTATCTTGCCCAAGGATACAACGACGGCAGACATCAGTGGAGTTGGTGGAGAAGGTCTCATGGTGGGCTCGAACCCACGACCTTCGGGCCCAATGCTCTACCAACTGAGCCACTGTCGCCCCGACCAAGATTAACCAAGAAGATTCTGGTCCCGTCCTGGACCAATCCTGGTCCTCGTTTAAACTGGGCTACTCCTGATTTTTTTCTATTCTGCATTTTTAGGTCTGTCAGTTCCTGAACATATTTTTATATTAAGCATACTTTAAACATATAGTGAGGTCTAAGTTACATTCTTAGATTTTTTGGTTGGGTTTTTGGTAGTAAATATTTATAGCTGTTTTAAACCATTCCATTTGACTCTAGGGGTGAGCGTTAGGGTTTGCATTAGCGATAGGGTTTAGGTTAAGTCTTAAATATCCATTGTCCTCCATTGTGTTTTCTGTTGCGGGTCCCGAGGATCAGTCTGGGCTGAGACACCCGGACTTCTTTATACACACACTGTCATGAAGTCTTTAACATTTCAGTTTGTTACACAGCCTCAGCGTCCTACACTTCACAAAACATTATTTTCCTGTAAATTAGTTTGCACATTGTTGACGTGACACACAGTTAAACCGCTCTTATCACGACCGTAGCTCTTTCTCTGTTCTAAGTTTCCCTCAGACCAAAAGGCGTAGACCCAGAGCAGCACTCAGGCCTCCACTCACTCTGAGCTCCACAAGTGCCTGGAGCTGAACGTTACAGGTCCCTTTGAAACGCCGCGTGGAAACCATGATGGGGATTAGCGTGTGCACATGGCTCTGGTTAGGACGGCTGTTGCGGCCGCGGCTGCCCCGGGCCCATTGTGGCGGCAGGATTACGGCCGGGGGAAAGGGCGTGATGCTCTGGACCAAACTGTCCCAGAGTCAACAGTGAGTCACGAGCAAAGCCACCACGGAACTGTCACGTCAAGAACAACCACTTCTGTGCTAAAAAAATAAATTCAAGTTTGGATTTTTCCGGAATATAAATGAGGAATGTTAATTTACTCATGAATGGGGATTAAATCGCACCATTGTGGTCGGGATCAGGGGCCGAGTGGAACAACACAGACCAACTTCCTATATTTACATAAACTGGACTCTGAGGTTTCTTTCATTCTGGAGACGACTTGTCCTCATTTTATAAAAACTATTTATAAAAACTTTCTACAAAAGCCAAGTTTGACTCCATCACGGCCTGTCCACTCTCTCACTAAAAACAAACGACCAACGCTGCAATTATGGAAGTCCTTTATGAACAAAAAAAAACAAGAATAAATCTCAATTTTTTCAAATTAAGGGAAAATAAATTTCATTAAAGATGCAGTCAGTTTTTTTTTTTCCAGACGCATTTTTTTAAATGTTGTGGAAAGACGTCCCTACACCCTAAAATTAGTCAAGTTATCATGTGTTTTTAAATAGTAATGGAATTGACCAGATGTTTATAGTCTACAAAAATGTATGAAGGAATAAAGGAATAATATGTAATTAAAGCCGCAAGCGGCGTCGAACGGCCCTCGCCGCACAGCGCAACTCCGTGCACCGCGCGCACCACCCCGTGCCACGCCGCCCCGCACCAAGCCACCCCGCACCAAGCCACCCCGCACCAAGCCACCCCGCACCAAGCCACCCCGCCCTACACCACGCAGTCCCGCATCACACCAAGCCGCAACGCGCCGCGCCGCTCCACAACGCCCCGCACTACGCCGCACCACACAGCATCGCTCAAAGGAGGTGCTGCCGCCGTGTGATGATTTGTTCCCGTAGCCATAGAAGATTGTTAGTCAAATTGTAATGAATATGATAAGTAGAGCTGGTTTGGCTCCCCATGTAAACTTTGCCTCAGTCTGTAGGGGGCGCTAATGGGCCAATTTCAAATATTTCACTTTCACCTGACCTAAACCCTGGAGTTGAACAATGGATTCAAGTTTAATGCAAATCAGACTTTGTATGTGCAAAAAGGAAAAAAATTAATGTTATCAAAAACTGCCAAAAAATACCTCACATTTTGCCGCTCCGCTGCTCAAGCAACGTTTCACTGATTAAAATTCCCTGAAGTCATTTTGAAGGTACATGTGTTGAGATAATTTGGAGCAATTTTGAGGCCAATCGGTGAAATGGCCGAGGAGGAGTCGCTTTCCAAGCAACATGTATGAAAATGATTGGTTTTCATTTTTCCATTTTGCTATGAAATTTATGGGCTTTCTGTTTGTCAGAAGGATTAGCCACAATAAAAAAATTTCCATGTCTTGACTTGAGGAACATGTGTACCAAATTACATGGTTCTACAACAAATTTGACCTCGAACCCCTCCCATAGGCGTTTTTAAATTGGCTGTTGTAGGTGGCGCTATAGAGCCAATTTCAAAATTTTAACTTTCAAATTACCTAGAACCAAGAGTTGAACCATGGATTCAAGTTTTGTGCAAATCGGAATTTGTATGTGCAAACGGGAGCAAATAGAAGGTTGTGAAAAACGGCCAATAAACACTCACATTTTGCCGCTCCGCTGCTCAAACAACGTTTCACTGATCAAAAATCCCTGAGGTCATTTTGAAGGTACATGTGTTGAGATGATGTGGAGTGATATGGAGGCCAATCGGTGAAACGGCCGAGGAGGATGCGCTTTCCAACCGACATGTATGAAAATGATTGCGGATAATTTTTCCATTTTGCAGTGAAATTTATGGGCCTCCTGTTTGTCAGAGGGCGGAGCCATGGTAACATTTTGGTCGTATCTTGACTTGAGGAACATTTGTACCGAATTTCATGGCTCTACGACAAACTTGACCTCTGAAACTCCCATTGGCTGTTGTAGGTGGCGCTGTTCTGGCATTTTTTGAGTCCCATAAAAATAAACACCAAAATATCAAATTTTTCACCAGGTCTGATGTTTGGGCAAAATTTTACAACTTTTCATGCATGTTCAGGGGGTGACATTAAGGCTCAAAGTGCAGAATTTGACATCTCTCGAGCAAAAACAATAGGCCCTTTCCCCGTTCGGGGCTCGGGCCTAAAAATGTGTCCAAAAGTGGTACTGCAGCCTCTCCCACTCTCCCTGACTCAGGTTGCCAGATATGCAGACGAATCCAGCTGGGACCATAACAGCTGAATAGACAAGAGTTTAGTCAACAACAAATCTATAACCAACACCTTTTTCACAAAGATAGAAATCCTGGTTTTATTCCTTGTTTTGTCATTAATGATTTAGAAATCCAAATATCTCTGAACTACTGTTATCAGTTAAAGAAGTATTGGAAAAGAGCAGGTTTTATTAATGCCTTTGGACAGATTGGGGCCATTTAATGATGACAGATTAGGGCCCTTTAATTATGACGGATTAGGGCCCTTTAACAAAGACAGAGTAGGGCCCTTTAACAAAGACAGATTAGGGCCCTTTAACAAAAACAGATTAGGGCCCTCTAATGATGATAGATTAGGGCCCTTTAATAACGACTGTAACTGAAAATCTCACATATTTGACCAAAACCAAGCGGCCCTAACCTCAACAATGATTAAAGTCTGTGTCTGTTGTAAACTTCTCAGAGTGGAAGGGATCGTTAATAATTACTATGTCGTCTTATCTGCTGCGACGGCGTGATTCAGAGCCACGCACTCGGCCGCTCCTCTCCCGCTGTGAGTCCACACCTTACAGGAAGTGATGTCATGAGCTTTGAAGACGCTCCGGCCAAAACAGAACCCTGTAGTTATCCGACCACGGAGTGTTGGTCGCACACCACCTACACAAACCACTGCCAAATGTATAGACAAACGCTGCTAAATTAAGCAACGCAACGGAGATGGGAGATTCCACTCACACTGAAGCTGCTGACTGCGCGGATCTTAAAAACACACGCTTACATCAACGGAAACATGTGATTATCTGTAAATTTAACTTGTAATTGTATAAGGGAGACTGGGGTTGGTTTTCATGATTTTTACTTAATGATTAGAAAATCTCCTTAAAGTCAGTTTTGAGAACAAACCGGATAGTTATGTGGTATTGTGAAAGGACATATATATGTTAGTAACTGTTATTATTATCATTAATATTTTTATTTTTTATTTTTTTTGTATTATTATTATTATTATTATTATTATATATATATATTTTAGTATCATTATCATTATTATTATTATTATTTTTTTTTTTGTATCATCATTATTATTATTATTATTATTATACATATATTTTTTAGTATCATTATTATTATTATTATTATTATTATTATTTAGTATCATTATTATTATTATTATTATTTTTTTTTAGTATCATTATCATTATTATTGTGTTTATTAGTAATTTGCACTTAGTAATTTGCACTTTTGTTAAACTGTATTTTAAGTGTATTTTAATATGTTTTTAAAAATACTTAAAACTAGCTTAAAAACTCACTACTCAGACTTTTTTCTCAAATAATATTACGAAGTATTTTAAAACTAGTAAAATAATCTCATGACAAAGCAAAAAAAAAATACATATAATTAAAATATAAATTATTTTTTGTGAATAAATCTTACTGAGATTTGACCTTTTTCAGTGTAAAACATGTTGGTAGATTAGTTTCACAGAAAAACATGGAGTTTTGAACAATGTTGTGTTTTACTCAGTAAATGTACTTACAGCCGTTCAGTAATAAAAACAAAAACAAAGGCCTACACAGATGCAAAGCCAGAACCAACACATGTGAATGATTTAGTTTTCCCCACGTGTAAACCAGACTCGTACGCCGCATATTTCCATTCTCCTTCATGTCGCAAATTAATTCTACAATAATTCCAACATCTCGGAGCTGTAAACGCCCGTCTGTTTTGTTTCCATATGATTTTATGTTTCTTTAACTTCAAGTTCACAACGTTTTTTCCTTGAATAGAACTCGGAATCTTTTAATCCCAGACCGTGCACTGCAAAAAGTGATGAAAAACACGTCCAAACAGGCTAAATGTGTCTTCGTTTGAGCACATTTTGACTGTCTTAAAACCAGATTTGCAATCTGGACAACGCAAAATAATATAAGTAAGTAATATTTATTTATATAGCGCCTTTCACAGACCAGAGTCACAAAGCAGTTTACAATTGTTATTTTTGCGCATTTATCTCCAACTCCACTCAGAGAGCAGGGTTGCCAGAACAGGAGGCGTAGTGACCTATGTTTTTAGTGGTGGGGGAAACGTCCCAACGTCACCATCTCTGAGCCTCCCTCACACAAGCCACTGCAGACATCATCTTCCTTATCTTCATCACCTCCAGACTCGATTAATGCGACTGCCTCCGTGCTTCGCCCACACCCGCTCCAGAGAACACATCACCCCCGTCCTGAGACCACTGCACTGGCTCCCTGTCCCATACCGTACACAGTACAAGGTCCTGCTTCTCACCGACAAGTCCCTCCATAACCTGCTCCTTCTTACCTGACTGACCTCCTCCATCAGCACTGACCTCCTCCATCAGCACTGACCTCCTCCATCAGCACTGACCTCCTCCATCACTGACCTCCTCCATCAGCACTGACCTCCTCCATCAGCACTGACCTCCTCCATCAGCACTGACCTCCTCCATCAGCACTGACCTCCTCCATCAGCACTGACCTCCTCCATCACTGACCTCCTCCATCACTGACCTCCTCCATCAGCACTGACCTCCTCCATCACTGACCTCCTCCATCAGCACTGACCTCCTCCATCAGCACTGACCTCCTCCATCAACACTGACCTCCTCCATCAACACTGACCTCCTCCATCAGCACTGACCTCCTCCATCAGCACTGACCTCCTCCATCAGCACTGACCTCCTTCATCAGCACTGACCTCCTCCATCAGCACTGACCTCCTCCATCAGCACTGACCTCCTCCATCATCACTGACCTCCTCCATCACTGACCTCCTCCATCACTGACCTCCTCCAGCACTGACCTCCTCCATCAGCACTGACCTCCTCCATCAGCACTGACCTCCTCCATCACTGACCTCCTCCATCACTGACCTCCTCCAGCACTGACCTCCTCCATCAGCACTGACCTCCTCCATCAGCACTGACCTCCTCCATCATCACTGACCTCCTCCATCATCACTGACCTCCTCCATCACTGACCTCCTCCATCACTGACCTCCTCCATCACTGACCTCCTCCATCAGCACTGACCTCCTCCATCAGCACTGACCTCCTCCATCATCACTGACCTCCTCCATCACTGACCTCCTCCATCAGCACTGACCTCCTCCATCAGCACTGACCTCCTCCTTCATCACTGACCTCCTCCATCAGCACTGACCTCCTCCTTCATCACTGACCTCCTCCATCACTGACCTCCTCCATCAGCACTGACCTCCTCCATCATCACTGACCTCCTCCATCACTGACCTCCTCCATCAGCACTGACCTCCTCCATCAGCACTGACCTCCTCCATCAGCACTGACCTCCTCCTTCATCACTGACCTCCTCCTTCATCACTGACCTCCTCCATCAGCACTGACCTCCTCCATCAGCACTGACCTCCTCCATCAGCACTGACCTCCTCCATCAGCACTGACCTCCTCCTTCATCACTGACCTCCTCCATCACTGACCTCCTCCATCAGCACTGACCTCCTCCATCAGCACTGACCTCCTCCATCAGCACTGACCTCCTCCATCAACACTGACCTCCTCCATCACTGACCTCCTCCATCAGCACTGACCTCCTCCATCAGCACTGACCTCCTCCATCAGCACTGACCTCCTCCATCATCACTGACCTCCTCCATCAGCACTGACCTCCTCCATCAGCACTGACCTCCTCCATCAGCACTGACCTCCTCCTTCATCACTGACCTCCTCCATCACTGACCTCCTCCATCAGCACTGACCTCCTCCATCAGCACTGACCTCCTCCTTCATCACTGACCTCCTCCATCATTGACCTCCTCCATCAGCACTGACCTCCTCCATCAGCACTGACCTCCTCCATCAGCACTGACCTCCTCCATCAGCACTGACCTCCTCCATCAGCACTGACCTCCTCCTTCATCACTGACCTCCTCCATCACTGACCTCCTCCATCAGCACTGACCTCCTCCATCAGCACTGACCTCCTCCATCAGCACTGACCTCCTCCATCAACACTGACCTCCTCCATCACTGACCTCCTCCATCACTGACCTCCTCCATCACTGACCTCCTCCATCAGCACTGACCTCCTCCATCATCACTGACCTCCTCCATCACTGACCTCCTCCATCAGCAATGACCTCCTCCATCAGCACTGACCTCCTCCTTCATCACTGACCTCCTCCGTCACTGACCTCCTCCATCCGCACTGACCTCCTCCATCAGCACTGACCTCCTCCATCAGCACTGACCTCCTCCATCACTGACCTCCTCCATCACTGACCTCCTCCATCAGCACTGACCTCCTCCATCAGCACTGACCTCCTCCTTCATCACTGACCTCCTCCTTCATCACTGACCTCCTCCATCACTGACCTCCTCCTTTCGCACTGACCTCCTCCATCAGCACTGACCTCCTCCATCAGCACTGACCTCCTCCATCAGCACTCACCTCCTCCATCAGCACTGACCTCCTCCATCACTGACCTCCTCCATCAGCACTGACCTCCTCCATCAGCACTGACCTCCTCCATCAGCACTGACCTCCTCCATCAGCAATGACCTCCTCCATCAGCACTGACCTCCTCCATCACTGACCTCCTCCATCACTGACCTCCTCCATCAGCACTGACCTCCTCCATCAGCACTGACCTCCTCCATCAGCACTGACCTCCTCCTTCATCACTGACCTCCTCCATCAGCACTGACCTCCTCCATCAGCACTGACCTCCTCCATCATCACTGACCCACTCTCAGATCCACAGACTCAGACCCCCTCACTCCCCCCAGGACAAAGTACCGAACCTTGGGGGGAAAGAGCCATTTCCGCAGCTGCCCCCACACACTCTGGAACTCACTCCCACAAACATCCGATAAATTCTCAAAACCCACCTGTTCAAAACTGCCTTATTTTTTACCTTTTTATAATTTTTTGTTTCTTATTTTTCACCTGTATGGAGTTTTTGAACGTCCAAAAAAACGCTATATAAGTATGACGTATTATAAAAAAAAAAAAAAAAATCTTGTTTTAAAAAGATCTAACAAATGTCTCCCTTCGAATGAGGAAATTATGAAAACAAATCCTGAAGTTAGACTAAATGGCTTTGTCCCAATGGCAAAACTCGGGTTATTTTTAGTCAACAGTCAAAACACGCTCTAATTACGACTAATAACACTTGATTCAAGCATTTATTACCTGTTATTTTATCTTTTTTTTCAGTGTGGGTACAATCAGGACCTTATTCCTCATCCGTCTGCTTTGACAGTGAGGAGAGGAGGATACTGGACAAAAACTGAATGATTGTAGCGAGAAAGGCTGAGGAATGATGAAGTATTGTGGATTATCTCCGTGACAAACTGCCGGAGTTACTTTTCTGACCTCTTGTTGTACCCACTGTAGGGTTTCCTCACTGTTTATTCATTTCGATGCAGGGTCCCGACCTTCTCTCCCCCTCAGGGAATTCCACAGGTCGACCATAATGTTGGAAGACTCCTCTCACTCCGCAAACGGATCAGGAATGTCCCGGGATGGATGGGATGGGATGGGATGGGGCAACACAGCAGCTCATTGTTCCCTACCTTTGCATTCTCCATTCCTCACCTCTCTGTTTGGAATCAGTCCTCCTGTGTAAACACTACACCTGGCATCTCCTCCTCCCACTGCCGCAGCCACTTCCTACATCCTATTGACAATGCAGTGGCAGAAAACGTCGCTGCTTTTATCATTTCACAGCCAGTGGGGAGGAAAAAGGGCCTAATTACAGGTGGAATATTGACAGGATTTACAGCCGGGTTCAAGGTGTGTGTCCTGACTGCAGAGAGGGAGTGTTTATCCACGTTCTTTTGTCTGTGTTTTCATTCTCTGAGCTTATTTTATAAACCGGAAATCAGGCTGTTCTGTGCCTGTCCCTGCAGAAGTTATCGGTGAATCCCCTGTTGTAACATGGTAAAGTAACTAAGTAAGTAATCATTATTTATATAGTGTATTTTTACAGACCAAAGTCACCAAAAGAGCTTTACAAAGTCCAGACTTCAGTTTTTATTCTATTTTCTCCACACGGTGATGACGAAAGCGAGACGCCGGACACACGGAAGCATCAAAACCTCCGACCAAACACCATCCACTAACTCACTCAATACACTCAGACCTAGCCTGGTCTTACCGCACCATGGTACTCATTTCATTTGGTACTAAGGCCTGACTGTGCTCCATTGACTCCGTTAACAGGTGGGAGGGGTTAACTCCTTTTGCAGACTGAAACGATTTAATCTGAGTTTACCGTCACGAATGTAATGAGCCCGAGATACGCCCAGATTAAGATTTCAAAAACACTTGATTCAAGCGTTTATTTTCGCATATTTGCTAATTTTTTTGCAGTGCTCTGGTCTTATTTGACGAAAATGATTGACAATTCAGAGGACCAATAGTCTTGATGATCCACCCAGAAGTAGAATATCCTCCTCTAAACCTTTAACCCAGTACTCTTGTCCCAATTTGAATCAGAACCTAGCATACCACCATTGTTATATAACGTCCACATTCCGTTTTTTAAGTTTCACCCATTCATTTCAGGAAATTCATCCAATCAGAAAAAGCAGCAGAGGAGTCATGCGATACTGAGTCATGAGCAGATCTCAACAGGCCTCTGCACGCCAGCCTCAGATCGCTATGAAAACCTCAGCAGTCCCACAGTGCTGGCCGCAGCCCGGGGAGTGATGATCCCTCAGACCTGGCAACATGGCAGCAGCATTCACCCTCCTCCACCTCCTCCTCCCCCTCCTCCACCTCCTACTCAAAACACTCTTGAAGATACTAATCCATCACATTACAGTAGCCTCTGAGTCTGTGATCACTCCCCAGGTTTTTGACAGCTCATCCCACAACAATGAGGGCCTTGAACTCAGGGCGAAAACAGAGACGCCGCTCTTTGTAGATCCACACCACCGCAAATACCGATCAAGATAATAAGAGCTGACGGCACAGGGACTTAAGGAGCAGTATGTAAGGATGTGGCCAAAAGTGGTACTGCAGCCTCTCCCACTCTCCCTAACTCAGGTTGCCAGATATGCAGACGAATCCAGCTGGGACCATAACAGCTGAATAGACAAGACTTTTGTCAACAACAACTCTATAACCAACACCTTTTTCACAAAGATAGAAATCCTGGTTTTATTCCTTGTTTTGTCGTTAATGATTTGAGAATGATAACGAGACCTTTTTTAGTTCTGCGCCACATGGTACTTTACCAGTGAGATTAGCTCCACGCGGTGAGTTCTGGCGCCCGGATCACAGATTTTCTGATTGGTGAAACGGTGGAGGGCGGGACATCGAAATGAAAACAATAACAAGATTTAGAGGCTGGAAAACTAATTTAGAAATTCAAATATCTCTGAACTACTGTTATCAGTTAAAGAAGTATTGGAAAAGAACAGTTTATTATTATGACAGATTAGGGCCCTTTACTGACGACAGATTAGGGCTCTTTAATGACGACAGATTAGGGCCCTTTAATGACGACAGATTAGGGCCCTTTAATGACGACAGATTAGGGCCCTTTAATGACGACAGATTAGGGCCCTTTAATGATGACAGATTAGGGCCCTTTAATGATGACAGATTAGGGCCCTTTAATGACGACAGATTAGGGCTCTTTAATGACGACAGATTAGGGCCCTTTAATGACGACAGATTAGGGCCCTTTAATTTCGGCAGATTAGGGCCCTTTAATTTCGACAGATTAGGGCCCTTTAATGATGACTAGACATGAAAATCGTACGTGTTGCTGCTGTAAATCACAGAGGCAGGATATTCATTTAACTACATTTGGAATATGTGGTTTCTAAGTCAGCCGTGGCTTGGGTCCAAAGAAAACACAACTTTGTGAAAGCCATTTACCATTGCTTCAAACTGTTTTAATAAAGTAAATGGATTACTTTGACCCAATGACTGATTCCAAAAGGATCGAGAACAATGAGCAATGTGTGTGAAGATTATATCCATATTTAAAACCAATAATTTGTGTGTTTCCAGTCAGTAATCCATACAATTTATACACTAGCCACAGCTCCCTGCACCAGATCAGTCTGTGACACCCTCCGACCGCAACTACACAAACTTCACTAAAGCAATAGATTCATAGAAGACAATATGGGGGAAGTGTGCTGCCTAAGGGCACAACTAACAACACTGCACTTATAGAGCAACAGCCAATAGACAAGGCAACTCAAAAGTGCAAAAGGTATTCTGAGCTTCTGAGATCAGACTTAGTAGAACACAAAACCACAAGTGGACAGGCATAATGTAGTTGTAGTTAGATTGCCTAAATTAGGGTCTAACTGACTCAGGGTTGGTCAAGGCAGGAAAAATCATCAACATTCAGCTCAATCATCTTTTATTTAAGGTATTTTTGAATTACTGTGGAGGGGAAAATTGACATGAGGAAAGCACAAGGGTTAAACACATCTATATACAGACAGAATGATATTGTAAAAGAATAAAAATGAAAAGGGTTCCAGGTAAGCCTCAGTGGTCACCTTGAGAGTAAAAAGGGAGTAACTACAAATGCTCTGGGCCTTAACAAAGTTTTTTTTTACATTGAAACAGCGACAAGCACATTTCCTGAGTTTATAGAATCGGTTCAAGGTCAAGGAAGATGTTGAGACATGTGTGAGTATTCCTGAGCATTCTTTCCATTGCTGTGTTAGCCACGGGCAGAATTCCACCCAACAATGATAATAACACCTAGGATAGATATGTGCTCTCTTTCACAGGCTTGTTTTACAACCGCGACAATTAGCACGAAGGTAAACAGTCACTTATGCAAAGCTGTTGAAAACGGCATCAAACGCCCAAGAAAAATTCTGAAGTTTCCCCCACAGTGGGACAGAGAAAGGATCTCTTAATATTAAAGGAGGAGTGTGTACAAATGTGGACAAAAGTGGTACTGCAGCCTCTCCCACTCTCCCTGACTCAGGTTGCCAGATATGCAGACGAATCCAGCTGGGACCATAACAGCTGAATAGACAAGAGTTTTGTCAACAACAAATCTATAACCAACACCTTTTTCACAAAGATAGAAATCCTGGTTTTATTCCTTGTTTTGTCGTTAATGATTTGAGAATCAAAACGAGACCTTTTTTAGTTCTGCGCCACATGGTACTTTACCAGTGAGATTAGCTCCACGTGGTGAGTTCTGGCGCCCGGATCACAGACTTTCTGATTGGTGAAACGGTGGAGGGCGGGACATCGAAATGAGAACAATAACAAGATTTAGCGGCTGGAAAAGTAATTTAGAAATTCAAATATCTCTGAACTTCTGTTATCAGTTAAAGAAGTATTGGAAAAGAGCAGGTTTTATTAATGCCTTTGAACAGATTAGGGCCCTTTAATGATGACAGACGAAACAAGCCATGACAAACGTAGAACAAAACCTGCTTACCTTTACAGGCATTTCCGACTTCCTCGTATCCAGGTTTGCACTGGCACTGCCCAACAGGCACCACCCACTCGCCGTCCGTTGTGCAGTAAATCCGCGGCTGCTCTTCGCTTACGGCATTTTCCACACATTCACCGATGACTTCCCTCAAAGCCTGATTCTCTCCTCCTGCCACCGTTTCCCTGAAAGACGCCAGACTCTTGAGGGTAGCAGGGCACGTCTTGTAGTAAACCCGAACTGAGAGCAGAGCCACACACGCCCCAATGTCCTGAAACGCCAAGTAGAACCCTTTCCTCGACAGGTTTTCCACCACTTTTGTTTCTGTGTTGATGCGTAGATCGTTTTTGCTCGTGATTTCGTCCGGGGCAATCGTGGCGACTTTCTTGAACTGGCCTTTTCGAAACGTGGTCCCGACATCTGCGTCCGCCTCCGAAGCAAAGAGGTTGAAGGTTTCTTTGCAGGTCAGCGAGGCTCCGTCAAAAGAGTTGCAGTCCCTCACGATAAACTGTAGCTCCACGAAAACCCGCGAGGCCGAAGGTCGCCTCTGGATGAAAGTAGTTCGAAGCCAGTTGTCTTGTTCCCGCTCTCCCACATTGCACACCGAGTATGTGTAGAACTGGGAACCATTTAGAGTCCGTTGCACCACTTCCCACTACAACAACAACAAAAAACAGGCCACAATGTTAGCAGAGCATATACAGACCCCTGGGGGACCCCTAATCATCGTGTAAGCGCTCTGCTCTCTAAAGAAAACAGAGTGCGCACCCGGGGGCTAGCACATGGACCAAACCGCTGTAATATGAAACTAGAACTAGAATCTTTCAGTCCACACATTACTAATTGCTCCCTGCAAATATTTTAACTAGCTTTGACAAAAAACAACACGGTCGGCAACACTGGGAGGACTCCATTTTATGACCTTTCAGCAAAACAATACAAGGATATGCGTGGGAAAGAATTCACAAATCACAATTAAAGATATGACTGCTTCTAATTTGGACTGTTAGCTTAGCGGAACAATGCATACTGAAGCTGCCATGGGATATTGAAGCTCGTTTTAAAGTATGCCTAGCTCTTAAAGAACAACTGGCCTGCACAAGGGCATGGGCTGCGGTGTACTCTCTGCATGGAGCCGCGGTGGCTGTTAATTAAAGGAATATGCTGTGAGTGTGTGGCTCTGCTTATAAACTTGATGTAATGCAGGACCAGCTCGTCAAGCACACAGCCGGTGAAGGCTTTTATATGGTTTTTAAGGATATGCTGAATTATCTAAACAATAAAGTCACATCACATTTCAGACCCGCTTGTGGACTCAAGTAAGTATGGATTCTAAAAGTGAAATGTCAAAATGTGGCGTAACAGAGCAACACACCCACGCATGCCGTTGACTCACGCAAAAGAAACCAACCAGCAGCAGTCGAGCCATGCATACTTCTTGTGTTACTGTATTGCTAGCAAATTTGTTCACTTTTTCATGTCGTCTAAATTGTGAACTTATCAACAGCAGATTAGAAAATGCATTTTGAAGCGAATAAATAAGATTAACTAGAGGAAAATGAAGTCTTCTCTGTGATGTCTGACCTGCATATTTTTTGCAGTGTAGCCCTTTTTATATTAATATTACAGCTAAATGGTGGGTGAAAAGGTGGCTGAGTGGTTAGCATTCTCACTTCTCAGCAAGAAAAAAGTCCTTGGTTCGAATCGCGCTCGGAACAGGGCCTTTCAGAGTGGAGTTTACATGTTCTCCCTGTGTGTGTGTAGGTTTCCTCCAGGTGCTCCGGTTTACCCTACCACTGAAATCATGTACAATAGGTCTGGCATGCGCCTCCTGTTCTGGCGACCTGCATCTCTGTGTGAATGCCCCAAAAAAATAACGTTGGTCTTTGAGCCTGAAGATTGTGGGTTCGAGTCCACCGCAAGACCTTCTCCACCGACTAAAGTAATCTTTATAAAGCTCCTTTCTCAGACCAGAGTCACAAAGCGCTATACAATTGTTATTTTTTTGGGTGCATTTGAGCGAGGTTGCCAGTACAGGAGGTGCATGCCAGACCTATTGTACATGTTTTTAGTGGTAGAGGAAACCGGAGCACACGGAGGAAACCTACGCAGACACATGCAAACTCTACCCAAAAAGGTTCTATTCCGACTCGGATTTGACCCAAGACCGTCTTGATGAGAAGCGAAAGTGATCCACTCAGCCACCGTGCCGCCCAATTTATCAATAAAGTATATCTTCTTCTTCTGATATTTTACTATTACAGGCTTGTTTTTAGTTGGAAAAAAAAAACTCAAATAAATAGAATAAAGCTCCTTGGAAATGGCACACATACACACACATGTGCCCGTTTAGTTGGCACAAGGAGACTATAACTATAAGCATTTGGGGGCAATAAAGGTCGGAATCTCTCATTTTCATCTGCGTTACGGAAAGAAGGTACAGCCCACATCTGTAGCCCCGCCCACTCCCAAAGAGGTACCACATGCTGCAGCTTCTTTAAAAGTTAATTGCTCTCTAACATACAATTCTGAAGAAACCACAAGAAGCCACAAGTATTCCCAGCTCAGAGCATGCAGCTAGTCTGTCTACAAAGCCTAGACATGCAGGGATAGGAACCCAGCTCTGCGTTAGTAAGTGCCTCTTTACATGTAGGGGCCCCTGGATTGAGACGTTTACATGTGACAAGTGTGTGTATAAGAGGGTTAGCAAACACACGTCAAACGGTCAGTGTGGAGTCTGACCGGAGGGGTTTTCTGTCGTCTCTCACTCTCACCGCACTTTCTGACAGATATTGAGATGGTGGTGTGGAGGCTACTCACCCCGGGCTTGTCTCCCTGGTCTAGGGGCCAAGTGAGCCACCCCAGCTCCCCTCCAGTGGCCCGCATGTCCAGGAGAACTTCTGTGGACGCAAGAGAGTTTACAATGACCAGTCACAATGTGTTTAGTTTAAATTAGGCTTGTGGGTTTCTTTCCAAACGGTCTGGAATGCAGCCAAAAGTGTGTGTATAATCTAGCCAATTACGCACACACTATACTCAATAAAAGTCAATATATATCCATATAATTTGTGTTTGACCTTCGCATATTTGAATAAATCTGGTTTTAAAGGAGTTATTTTTTTTATCAGCGTGAGACGTGGAGAGAGTAAAGATTCAGCAAAGTTATCAGCGGACTTCAAGGTTGTACAATCCTCTGCTGAAGATAAAACAGAACATACGAGAGTGTTATAAGAAAGAACAAAAGTGATAAGTCTGTAGGAGTTAGAGAAAAAGCATATATATCCGCTCCTGGGAACAGTCCTGACGTTTCACCTGTTGCTTTGGGAAATTCGTCTTTACGCACAAGAATCCATGTAAAAGACGTCAGTGTGGGAAAATAAAACACACACACATAAAAGCAAGTACATGTGAAGTAACGTAACTAAAACGTTTAAATGCACTGACACGTGTGAGCTTGGGCTGAAACGTCTCCAAACTCATTTTTCACTCGCGCAAAAGCCCTTGTAATATCCTCGGGTCAGATTGATCCACAACAATGATTTAAAAAAAAACCTAAATACAAAAAAGCATGCTGACATTTGATCTTTTAGGCCCTAATTCAAGGTATATTTCTTCTGCTTTTAATCTATGTGTCGTTGTGACCCGAGGGTAGCACCAGGGTTAAACGTCAAACGTCCTTTCACGCGCAGATGTTTGCAGGTTTTTGAGAGTAAGACACGTACCTTCTTTGGTCTGTAGCGTGAGCAGGAAGCCATGGGTGAGCACAGAGAGGAAAAGTAAAGGTCTAGTTCCCGGGAAGAGCTCCATGGTTCGGCTCCGCTTGGCCGTGTGCGCGCTCTGGCTCCGCGCTCTGTGGAAGTGCGCTCCAAAGTCTCATTCACAAAGTGCCCAGAGCGAGACTCCTCCCGCGGCCGCTGGAATGTGCGTGCGTAAAAGTGCGTAAAAGAGACCCGTGCGCAGAATCAGAGGAGGAGACGTCGCAGTTTTGAAATAGTCATTGTATTGAGAGATAAAATACTTTTAAATGATGTGTTTACTTTTCCACAAAGTTAGAAGTTTACAATAAATGGATAAGTGTTGAAAATTAGGTCTTGCGATAACATAAAAGTGCGTCTGTTGTGTCCGTATCAAATAAATAAATAAATAAGAATAATTATAATAATACTTTGTCTTCTTACAGAGTGTATGTAAACTTAAACTATATCATTAGACGGAGGGACCGACAGACAGAGAGAGAGAGACAGACAGGCAGACAGACAGAGAGCGACAGACAGAGTGAGAGACGGACAGTCAGAGAGAGACAGACGAACAGACAGACAGACAAAGGGAGAGAGAGAGAGAGAGACAGACAGAGAGAGAAAGAGAGCAACAGACAGACAGACAGAGAGACAGACCGAGAGACAGACAGACAGAGAGACAGACCGAGAGACAGACAGACAGACAGAGAGAGAGCGACAGACAGACCGAGAGACAGACAGAGAGAGAGAGAGCGACGGACAGAGAGAGAGAGAGCGACAGACAGACCGAGAGACAGACAGAGAGAGAGAGAGCGACGGACAGACAGAGAGACATACAGATAGAGAGAGAGAAACACACAGAGAGAGAGCGACAGACAGACAGAGAGACAGACAGAAAGACAGACAGAGAGAGAGACAGACAGAGAGAGAGAGAGCAACAGACAGACAGACAGAGAGACAGACCGAGAGACAGACAGAGAGAGAGAGAGAGAGCGACAGACAGACCGAGAGACAGACAGAGAGAGAGAGCGACGGACAGACAGAAAGACATACAGACAGACAGAGAGAGAGAGAGACAGACAGACAGAGAGACATACAGACAGTCAGAGAGAGATAGAGAGAGAGACAGACAGAGAAAGAGAGAGACAGACAGAGAGAGAGAGAGCAACAGACAGACAGACGGAGAGAGACAGACAGACAGAGAGAGAGACAGAGAGAGAGAGAGAGATAGACAGACAGAGAGAGAGAGGGACAGACAGACCGAGAGACAGACAAAGAGAGAGAGACAGACAGAGAGAGAGAGCGACAGACAGACAGAGAGACATACAGACAGTCAGAGAGAGATAGAAAGAGAGACAGACACTCAGAGAGCGAGAGAGAGAGAGCGACAGACTGACAGAGAGACATACAGACAGTCAGAGACGGATAGAAAGAGAGACAGACAGTCAGAGAGAGAGAGAGCGACAGACAGACAGAGAGAGATAGAGAGAGAGACAGACAGTCAGAGAGCGAGAGAGAGAGAGAGCGACAGACTGACAGAGAGACAGACAGTCAGAGAGAGAGAGAGAGAGAGAGATACTTTATTGATCCCTGTTGGCGAAATTCATGTGTCCAGTAGTAGCAAAAACACATCCATCCAAACAAACAAATAGATTATTCTAAAAGTAGCTAAGAATACTAATAAAATGCAAACGTACTTCAGGCCACAGCAGCAGAGGTGGAGGCTACACCATCATGATCATAATATAGAATAAACAACCATTCTTGGAGCTGAGGCTGCAGAGCTAAACTATGGCCCAGTCCAGCGCTCACCTTAGACCAAAACCCAAATATTGAAACATTTGATGGCTCTCGGTGTTGAAGTGGCCGTAAACATATCTGCTTCGTCTTTTGTTGCCAGTTTTGCAGTTTACAGTATGCTCTTAAAGGCACCATGCTGCTTACAGTGGCCCTCAAAGGTCCCAGGCGCCTTGAGGGCAGCGGCTCATTTGCATAAAGACACTGAATAGTTTGGTTCGGTGAATGGGTCTGGGAGGGAGCAAGTAGGAACGCCTCCAGTCTTGTGTCTTTGTTCTGGACGTCCCACATACAGAGGTGGAATCGACCTGACAGCCGCACACATACGCATTCATATCTGCATAATAGCGTCTTGAATGGTGCGGTTTGGAGAGTACAGCTGGCCCGCTCATAGGCTGTCATAACTTATGGGAAATATTTCAGAAATGTTGCACCCTGCCATCTTTCACAAGTGGAGCTGTGAGGCTGAGTCAGAGGTGCTGCAGGGGGGGGGGGGGGAGTGCAGGTCTAATAAGTGGTATAAGTCCTGTACCTAGCAACTGGTAGTGAGAGGAATCTGCTGTGGCTTGTTTCTGGCTCCCCGTGTTGTCCCGGGACAGTGTAGGCCGATGTTAGAGGTGATGCCAGGTCCAGCAGACGCCACTATTCAGAGAGCAGGGTAATAACTGTGAGACTAGACAGCACTGCGGGCAATAAGCAAGAAGCTGGGCAAGTTATGTCCATGCTCTGGAGCCGAACATTTGAAACTCATAAAGCGGAGAAATGTGAAGCGCTCAGTGGGTATAGAAAAAGGTAAAAAGCCTTTATTAATGCATGGCTAAAATGTGAAAAAATCTCCCAGGCCTCTCAGACCTTCATCAGGGCATGTGCTGCGTTTTGAATGTACGTAAAGAAGTGAATACTCTATTTCGGGGAGAGATGCACTGGACCATTGCCAGATTCTGATTTTGATTCATTTATTCGCCATTCGGATGATCCTGGGAGCTATGCTGTCTGGGGTTTCATGCCCCTGGTAGGGCCTCCCATGGCAGACAGGTCTCAGGTGACGAGTCAGACGAAGAGCGGTCCAAAAACCACCATGGACAGCACAATAAATAGACCAGTGACGTCGCCCAGCATGGCGCAGCCGGGGCCCCACCCTGGAGCCAGGCCTGGGGTCGGGGCTTGTATGCGAGCGCCTGGTGGCCGGGCCTTAGCCCACGGGGCCCGGCCGGGCTCAGCCCGAAGGGATGACGTGGGCAGTCCCTCCTGTGGGCCCACCAACTGTAGAGGGGTCCGTGGTGGCGCGGTGCAGAGAGGACTGGGCGGCAGTCGAAGGCGGAGACCTCGGCGACCCAGTCCGCACACACAACAGCTGGCTCTTGGGACGTGGAACGTCACCTCACTGGGGGGGAAGGAGCCCGAGCTCGTGGGGGAGGTTGAGCGATACCGACTAGAGATAGTCTGCCTCACCTCCACACACAGCTTGGGCTCTGGAACCCAACTCCTTGAGAGGGGTTGGACGCTCCACTTTTCTGGAGTTTCCCGCGGGGAGAGGGGGCGAGCTGGGGTGGCCATTCTCATTGCCCCCCATCTCAGCCGCCACGTGTTGGAGTTCTCCCCGGTGAATGAGAGGGTCGCGTCCCTCCGCCTCCGGGTGGGGGACAAGTCTCTCATTGTTGTGACGGCCTACGGGCCTAACAGCAGTGCAGAGTACCCGGCCTTCTTGGAGTCCTTGGGAGGGGTACTGGACGGTGCACCGCCCGGGGACTCCGTTATTCTCCTGGGGGACTTCAACGCCCATGTGGGAAACGCCAGTGACACTTGGAGAGGGGTGATCGGGAAGAACGGCCCCCCTGATCTGAACCCGAGCGGTGTTCAGTTGTTGGACTTCTGTGCCAGTCACAGTTTGTCCATCACGAACACCATGTTCCAGCACAAGGGTGTCCACCAGTGCACGTGGCACCAGGACACCCTAGGCCGGAGGTCGATGATCGACTTTGTTGTCGTATCATCTGACCTTCGACCGCGTGTCTCGGACACTCGGGTGAAGAGAGGGGCGGAGCTGTCAACCGATCATCACCTGGTCGTGAGTTGGATCCGCTGGCAGGGGAAGAAGCCGGTCAGACCTGGCAGACCCAAGCGTATAGTGAGGGTCTGCTGGGAACGTCTCGCTGAGCCCCCTGTCAGACGGACTTTCAACTCACACCTCCGGGAGAGTTTCTCCCGGGTCCCGGCGGAGGAGGGGGACATGGAGTCCAGGTGGACCATGTTCTCTGCCTCAATCGCCGATGCGGCGGCTCGTAGCTGTGGTCGCAAGGTCTCTGGTGCTGGTCTCGGCGGCACCCCCCAAACCCGGTGGTGGACACCGGCAGTAAGGGATGCTGTCAGGCTGAGAAGGAGTCCTATCGAGCCATGATGGTTCGGGGGACTCCTGAGGCAGCTGTCCAGTACCGGCAGGCCAAGCGTGCCGCGGCCCGGGCTGTTGCAGAGGCAAAAACCCGGGACTGGGAGGAGTTCGGAGAGTCCATGGAGGATGACTATCGGTCGGCCTCGAAGAGATTCTGGCAAACCATCCGGCGCCTCAGGAGGGGGAAGCAGTTCTTTGCCAACACCATGTACGGTGCGGGTGGAGAGCTGCTGACCTCGACTGGGGATATTGTCGGGCGGTGGAAGGAATACTTTGAGGTTCTCCTCAATCCCCCCGTCACATCCTCTGTTACAGAGGCAGAGGCTGAGGATGTTGGGGCGGATACATCCATCTCCCTGGCTGAGGTCACCAAGGTGGTTGGCAGCCTCCATGGTGGCAAGGCTCCGGGTGTGGATGAGATCCGCCCTGATTATCTAAAGTCTCTGGATGTTGTAGAACTGTCTTGGCTGACACGTCTCTGCAACATCGCGTGGCGATCAGGGGCGGTGCCAATGGAGTGGCAGACCGGGGAGGTGGTCCCTCTCTACAAGAAGGGGGACCGGAGGGTGTGTTCCAATTATCGTGGGATCACACTCCTCAGCCTCCCCGGTAAGGTCTACTCCAAGGTACTGGAGAGGAGGCTACGGCCGATGGTCGGATCCAGGAGGAGCAGTGTGGTTTTCGTCCCGGTCGCGGAACACTGGACCAGCTCTATACTCTCCATCGGATACTCGAGGGTTCATGGGAGTTCGCCCATGTGTCCACATGTGCTTTGTGGATTTGGAAAAGGCGTTCGACTGTGTTCCCCGGGGTGTCCTTTGGGGGGTTCTCCGGGAGTACGGGGTCGGGGGTCCTCTGCTGAGGGCCATCCGATCCCTGTATGACCGGAGCCAGAGCTGTGTTCGCATTGCCGGCAGTAAGTCAGACCTGTTCCCGGTGAATGTTGGCCTCCGGTAGGGCTGCCCTTTGTCACCGGTTCTGTTCACTGTATTTATAGACAGAATTTCTAGGCGCAGCCAGGGGTCGGAGGGGGTCCGGTTCGGAGACCACAGGATTTCATCTCTGCTGTTTGCAGACGATGTTGTCCTGTTGGCTCCAACGAACCAGGACCTGCAACATGCACTGGGACGGTTTGCAGCCGAGTGTGAAGCGGCTGGGATGAGAATCAGCACCTCCAAATCTGAGGCCATGGTGCTCGACCGGAAAAAGGTGCCTTGCCCTCTGCAGGTGGGTGGAGAGGTCCTTCCTCAAGTGGAGGAGTTCAAGTATCTCGGGGTCTTGTTCACGAGTGAGGGAATAATGGAGCGTGAGATTGACAGGCGGATCGGTGCAGCGTGCGCAGTGATGCGGTCGCTGTATCGGACCGTTGTGGTGAAGAGGGAGCTGAGCCGAAAGGCAAAGCTCTAGATTTACCGGTCAATCTTCGTTCCCTCCCTCACCTATGGTCATGAGCTTTGGGTAATGACCGAAAGAACGAGATCGCGGATACAAGCGGTCGAAATGAGCTTCCTCCGCAGAGTGGCTGGGCGCTCCCTTAGAGATAGGGTGAGGAGCTCAGTCACACGGGAGGAGCTCGGAGTAGAGCCGCTGCTTCTCCACGTCGAGAGGAACCAGTTGAGGTGGCTCGGGCATCTGTTCCGGATGCCTCCTGGACGCCTCCCTGGGGAGGAGTTCCGGGCACGTCCCACCGGGAGGAGGCCCCGCGGAAGACCTAGGACACGCTGGAGGGACTATGTCTCTCAGCTGGCCTGGGAACGCCTTGGGGTCCCCCCGGACGAGCTGGAGGAAGTGTGTGTGGATAGGGAAGTCTGGACGTCTCTGCTTAGACTGCTGCCCCCGCGACCCAGCAACGGATAAAGCGGAAGAAAATGGATGGATGGATGGATTATTCGCCATTTGCAGTAAAACCACATTGGAATACATTTGTAAAAGTCCCGAGTGTGCACAAGACAGGTACATAAAATAGAAGATAAAAAAGAAAGAAAACAGAACAGTAAACAATTGACACTGTGAGATGTTAAAACTGTTTCTTTAAATCTGCCTGACCTACAGAGAATAGATACATTATTAATTGATATATTATTAATTGATTAATATTCTGCATGCAATGTTCTGTACTATCTTTATTGTGATATGAAATGTCTGATGGGGCTCTCTGTTTGTACAGTAACCTGTGTGTATTTACAGTACAGACCAAAAGTTTGGACACACATTCTCATTCAATTAATTTAATTTCATGACTATTGACTGTAGATCCACACCAGGCTGTGTAAGGGCTGTTTGACCAATAAGGAGAGTGATGGTGCTGGGCCACATGACCTCCACAGTCACCGGACCTGAACCCAGTCCAGATGGTTTTGGACCTGAACCCAGTCCAGATTGTTTTGGACCTGAACCCAGTCCAGATGGTTTTGGACCTGAACCCAGTCCAGATGGTTTTGGACCTGAACCCAGTCCAGATGGTTTTGGACCTGAACCCAGTCCAGGTGGTTTTGGGGCTGGACCACAGAGTGAAGGGGCCAACAAATGCTAAGCATCATGGGAACTCCTTCAAGACTGTTGAAGACCATTTCAGGTCCTCTTGAAGCTCATCCAGAGAATGCCAAGAGTGAAGCAGTATTAGAGCAAAAGGAGCTACTTTGAAGAACAAGAATATAACACATATTTGCGCTTGGTTCATACTTTTTTACTACAAACATAATCCACATGAGTTCATTCATAGGTTTGATGCCTTCAGTGTCAATCTACAATTTCATAATCATGAAAATAAACAAACTCTTTGAATGAGAGTTTGTTCAGATTAGGGCCCTTTAATGATGACAGATTAGGGCCCTTTAATGATGACTAGACATGAAAAACTCACATATTTCTGCTTTAATACTGTTCTAATAAATAATTAAGTAAAAAAACTCATATATAAATACATTCCCATCACGTTTGACGAGTCTGACTTTTCATCCCCTCCTGCTTCCTTTCCCCGTTCCCACAAACCTCCAGGCCGAAGGCAGCGTATGGAAACACTCTGTACGTCAGGTGCAGTGTGTGAGGGAGGGGTGGGGTCATGGGGGTCTCACTCTGATCTGACTAACATGAGGTCTTTCCTGTGCCCAGAGGAGCCGGGAGGAGCGGGGGGGCCACACTTGTCGCACTGTGTTTTTTTTGTATTTTTGTGGGAGACAAAAGGCCCTTGTTTGTCTGTCTTGGACCTACACCTGTGAGACCCAGTATCACCCGAACCTCTCCCAGAGCCGCCCCCACAGTCCACCCTCCGCCCCACAGCCCCACTGCTCCTCCACATCTCAGTTTTCAGAGGCTTTTAGGAAGGACTTGCATTTCGAAATGAAAAGGTGTTCAGAGAATTTCACACAGTTTACTCTCGCTGTGTGGAAAATAGAGACTTGTGTGTTGAGTCCAAAGAAAAATCCGGCAAGAGCAGCGTGTCAGTCTTTCTCCCACTCTCCCTGACTCAGGTTGCCAGATATGTAAAAATGTAAATGTAAATGGGACATCGAAATGAAAACAATAACAAGATTTAGAGGCTGGAAAAGTAATTTAAAAATTCAAATATCTCTGAACTACTGTTATCAGTTAAAGAAGTATTGGAAAAGATCAGTTTATTATTATGACAGATTAGGGCCCTTTAATGATGACAGATTAGAGCCCTTTAATGATGACAGATTAGGGCCCTTTAATGATGACAGATTAGGGCCCTTTAATGATGACAGATTAGAGCCTGATGACAGATTAAGGCCCTTTAATGATGACAGATTAGGGCCCTTTAATGATGACAGATTAGGGCCCTTTAATGATGACTTTTTAAAATGAAAATCTTACATATTGCTCCTTTAAAGCCGACACTGGTCCAGTGAAGTATCAGATATGACCAAAATTGATGCATCACTTTTCCCCTTTCCCAAAACTTCCAACCAAATCCTCGTGGGCATGTGTTCTCCAGATTTCTTGGCCCAAAAGAACCGGGCTCTTCCTGACTGCAGTGTCGGATGTCTTGCAGAGGCTGGATTTACATGAAGCCTGTGTGCATTCATCTCTTTATCACAACATTATCAGTGCATTCCGATGCCCCGGGCCGTAACGTGCTCGTGTTCCCACCCGCCGCCTCCTGTGGGGTCGCTTTGGGAGACTCTGGGTGCTTTGGCAGATGTCGCTGGTGCTCGCTCAAGGAGAACGACCTGTGCCTCTTGGTCTCTCACCGACTGAGATCGAGTGACGGCGCCTGCTGTGGTGGAAAAAGGATAAAGGTGAGATGCGAGGGCCCTCAGGCTGAAGGGAGCGGCCATTCATAACTCTACTGTGTTTCCCGAGCGCAGGGGGAAAACCAGAGCATTAGCAATTCTGAGAACTGAAAATCTCTGTGAGTTCTGAAGTAAAAACTCTGTTTCACTGCAGCGACATGAGAGTGGATACTGTTACCAACCCTCTTCTTCTGTGTTTTACGGTCTCACCAGATTACGGTACGGTGGAGGTAGTGAGTCCTCACGTTTCTCTGCTCCAAGTAGGAGCTCTGTAAAAGAAGGAGAGAGAAATGTGGGCCGCTCTGACTCTGAAATAAGTGAGTTTTAAACAATCGTTAAAGTTAAAGCAGCGCGTGGACATTTGGACTTTGTTTCTGATGAATTAAATGAAATCAAAAGTTTAGCCTTTTTGGTGACATATTTGTCTTTAGGAGCAGTGCCCCAAACCCCTCAGGCCAAAGAGGAGGTCCTGAGGTCCTGTTCCACATGACCCTACACTGGACCAGACCAGAGAGGAAGTGGACCCAGTGCTGGTCCAGGGACGGAGGTTTAGACTGAAGCTCTTTTGTTTGTTTTCTATAGTCTCTAGAACTATGGGGGACAAAAGCTGCAGACCTCAGAAGCTGCCGGAGGGACCAGAGGGGCCAGAGGGGCTGGGGGGACCAGAGGGACCAGAGGGACCGAGGGACCGAGAGACCAGAGGGACCAGAGGGACCAGAGGGGCCGAGGGGCCGAGGGACCAGCTCCGACTCCTGCCACTGCAGAAGATCTGGATGACTCTGCGGTGACCAGGAGAACCACAGACGCAGGTGAGATATATATTTAGAAAAACACAGTGGTTGAACAATAATTACTTTCTGATAATAATATAATCCAACATATTACTTTGTAGGTTTACTAGCTTTGTACTTCTTCTGTCTTAATATAATCTATAATCTGAATTTAATCTGAATGTCAAAATACTGACAACAAAACAATGATATTAAAAACAACAATTCCTGGAATTGGCTGAGTTCACTCTGGGTTTGTCACTTCAGGCACATCCACAGCTTTTCTAGTTTCCTCTGTCGGAGAAAATAACTGTGACGTTACTTGTTGAAGCTTGTTTTTACACCTGAGAGCTCTGCCCAGAGAGTGGGCGAAGAGAGAAGAACAAATGTGTTGTAATGACAGTGAAATGGGAGCGATGCAGTGTGTTTGAAACTGCAGCCTGACCTAGAACTCAGCAAGAATGTCCTGGGTTTGAATACCGGTCCGAACAGGGTTTTTCTGAGTTTCCTCCAGGTGCTCCGGTTTCCCTTACAACTATAAACATGCGCAATAGGTCTGAATGTAATGAGTGAACTCTGAACACTGTAAAGTGCTTTGGGTGACCGTGGTCTGTAAACATGTGCTATATAGATAAAAATGACTTACTTACTTCACCTCATAAGTGCGTGATGCAAGTGTTTACCGGAGGCGAGGTTCAACCAGTGAGACATGCTGCAGCCTTACTCCGGGTCGGTGGGGGTGTACCCGGAAAGAGAATTACCCAATGCTTTTGTATGGCGTCTTCTTTCCTCTCAAAAGTGTCTTTACAGAGTGGTTCTTGGTCCAAAAGTGGCTCTTGGTCCAAAAGTGGCTCTTGGTCCAAAAGTGGCTCTTGGTCCGAAAGTGGCTCTTGGTCCAAAACTGGTTCTTGGTCCAAAAGTGGCTCATGGTCCAAAAGTGGCTCTTGGTCCAAAAGTGGTTCTTGGTCCGAAAGTGGCTCTTGGTCCAAAAGTGGCTCTTGGTCCAAAACTGGTTCTTGGTCCAAAAGTAGTTCTTGGTCCAAAAGTGGTTCATGGTCCAAAAGTGGCTCTTGGTCCAAAAGTGGTTCATAGTCCAAAAGTGGTTCATGGTCCAAAAGTGGTTCATGGTCCAAAAGTGGTTCTTGGTCCGAAAGTGGCTCTTGGTCCAAAAGTGGCTCTTGATCCAAAAGTGGTTCATGGTCCAAAAGTGGCTCTTGGTCCAAAAGTGGCTCTTGGTCCAAAAGTGGTTCATGGTCCAAAAGTGGTTCTTGGTCCAAAAGTGGTTCATGGTCCAAAAGTGGTTCATGGTCCAAAAGTGGTTCTTGGTCCGAAAGTGGCTCTTGGTCCACAAGTGGCTCTTGGTCCAAAAGTGGTTCATGGTCCAAAAGTGGTTCTTGGTCCAAAAGTGGCTCTTGGTCCAAAAGTGGCTCTTGGTCCAAAAGTGGTTCTTGGTCCAAAAGTGGTTCATGGTCCAAAAGTGGCTCTTGGTCCAAAAGTGGCTCTTGGTCCAAAAGTGGTTCATGGTCCAAAAGTGGTTCTTGGTCCAAAAGTGGTTCATGGTCCAAAAGTGGTTCATGGTCCAAAAGTGGTTCTTGGTCCGAAAGTGGTTCTTGGTCCAAAAGTGGCTCTTGGTCCAAAAGTGGCTCTTGGTCCAAAAGTGGCTCTTGGTCCAAAAGTGGCTCTTGGTGTGGTCGATGTTGAGGGGAGCATATTTTTTTGGACCAGTCTAGTTTAGCCGCTGTGGACTTTTGAATGCACTCGTTTAACTCGTCACATTTTCTTGCCCGTGGCCATATTGAAAAAGCCACAGAAGGCAAAAGTGATGTCACATTATTTTAAACGGTGGAGATAGACGTGAGTACGGCTGCTTATATTTACAGTCCATGGTTTGAACATTGACCATCGCCTCACGCAGAGGTCTCCAAAGTCTGGAGTGTTGATAAATACTTTTAGTCTGTACAAATTGTTCAAACATTTTCATGAGTGTGTGCACGCCTGGTCTAAAATATGCACTCATCTGAAATAAAAGGGGTTCAGCATTCCTAACACTATAAAACTAAACTTGGACTCTCCCGGTGACATTTTTAGCCTGTCTTATAATCTAAGACAGGCTCTAGTTCCAAGAAACACATGACTTCACATTTTGGTATTATTTAAGATATGTCCAATTGATTAGTTGATTGTATTGAATGTATTGTGATTATATTGTTCAAACCGCAAGATAAAGTTTTAAATTGAGTATTTTGAAAAGTTTTGATGAGCGGTTCTCAAAGAGTAAAGTGCAGTCAGAAGCTGCCCTCTGCTGTCTGAGAAATGTACTGCAGCCTCGTCTACAGATGTATTGTGGGTCCTTTGTTGTGAAGACATTGGGGACTGATGGGATATTTTACCCTGAAACTGAAGATGAAACATCCAGGACCTGGCTTCACACGAATTTATTACAGACATATTTTTCTTGTGTTTATTGAAGTCTTGTATCTTTTCTAAAGGGCTCCACCTTGTGTCTGCTTCATGCCTAGAGTGAACCTCAGATATGTATGAACACAGTCACAGTAAAGTCATTAAATATCAGCCCCGTCCTGATATGATGAACCATTTAATGATCTGCATTTAAACAACAGGTTTTTACAGGTTAAAATGTCCTCATAGAGGAACAGCAGAAAACACTCAAGTTTAAGATTGATCAAAGACAGTTTTGTATCATTTTAGTTTTTTTTACTATTATTTTTTATATAACAAAGCTGTAAGTGCCTTCACCATGAACCAGCATCATCGGCTTGCAGTTAAAGAAATTTCTATTTACAAAAAAACTGGCAAGCGTAATTTACTTTCATTATCGGTTTGAAATGTCACCCCTTCTTTCAGAAACACTTTGTTTTGTTAAACAAAACCAAAGTGAACCCTGAAAGAAAATAATAAAGATAAAGTCGACAAGAGCACAGATAAGAACAACTATTTACAGTTTGGCTCAAAAAGACAGTGATGAAGATGAGGAACACATCCAAGAGCGGCATAATCACATTCTTCTCTGTTCAGAGGGTCTAGGATGAAGCATGCAGCGGCTGCTGAAGAGAGGGGCCCCTGGGGGCCTCACAGAACCATGGACATGCAAACACAAAGTCAACCGTGAAATGTAGCAGTTCATAAACATTAAATACAAAAGTATGAGCCGTACTGGCCAGAAAATCACATATGAAAATAACATTTCCAAACATACAGTACATTGCATGTGTTGAACCTTTTTTTTTGCAAAAATGTTTTGGCACAGAATAAAATTACAAATATTTGATAATCGCTTCAAATTGACAAATACATCCTGTATTTTCCAAAGAATCCTTTGTCTTCACGTTATAGAAATAAAATGATTACATGATCTGTCTCTTTCCTCGTCATCTTTAAATATGTAGATTAGACTATTTACAGCTAAATATATGTCACGAGTCCCTTCAGTTTAACGATGCAACCCCCTCCTCCTCCGACCCCCCCCCCCCCCCCTCCTCCCCCACTTGAGGCATTTAATTGTAAACTATACAACTCCATAATTGAGGAGCTAATTATGGAATCAAACAAATGTTGGCAGATGGAACAAAAGAATCCAGAATAAAAGGCATAAATATGGATCGACCCAGAGCTGTACAGAGTAAACTTCTCACAACATTAACATTTTCACAATGTTTCCAAAATAAAAAGATAGAGACACTTTATGATGGTCAGAAAAACAAACCATAAATGTCAAATAACCTTCATATGAAATAAATTATAAAAATGCTAACAACATTAAAATGACACATGAGCGATACAAGCGTGTCCCCGGTGCGAGAAACAGTCTCTCACTGGAGGAATTAAGGACTTGGTGAAGTGAGGGAGAGGTGCTGATTCTTACAAATTCAAATTCATATAAATATGAGGCAGTTTTCTTGACCGGATTAGTCCAAAAGGGCTGGTGTTGGCTTTTTTCCACAAAAACCAAAAGTATTTAAACCGAAGCAATGACAATCATGAGGTGCGGGGAAATGCTGGAAATGCTGTTGAGTAGATCCGGAGCCAGGAGAGAGAGATGACTCTCCGAGAACTCACACGGAGGGAAGATCTGCACCACAAAGGCCGGCTGTCGACACACACAAGCAGCACACACACACATTCAAGAGTTTGACTGATAAATATAAACTTTTTCAATATATTCTAATATGTTTCTTGATTGACACTTTTTATTGTACATAATATATCCTGCATTTAACACATTTCTTGCACAATCTGGAGTGTTTCTATCATCTGAGATCAACAAAGTCAATCTTATCTTATCTTATATTCTTGATCTGATAATCTATGGAGCACAGAACGAAGCAAACCTGATTAGAGCCAGGATTGGCGACATTGATGATTCCAGCTGCTTGTTTTGCTTGAAGATAGGTAATAAATCCAGTTTTCAATGCATGGGTCTGACTAAGGACATCTTCTTGGTCTCGACCACATGGTAGAGCCAGTAGCAAACAGTAGTCATTCTCCACCTGCCGCACAATGGAAGGAGAAAATCAATAATAGAAAAGTGGTCAAATTTCAGATGTTACAAATATGTCCCATACAGTCATTCTGCGAGCCACACTGTCCAGCTGTGAGGCCTCGAGTCTCATCCTCTGGACAATGCGAAGAAGAGGTGCTCCTTCGGGAGGAGGCAGCGAGCGCTGGGCCAGGACTGTGTTCCCGGACACAAAGTGCAGCTGAACTGCAGCCTGATCATTTTTAAGAGCCAAAAGCCCTTGCCACACAATTGGATATCGCTGTGGGGAAAAAAAACACTGAATGTAAAGTAGATTTCCCACTTCCTCCTGCTCTTGCTACAGAAGATACTGTACCGTCAGTAGCTGCATCATGTCAAAGGAGCGGTGTCCGGTTAGCTCCTGCTTCATGTCTTGGTGTGGCTGGACTGGACTGCGAGGAACAGCGGGTGAAGAACTGTGCAGATGAGTAGGAGCTTGTTTGACGACAGAAGCCTCCTGTTTGTGGTTGAAGCCGATCGGTGACATTATTGGTGAAGACATTGGGGACTGGTAAGAGGGGGAGATTGTGTCCCCTGGCATTCGGGAAATATGGGAGTAGTCTGTGGATGTGGCGTGGTGCAGGTGTGGAGTGTCAGGTTTGGGGTTGCTTCCTCCTCCTTGAGAATGAGAAAGTTTACTTCTGTGTCCAAGGCTAGACTCCAATGGAACCTGAACCTGAGAGGATCAATCAAACCAAAATTGCAAAGCTGAAGTCGTGTCTAACCATGAATGAGCACTTATGAAAGAAGTAATATTTCACTCACCTGTGTAGTAGCCATTTTGTGATAAGGGAGATGTCCGGTAAACTGCAATGGGAAAGTTGGCAGGTCTTGGTAAACTGGAAAGGGCTCTGGACCACCAGGCTGAATGACCTTCACACCATGTGGATGGCTGAAGACCGGACTGGAGACATGTCCCCTGATTCGACTGTCTCTAGAAGGAGACTGAATGAGCTTTCCCTCAGCTGGTTTCTCTGCTCCTTTCGTTGTGAGGTCAATTCTCTTTGACACTAGAGAACCTTTTAAAGGTTGGGCGATATGGTTTGAAGACAAAGCGCCGGTATTTGTTGAGCACAGCTGCCTGACCTCTGCTGATGCCTGCTCCCCTAGCTGCTGGTGCATGAGCATCCGCTGGTGCATGTCTCTGTACTGGTCCATGCGGGCCCCTGAGTGCAGTGCTCTATGTTCACTATGAATGATCACATCCGGGAGGGGCTGGGACACTGAGTGCTTACCAGGGGTTTGAGTGACATGCCTGGAAATATCTCCATTTGCACCACTTATTCCCGAACTGAGTCCTTTCTGACTTACATGAGATTGAAGTGGCATATTGTGAATGACATTAGATTGTGATATGTTGGGCCGCTGAGGAGTCCCCGTGGAACTATGGGAGTCACTTCTCTTACTGTAGTTAATCCCGGATACAGATCTGTGGTCTGTCCTGGCAGAGTGAGCTGGGGGGTGAGACACACTGTGGGGTTGCATTATGACAGAGGACTGCTCAGAGTTTGTGTGGTGGATCGTAGGATATGACACACTGGGACCTAAGACAACAGATGTGCCAATGGGAGAGTTGTTGAGTGAACATGCTTTATGATACGGGGGAGGGGACTGCACAGTGGTGCGTGGGGACTGGGGTTCGTGATTCCCTTGTGAGACAGATCTGTCAGTCGGTATTCCAGGACTGGGACTAATACAAGTTCCTGACAAAGGTGCATGTGGTGGGCTCATGACTGGGCTAAGGTTGCACGTCTGAAGACCTTTGTATGAGTCCAGCTTCTTAGGGGCGGGCTCATGACCCTGTGCTCTTTTGCCATGCTGCTGGATGACATGTTGGTTGTACATCAACACCTGAGGCTGTTGGAACATTTTTACTACTCCACCTTTAGGACATGTATGGTACGGAGCATCGGATTTATCTGGACTTTTTGGCTTCGTAGTCGTAATTACATTTGGGGTGTTGAATGCATGATTACCTGTGTGCCCATATGGTAAAGGACTGGGCAAAACATTTGGTGAAGACAGCTGAGATGTTTCTTGCTTAATCTGAGACTTTGACTGTTGGATGTCAACATCAACAAAACTGGCTGGAGGAATTTGGCTAATTTTGGCTCTCATTCTCTGTGGGCCTTCTGTTTTTTGCCCAGAATAACTCAGCACAACAACACCCTCTGACGTGTTGACTCGCAGTCCAGGAGCAGAGGCAGAACTGAACGCATTTGTATCACTGAGCAAACGGCCTTTCTTCACATCTTCTACTGTGTTCATGCTGTCGTAGCGGTTGTTCTCATTTGAGATGGATCTATGTTTCTGCCTGGGAGTAGTTTGACCAATGTTTCGGCTGCTCAGAGATATTCTTGGAGTTTCCTCTGTGTCGTAAGGCAATGGAATTCGGCTGATGACTGAGGTTGTGGGAGAGGGAACTATTTTATTATGGGACTTTTCTCTGTAAATTTGCTGGGACACAGTTAGAGGAGATGGTTTGTGGTGAATTGGCTGAAAGGACGTGGCTCTTTCTTCAGAGTATAACGGTGCAGGCTTCTCTGATGTTTTCAATGGATCAGAAAGAGTAGATGTGACTGTGGTGGTGATGGTGGATGTGCCCGAAGCAGACACATATTTTGGCTCCATGAGAATCTTTCTTAAGGTGCTCGAACTAGGATCTATATCTGAGGCCTTGGTATCAGGAGGCAGAGGGGGATTTGAGGACGTATTGACAAGGTTCGTCGATTGTATGGAGGGAGTAACCACTGTGACGTGAACTGGTGGAGGGACATAAATTCTACTCTCTTCCGATTTTGGGGAGGAGTGGGGAATTTTAGGTATTCTTTGTGATAAATTGTGATGTGGAGCAGGCTGCAAGTCCGGCTCTAGAGAAATGGCGGGATGCTCGGTCGCGGATGGATGCTTTTTAAACGTGGATACATGGAAGTTGGCCGAGTGGCAGGCAGATTCTTTAGGCACAGGTTGTTCTACTTCAGGCTTCTCTGCCTCTTTGGGCGTATCGACTGTGATAGAACTTGTGACGTCGCGTCTGCAGGTTGCAACAGCAGTGACGACAGTGGCAGCAGCACTAGTCCCGGTGGTAACTGTAACTCCAATAGACGTAGGAGTCTCTGGGTTTTCTGGAATTGACTCAGGTAATTTTGATGGGGAGGGCTGGAGCTGCAACACTTTCACGGCAGACTCCTCCTTCTTGGTCGGCTTTCGTCCTCTTGCTTTCTTGGGCGATTTGGTCGGAACTTTGCCTGTTTTCTTCAATGTTTCATGAAGAGCGGGGGCTGGGCTGGGTGTCAAACTATTGTCTAAATGTGATGAAGCAGCAGTAGAGTTTGCTTTATGGGTCTCAGTCTCTGTAATCTCATTTGTTGAAGACGATACCGCAGAACCGGAGTTAGGCACAAGAGCGGGATAATTTGCAGCGGTTGTAAATCCATCTCCCTCTGCACTTACTTCAGCAGTGATGGAATCAATGGCTGCAGCGAGTTCGGTTTCACTGGCAGGATTGGCCCTCTTCTCTTCCTCGGGTTCTTCTGGCTCCGCACTGACCGGGGGCGATACTGTGGCTGTTGCGGCTGTAGATTCCTTATATGGACGAGCAGCTGCAAGTTTAGCGATATTTTCAACTGCTTGTTCTAATTCTTTCTGCCGAGCCAAAAGTGCAGCAGTGGGATCTACGTTCAGCTCAGACTCAGACATTACCTCGTTGTCATCTTTAGTCTCCAAAAAGATTTCTTGGTCATCCGTAATTATTTCTGGCTCAGTCTTTTCCTGGATTTTGATTTTAGTTTTAACATTTACGTTTTGCGAAGAGTCCTTCTGATTCTCTTCTGAGCGCAGTAAACCTTTAACGTCATCAACACTGACTCGGATCTCTAGATTTTTCAGATTGTGTGATCTTTCCTCGAGCTTCATGTTTCGTTTGACCCAGGCTGTCTTCGTTTTAGCACTCTTTGGTTGCTTTTCTGGAAGATTAACATTATTTTCAACTTTAGTTTGTTCCAATTTATGTCCAATGGGATCTTTGTCCTTTTTGAACAAAATGTCTGTCAAGTTTTCTGTTTTTTCAAATAAATTCCCAGTTATTTCTTGTTCATTGGTAATCTTGGTTTCTGTCTTTTCGGCGTCTTCATCAATATCATCCGTAGAGGTTTTGTTATATGGTTTCTTAATAGGCTCTGTCTTGTTCAGTTTTTTCTCAGCAGCTGCATTAGTGGCACTATATTGTCCTTTAGTCTGTGACTGAACACTGTCTGGATCTTTTTCAGCTTCTGTGTCCGTTTCTTTGACTTCAGTATCGTTCAACAATGATTTTTCATCCAATTTTGTTACTGACACATCCTCAACTCGTTTCATTCCTCTTTTGGGAGGACGTCCCCGCCTGGAGACAGGCAGTGGATTATCTGGAGGGAGATCCTTACAGGCAGCTCGTTTCCGTGTTAACCGCGATGATGGCGGTGTCTCTTCGTCTACTTCCCGCAGAGTAGCATAGACTGATCTTACGTTTCGACGCCGAGTTCGACCATGGATCAGAGTTGACTCAACCTTCTGCTCAGAATCAGACGAAGGATTTGGAGATTTTGAAGTGTTTTTAAATTCAGTCAGTTTGGGCACTTCTGCTCGAGGAGACATAGCTCTTTTAAGTTTCTCTTTATCGATACGCTCACTTTTCCGAGTTGCTGGTTTTTTACTGACAGCCGTGTTTGAAGCTTTAGGCGCTCGCGACACGGACGCTGGCTTAGGCCGCTTGGTTTTAGACTGTCGGCGACAAGGCAGAGGTTTTCTCAGCATTTCGAGGTCTGGATTACATTCTTCATTGTCATCTTCACTTTTAGGGGAGTCCTTTGTTTCTTCTTGGTCCATCTTTAAATATTCTAATTTTGTTTCAGTTTTTACGACTTCAGGTTTGTTCTCGATGATTGAATCAGAATCTGTGATTTCGGCCGCTCTTTCTTCAACTGTTTCTTCAGCCGTTCTCTCTGCCGTAACAAGCTCCGTTTCTTTTTTGGTTTCTTTCTGTTTTGCATGAGTGTCAGAATTGAGTTGTAACTCAACAGGTGAATGAGACTTAGTTGACTTACTTTGCTTTAATTCACTTGATTTGACGGGAGGTGTTGCTTCCAATTCCATGTTCTCCACTTTTACACTTTGTTCTGTGGCCTGGCTTACAATGGGTCGTAATATAGACTCTTTACTTAAAGGTACAGATGTACAAAGTGTCAAAGTTAACTGTGGACTGGCTGGTTTGTCTTCATCCATCAAAGCAGGTTCAGATTCTTTCTCTGACTTCACATGATCCTTTTGCTCATTTCTTTTAACATCAGCCACAAATTCATTTTCTGAACAGTTGTCTTTGTCTTTTTGTTGCTGAAGCTCCAGAAAACGGCTGTGAAAAAGCACAGTAGGTTCTTGTGGACTGCCACCAACAGTAGCTTTAGGTTTCACCTCAGTCCTATATGGCTTGACAGTTTTACAAACTCCTGGCACTACTTCATGGTCCTTACGCTCAAGATGCTGCAAGCGCCTCGAGTCCTGTTCGAAAATGGAACTATGCAGAAAGCGAGAGGCAAACAGTTCCTGGCGCTCGGAGTCTTGTGATTTCAGGTCTTCAGTTTTACTTGATATTTTTTCAACTGAATTTGTACGAGCTTTTTTCTTTTTCATATACCACGATGGGATCGGTCGTGGAGCTAGTTCTTCCTTATTCTTCTCTGAGCAGCTGTGAGAGACAGGGAACCGTGAGGGGAGAAAGGACCAATTATCTTCTCTCGTAGAATACAATGTTTTTGCTCTTTCCAACAGTGCCTTTGTGTCAGGAGTTATAGTTTTGTCTAAAGCAAAAGAGTAAAACTTGTTCTTTTCCAAAGAAGTGGACAACTTCAGATCGGTCATTCTCTCATCTCGATCCCTCAGAATAAAAGACAATGGACTGTTAGAAGATGGAGAAGACTCTTTTGTGTCTAACTCTTCATCAGAATCAGACTGGACTTCCCCCGGCTCCAGGTCCTGGCCCAGGTGCTGTTGGACACTCTGTTCTGAGCCCGTAAACATCAAACCTCCTCTTTCTCTTTCTGGTTTAAGGCTGTGGCTCCAGTGTTGCATCAAGCCCTCGTCACAGCGGTGTTTGGACAGCTCTGGTTGTGTGTTTGACAAATGTCTTGATGAACGACTAAATCTGCTCTTTAAAGTTTCTTTTGATGAAAGATGTTTCTCACCAGGTGATTTTCTCTCTTTATTCAGAATTCCAAGGGATATCTGACCAATGTCTTCATCTGTGTTGTAATGACTTCTCTCTGTTGGGGACGTCAACTCCTCATCCTCATTTGTCTTTTGGGTACTTTCAGAGTCATGATCTACTTTTATATTATCAAAATCAATAACATCTGATTTTCTTTGGTTACCGGTTGCAATGTCATCCCCAATTTTATTTTGTGTTGTTATAGTTACGTTGGACAAATTGTCATTTTCTTTATCAACACATGGTAAAAATTGGCTTGAAATTCTCCCAAACCTTTCTGACTCTGTGAGCTTTTGCATCAACCACTGAATCTGTTCACTCTGTTTATTGGAAATACAGCTTGGATCGGAGAAAGAATCCTCCCCAACGTCCCACTCTCTCCACTTCTCTCTGCTCTGCCCACTGTCAGACACATTGTACTTGTGTTCTTTTGATTCAATATCAACACCGTCATGTGTCAGTTTCACAGGAGATTCACTTTTCGAGCCTTCATAACCCTTTTTAAGTCGTGGTGAGGTTTTACAATGCGGAACGAGATGAGACTGATACGCAAGATCTATCATTCTTTCACAGTCCTCCAGATTCTGAGGACTATTTTTAGCAGCGTCTTCCATGGACCTTTCCTTGAGAGATTCCTTTGCGTGTAGTTTCAAATCATCCACTTCAGTCTCTTTTGTAAATGCTTTCTGTCTTGAATAAATAGGATTGTCTTCCCTACTCTTTTTCACTTTGTCCACGGGACCAGTTTCCTCAAAACGCCTTTTTCTTGCAGCCAAACGTTCCACATCTAGAGCAGTTGCGATGTCAAATCCCAACTCTGACTTCCCATGTTTTTTGGGTTTAATCTTTCCATCTCTATCCAGATTGTGAACAGCTACATCTCTGTTTTTCCCATGTTTGGAGACATTGCCTTTGGACGACTCAGAAAGAAAGAGAGGGCTTCTTTGCTCACTTAACGGAGACGAAAGTTGGGGACTGTCACTCCCACCTTTGCTCTTTTCTCCGGCATAACTTAACAACTTTCCTTCCTTTTCTTTCACACGTGTTAGCTGTACGACACAAGGCAGGAGGTCAAGTCTCCCTTTAGCTGAACTTTCTTTCGAACTTTTCATGAAGCTGGTTCGAAGAGCGACATCTGGGCTTGCGTCCCTGTTCAGCTCCACCATAGTCTCTGATGCCTGGAGTCCTGGTGGTCCAGTTTTCATTTTCTTAGGTCGTTTCACTTTTTCGCTTCTTTCTTTATGCACACGTTTCTCTTTGTCAACCAAGATACCGCGCTCTGTGTCAAACACCCTTTCTTTGTCTATTTTTTCACCTTTGCTATACCTTTCAGGGCGGGTTTTCTCAGGTTTTTCGAATCTCGGTGGAGAAAGAGAACTGCAACTCCCGCTTCTGTCGGAGGAGCGACAGCAGTGGCGATCAGCTTCAGTCGGGACTCTCTCTAAAAGGGGCGGGGTTGTGGTTGGTGTGGCAGGGCGTCGCGATGTCAGATGAGACGGGCTTTGACTTCGCTCGATGGTCCTTCGATTGTGGTCTCGTCCACGGTCCGTCTCAAACCTCTCGCGTTCTCGTTCGCGCTCTCGCTGCAGATAGCTGTATTTGCGGATGTCTTGTTCATACGGATCAGCTCTGTATTCCCTGAACTCTCTGTGGTCTTCAAAGTATTGGGTTTCATAGTAATCTCCCTGGTATGGATCCCACTCGGTGTAAAACTCCCGACTTCTTGTGGTGTATTTCCGGCTCGGATCATCTGTGTACGTTCTCGTGGTGCGAACGTTTTCATAATATTGTCTTTCTGCTTGATACTCATACTGCGTTCTTCGGTCATCCCTGAAAAACAATAGGACAGGATTAATGTATTTTTTCTGAAGACCGAACATAACTTTTTTGTTAAAGTGAAACATTTAGGAACAACACACACCTTCTCTCAGAAACGATATCATAGAAGTCTCGAATATCCTGCCCAGAAGCTTGCATCGAGCGATAGAAAGCCATCTGACTCTCCTGATTCGCAAAGTCAACCTTCAGATATCATGCATGCGTTAATTTCAATCAGAAATTCAAATTAAATTGAAATTTGAGGAGTTAAACATACCTTGATTTTACTCCCACCTATTTTCCATCCCTTTGTGTCTTTGACTGCAGCTTGTGCATATTCAATGTTGTTGTACAAAATAAGAGCCATCCCCTTCATGCGATCAAAAACCACCTGCAAAATGAATATGTTTAGTAAGTAACAAACACGATTTAGAAAGTATGATGATAATAAAGTAGACCATATTTACTTTGACAACATGCCCGTATCGACAGAAATGCCGTGTAAGAAACTGTTCGGTCGTGTTTGAGGCTAATCCGTCCAACCAGACACAGGTAGTGGGCATGCTCTTTCCAAAGCCCAACTGAAACAGATGCACGATATATCAACAAATGTACTGTTCATCTCATTGAACACTTTAAAGGTGCATGATATTGTTGACTACCATATATTGGTTGTCATGTACAAGGCATATAACAACCTTAGTCCACCCTGTATTCAGAAGCATTTTAAACTAAGAGAAAGTCAGAACAGCCTTCGGGGAACTGGTTATTTCACGTGTGGAGTGGAGTCACGTTATGGAACAATCTTGATGACCATTTAAAAACAGCAAAAACACGGAAATCGTTTAAAAGGGGGTTAAATCCAAAATTCTTGATAAATACCGAACAATGGTCTGAATATTCGTAACTGGGCTAAACCTTTGTGTGTTTCCTTTTGTTACTCGTCGTTCAGGACGTTGCTGATACTGCATCAGTTTGTACCGTATTGTTTCAGCTTTGAATATTTTGTGTTGCTATGGAAACGATCCGTATCCTTGTACTGGGTCAGGTGAAATAAGTTCAACTTCAGCCTGAACCCTTCCGTCGCATTGTAATTCTTTTGTTGTGTTGACAGCTAAATGTAACTTTGTTTTCTATGCTTGATCGAATAAACTACTACTGTATTTAGTTCCTGAATGGTTCATGAAGGCAGGTGCTGGAAACCGATCTTACCTTCAGTCTGTTGTTACCAAGATATTCGCCGTCCATTTTCTTTATAGCTTTACAGACACTGGCGATGTCACAGTACTGTAAGAAAGCGTACTGCGGGGCCCCATTCACCTTTTTTATGTCAATATCCTGAAACATATGATAAGTGTTAGATGTTTTTCATAGACATCAGCTCCAACATGACTCTAGCTGTAAGTCGTGTGTACAGAACGCACCACTATTTCTCCAAAGCGTTGGAAGATGTTAAGAAGATCATGGTAGGTCGTAGTTTTTTCCAGATTTCCAATGAATAACGTCCTTGTGGCTTTTGGATGAAACTCGTCAATTCTCTCATCCAAAGGTCGGAACTCATTTTCGCTTTCAGTTTCTGCGAGAAGAAATCGAGACATTCATGGGTTTCCTCCAATTTGCATTTCGCGGCGTTGACAAACCAGACAGATAATTCACCTGGACCGTTCCACGCCGTGACATCTATTTGCATTCCAAAGAAGAGCTTCCCTTTCGAAGCTGCCAGCGCTTTTTCTTGATCTTCTTGTTGTCGGAAAAACACCAAACCGTAACGCTCCTCTGAGGCGCCGTGAATTTGGACGGACGTAACTTTGCCGTGCTTTTTAAACTCATGGAACAGACCGTCCTTTAGGCTTGTATCTGGAAGACGGAAAGGCACGATGACTTTATCTGCGGGTTGATTTAGTGCATTGCATAATATCCAGACAAAAAATAATGAATTCACCTGTCGAGCGAACAGGAAGATTTTGGACCTTGATGCCAAAGCTTTTGCGCGGCTCGTCTTTGTCGAGGGAAGATAAGTGGAGCGTGGTGTGAGCGGGGACAGCAGCCGACTGGACCGAGCGAGCTGGAGACTCATCGCTGGAACTACTGCTAGAATCACTGTAAATATACGGTTAAATATCACTTGTTTTTGTGTAGATGAGGAGAGCGTTATTCAGCAGGGAACCATAACATGAGTATGTACATGAGGTTTTAATTAAAGAAGGAATATGTAAAAATGTGTCCAAAAGTGGTACTGCAGCCTCTCCCACTCTCCCTGACTCAGATTGCCAGATATGCAGACGAATCCAGCTGGGACCATAACAGCTGAATAGACAAGAGTTTTGTCAACAACAAATCTATAACCAACACCTTTTTCAAATCCTGGTTTTGTTCCTTGTTTTGTCGTTAATGATTTGAGAATCATAACGAGACCTTTTGTTAGTTCTGCGCCACATGGTACTTTACCAGTGAGATTAGCTCCACGCGGTGAGTTCTGGCGCCCGGATCACAGACTTTCTGATTGGTGAAACGGTGGAGGGCGGGACATCAAAATGAAAAAAATAACAAGATTTAGGGTAAAAGTAATTTAGAAATTGAAATATCTCTGAACTACGGGCGGCACGGTGGCTGAGTGGATAGCACTCTCGCCTCTCAGCAAGAAGGTCCTGGGTTCGAATCCCGGTTGGACCAGGGCCTTTCTGAGTGGAGTTTGCATGTTCTCCCCGTGTCTGCGTAGGTTTCCTCCGGTGCTCCGGTTTCCCTTACCACTAAAAATATGTACAATAGGTCTGGCATGTGCCTCCTGTACTGGCGACCCCCACTCCCAAAAATAACAATTGTAAACCGCTTTGAGACTCCGATGTCCAGTGAAAAGGCGGTATATAAATAAAGATTACTAAATAAAGATTACTAAGACTACTGTTTTCAGTTAAAGAATTTAGAAAACATGAATAAAAAGCATCCATCTTCAACCCTTTAATCCATTTCTGGGTCAGGGGGGTGGCAGTCAGAGATGCCACCCAAGTCTCATAGCACCAGCCCCTCACTGACCCTCTGCAGGTGGTGAGTCCACAGGAGGACGGCTGCTCTCTGAGTGTGAGCATAGCCTTGATCTTTCAGCGGGGGCTTTGGGCAAAGTGAACCCATGACCTTCAGGCCTGAAGGCCAATGCTCTACCAACTGAGCTACTGTCGCCCAAAAATAATAATAATCATATTTTTAAATCAATTTGTACATGTTTAAGAAATTAGCATTTGTTTTTGTCTTTCTGCTCCGTTTCATTTGTGTGACAAGACGACAATATATTAGAAATGTAATTGTAATTTTCATGTATTGTCATGTCCACAATTAAAATAAATAAGTATTTGAAAAGAGCATGTTTTATTAATGCCTTTGGACAGATTATGGCCCTTTAATGATGATCTTTTATAGATTATGTACATTACATTTAGTTCAATTTTTCTGTAAGTATCATGTATTTTGCCTTTATTGCTACAGCGCAGCAACACAAAGCAAAGGCAGTAACACAAACTACGGTGCAAGATTATGAATGATTTCTGCTGCGCCTTGTTGCCTCTGTATGTGCACAATGCGTGTGCTTAGGTTTTGCATGCCCTCTGGTGTCTGCCTCCATCTCCTCTGTCCAGACACTGCTGACAGAGCCTGGCCTGTGGGAGTGGGCAAACAGCCAGCAGTGGCCAGAATGTTCCGGTTCCAACTGGATCTCAGGGAGGCGGAGACTAAGGCAGCATCTCTGATTCTCTTCTAAAGCATTTCTCGATTCTGCCACATGTGTCGCTGTGTGTTCAGCTTCAGCCATGACGGAGACAAATGAGATGAAACAAGCCCACGGATGATGAGCTCCAACAACACGGTTCTGAGGGTTCTGAGCATCATGGAGCAGGAAACTCAAACTAACTATTCAGTCAGGAGCTGCAGTATTTCTCTGTCATAAAACTATGTTTGAAAGGGAATATAAGTAAATCAATGAATACAAACGAATGGATTATTGACTCATTTAGTCAGTGAAGAATTATGTCTGAACTGTTTTGGCAATGTATTTTAGACATGTATTTAACCAGAATAAACAGTAAAAAATAATCATTAACTCGATGAGATTTCATAACACTTTGAAGCAACTTTTGTTAAAGTTAAACTCATCATTCTATCAATGTGCAGAAGCCAGTACTTTTCCCTTGTTTTGTCTATCTGAAGGCCAAGCTACATGGCACCGTGGCAGCTGCTGATTGGAGGTCTCCATGCCTCCGCTCTGTATAATACACTTGCATTCTATTGTTTCTGTGTTCGTGATCGTGCTGTCTCTACCATTGACAATAAAACATGTCTTCTGTCTGAATTTATGACACGATCCCAGACTGTCATCTTCTTCAACTCATTTAAGAATGTTTATGACAGATCTATTAAAGGGATGTCCATGAACCAATGTGTGATAAAAAGAAGTCAGAATATGAATAAAGTGGTTTTGTATTTGTCGGAGTAGATTAAAGGTGAATGAGAGCAGTGCAGGACTGACCTGCCGCTGGTGCTGCTGCTGGTGCTGCTCACGGAGTCAGAGCTGGAAGAGCGGCTGCGAGAGCCAGAGCCGCTGCGGGAGCAGGGGCCGCGGGGGGCCGGGGGTCTCTGAGGAGAGGGGTTCCGAGAGTGTGAGGAGGGAGCAGAGCGGCTCCGACTGCGTCGATACGGCCGATCCCCTCGCCGCGCCCGCTCCTCCCGGTACAGGTCCCTGTGGACCACACTGGCCAAAGTGAAGGCCTCTCGGGCTCGCGGCTCGTAGCGGGACTCTGAGGTCTCAAAGTGACACGGGCTCCTGCTGTGGGAGCGGTAGAAGGCAACAACACTGGACGTAGACGCGGCTCCTGCGGTGCAGCCGGCGGACACCGCGGCGCCTGAGCCGGCGGTGGCACTGGTGCCAATAGTTCCACTAACCCCCGCTGTGCCCACGGAGCCACTGGTGGAGCCAGAGCTGCTCCCCGAGCTCCGGTAATAGTCTGCTTCATAGTGGCGCTGGCGCTCAAAGCTGCCGCTAGGACGCTCATGATGTCCGTAGGTGCCGTGGTCAAAGGTCCGATCCCGACTTTCAGCCGCTCTGACAACAAGAGAGAACACAGCATGAAACACTGAAGAAAACTTACATTTGTTTTAAAGTAGAAAGAAACATGCAGAGCTCAGACACAGTTTTCTGGTTTCTCTTTGTTTTTATTCTTACATAAAGCAGAGTTTAGATGGTTTTGAATGTTTTTATTTCATGTCTTCATTTGGTTAAATCCCAGAGCTCACGTCTGTTCTCAATAACAACATATGTTTAATTCATGTTTTCAGAGTTTCGAACATTAAATCCAAACCTCTTACAGTACTGTACGTGACAAAAACACAATCATTGATGAACTGGACTCAGAGCAAAGTCCTCGTGACGTCACAGACGTGTTTCCAACGGAATGTAAAAGATAAAAGTTATTTATGTTTGGGAGGTTCTGTCGTATTTGTTAATTACTGCTAAATATGATTAAAGTGATGTTTGTGATTTATACTTCTGTGTGTTATATATGTGTGTGTTATATATGTGTGTGTTATAAATATGTATATTATATATGTGTATGTTATATATGTGTAAATTATATATGTGTGTGTTATATATGTGTATGTTATATATATGTATATTATATATATGTATATTATATATGTGTATGTTATATATGTGTAAATTATATATGTGTGTGTTATATATGTGTATGTTATATATGTGTGTGTGTTATATATATGTGTGTGTGTTATATATGTGTGTGTTATATATATGTGTGTGTGTTATATATGTGTGTGTTATATATGTGTATGTTATATATGTGTGTGTGTTATATATATGTGTGTGTGTTATATATGTGTGTGTTATATATATGTGTGTGTGTTATATATGTGTGTGTTATATATGTGTGTGTTTTGAGGCAGAAGATCGTGGGTTCGAGCCCGACTTTCACCATCGACCCCCACTGTCTGCTGTCGTTGTGTCCTTGGCAAGACACTTAACCTCTGTGAACACCAGCCACAGTGGTGCGGCTGTGTCCTTAGGCAAGACACTTCCCCCGCGTTGCCTAGAATGAGTCTGGTGTGCGTGTGAATGGTTGGTGGTGGTCGTGTATATGTGTATATTATATGTGTGTGTTATATATGTGTGTGTTATATATGTGTATATTATATATATGTGTGTTATATATGTGTATATTATATATGTGTGTGTTATATATGTATATTATATATGTGTTTGTTATATGTATGTTATATATGTGTATGTTATATATATGTATATTATATATGTGTTTGTTATATGTATGTTATATATGTGTGTTATATATGTGTATGTTATATATGTGTATATTATATATGTGTATATTATATATGTGTATATTATATATATGTGTGTTATATATGTGTATGTTATATATATGTATGTTATATATGTGTATATTATATATGTGTAAATTATATTACAACATCTGAGTTTTTGGCTGAAATAAAATGAATAACTTCAGGCTCAGTCTCGTTTTTATTTTAATCACTGACTTTTCCTGTTCCAATGATTTTGATGTGAGTTTATTGAGTTTATAGTTTCCTGTATGGTTAACATCTGGGCCATGTACATTTGGTTGATACTCGTCAAGTCCTAATTCTGCCTGTGTCTTAGTTTGACAGCACTTGGTTTTACTAAAGATAAAGCAGTTAGAACTAAAAAAATGGGGTTCATTGTGCACTTATGGCCTAAAGATCAAATAAAATATTAAAGCCGCAAGCGGCGTCGGACGGCCCTCGCCCCACCGTGCGACTCCCCGCACCGCAGAGATGTCAGAATTTGACATCTCTCGAGCAAAAACAATAGACCCTTTCCTTATAAATATAATTATAGTTGAAAATGCCTTGGCTGTCGTTGCCTGTGGATAGTACTGCTCTTAAGGTGCGTTAATGGTGCTTTCAGACCGGATCATGCATTGCATCGGCTTTCAATGCAAAGTCAATGGTGACGCACGTTCGAGCGTCAAAACGCACAAACATCTTGGGACGCACGCACGGACTGCTCAGTAGAGACGCACGGACTGCTCTGTAGAGACGCACGGACTGCTCTGTAGAGACGCACGGACTGCTCTGTAGAGACGCACAGACTGCTCAGTAGAGACGCACGGACTGCTCTGTAGAGACGCACGGACTGCTCTGTAGAGACGCACGGACTGCTCAGTAGAGACGCACGGACTGCTCTGTAGAGACGCACAGACTGCTCAGTAGAGACGCACGGACTGCTCTGTAGAGACGCACGGACTGCTCTGTAGAGACGCACGGACTGCTCTGTAGAGACGCACGGACTGCTCTGTAGAGACGCACGGACTGCTCTGTAGAGACGCACGGACTGCTCTGTAGAGACGCACGGACTGCTCTGTAGAGACGCACGGACTGCTCTGTAGAGACGCACGGACTGTTCTGTAGAGACGCACGGACTGCTCTGTAGAGACGCACAGACTGCTCTGTAGAGACGCACGGACTGCTCTGTAGAGACTCACGGACTGTTCTGTAGAGACTCACGGACTGCTCTGTAGAGACGCACGGACTGCTCTGTAGAGACGCACGGACTGTTCTGTAGAGACGCACGGACTGCTCTGTAGAGACGCACGAACTGCTCAGTAGAGACGCACGGACTGCTCTGTAGAGACGCACGGACTGCTCTGTAGAGACGCACGGACTGCTCTGTAGAGACGCACGGACTGCTCTGTAGAGACGCACAGACTGCTCTGTAGAGACGCACGAACTGCTCTGTAGAGACACACGGACTGCTCAGTAGAGACGCACAGACTGCTCTGTAGAGACGCACGGACTGCTCTGTAGAGACGCACGGACTGCTCTGTAGAGACGCACGGACTGCTCTGTAGAGACGCACGGACTGCTCAGTAGAGACGCACGGACTGCTCTGTAGAGACGCACGGACTGTTCTGTAGAGACGCACGGACTGCTCTGTAGAGACGCACAGACTGCTCTGTAGAGACACACGGACTGCTCAGTAGAGACGCACGGAGACGCACGGACTGCTCTGTAGAGACGCACAGACTGCTCAGTAGAGACGCACGGAGACGCACGGACTGCTCTGTAGAGACACACGGACTGCTCAGTAGAGACGCACGGACTGCTCAATGGAGACGCACAGACTGCTCTGTAGAGACGCACGGACTGCTCTGTAGAGACGCACGGACTGCTCTGTAGAGACGCACGGACTGCGCGGGAAAGTCAAAGGGGAGGAGCAGGAGCGGAAAGTCGACGCCCACAGGAGATAAACTTTGCTCAACCTTTCCTCGGGACGTTCGTGCAGCGACCAATCAGAGAACTGCAAAGTGGTCACGTAGGGCTGGGCGATAAAACGATAACGATATATATTGAGATAGACACGTGTTTGATATCAATAGAAAACGGGGTCGATAGAACGTTCGTTAGTTTAGATCCATGGTTTAACTTCACTCCGTTCGAAAAAAACAGGAACAAAACACAGGAAGTAAAGCCGAGTCAGAAACGCGTGGCATTCTGGGTGATGTAGGCAGAGGCTTCTCGACCTATCACAGTCGACTACAAACCGCAAAACTTTCTGGGAAATGCAAAAACAACAACCGCACCATGCGTAGCGTCCATGGATCTATGGATCTATTAAAACAGCCATGGATCTAAAGATCGTGTTTCCGGCCGTGTCAATGGTTAAACACGTCCGTGCGAGGAACAGCATGTGCGGTGCGGAAGAGGCAGTGGGTACAGAGACTCCATGCATTCGACAAAAGCAAGAGATTAACTTTCCGGAGCCGTCACGGGGACACAAGACAAGGTCTAAACCAGGACTAAACCAGGATTAAACCAGGATTAAACCAGGACTAACTATGGGGGAGACTGCTTGTGAACATTTGGCTCCAGCCTCTCCCCCGTGACTGTAAACAAGGCTGCTAACATGTGTTAGCCGACACAACAAATGTATTTATTTACGTTTTAAAAAATAAATAAAAAACAACCGACCGATATGCATTACTTATATTGTGATATAGTTTTTAGCCATATCGCCCAGCCCTATGGTCACAGGGACATTGGTGGTCTGAGCGAGCAGACTGGACATACTGTAAACGGCCAAAACAGGAGCTACACCAGGACTTAAAACCAGGACTAAACCAGGACTAAACCAGGACTAAACCAGGGTTAACAATGGGAGACTGTGCTTGTGAACATGTGAGTTCTCATGCTCCCGTGACTTGCAACTGATTCGAATGTGTTCACCGATGAGGAAATACCGTTTAATAATAAAATAAACTTATTGCGCACCTCCGTGAACACATACTGCTGTTATATAAAGTCACCTCCGTGAACACATACTGCTATTATATAAAGTCACCTCCGTGAACAGATACTGCTGTTATATAAAGTCACCTCCGTGAACACATACTGCTGTTATATAAAGTCACCTCCGTGAACACATACTGCTGTTATATAAAGTCACCTCCGTGAACACATACTGCTGTTATATAAAGTCACCTCCGTGAACACATACTGCTGTTATATAAAGTCACCTCCGTGAACACATACTGCTGTTATATAAAGTCACAGTGAACACATATTGCTGTTATATAAAGTCACCTCCGTGAACACATACTGCTGTTATATAAAGTCACCTCCGTGAACACATACTGCCGTTATATAAAGTCACCTCCGTGAACACATACTGCTGTTATATAATGTCCCCTCCGTGAACACATACTGCTGTTATATAAAGTCACCTCCGTGAACACATACTGCTGTTATATAAAGTCACCTCCGTGAACACATACTACTGTTATATAAAGTCACCTCCGTGAACACATACTGCTGTTATATAAAGTCACCTCCGTGAACACATACTGCTGTTATATAAAGTCACCTCCGTGAACACATACTGCTGTTATATAAAGTCACAGTGAACACATATTGCTGTTATATAAAGTCACCTCCGTGAACACATACTGCTGTTATATAAAGTCACCTCCGTGAACACATACTGCTGTTATATAATGTCCCCTCCGTGAACACATACTGCTGTTATATAAAGTCACCTCCGTGAACACATACTGCTGTTATATAAAGTCACCTCCGTGAACACATACTGCTGTTATATAAAGTCACCTCTGTGAACACATACTGCTGTTATATAAAGTCACATCCGTGAACACATACTGCTGTTATATAAAGTCACCTCCGTGAACACATACTACTGTTATATAAAGTCACCTCCGTGAACACATACTGCTGTTATATAAAGTCACCTCCGTGAACACATACTGCTGTTATATAAAGTCACCTCCGTGAACACATACTGCTGTTATATAAAGTCACCTCCGTGAACATATACTGCTGTTATATAAAGTCACCTCCGTGAATATATACTGCTGTTATATAAAGTCACCTCCGTGAACACATACTGCTGTTATATAAAGTCACCTCCGTGAACATATACTGCTGTTATATAAAGTCACCTCCGTGAATATATACTGCTGTTATATAAAGTCACCTCCGTGAACACATACTGCTGTTATATAAAGTCACCTCCGTGAACACATACTGCTGTTATATAATGTCCCCTCCGTGAACACATACTGCTGTTATATAAAGTCACCTCCGTGAACACATACTGCTGTTATATAATGTCCCCTCCGTGAACACATACTGCTGTTATATAAAGTCACCTCCGTGAACACATACTGCTGTTATATAAAGTCACATCCGTGAACACATACTGCTGTTATATAAAGTCACCTCCGTGAACACATACTGCTGTTATATAAAGTCACCTCCGTGAACACATACTGCTGTTATATAAAGTCACATCCGTGAACACATACTGCTGTTATATAAAGTCACCTCCGTGAACACATACTGCTGTTATATAAAGTCACCTCTGTGAACACATACTGCTGTTATATAAAGTCACCTCCGTGAACACATACTGTTATATAAAGTCACCTCCGTGAACACATACTGCTGTTATATAAAGTCACCTCCGTGAACACATACTGCTGTTATATAAAGTCACCTCCGTGAACACATACTACTGTTATATAAAGTCACCTCCGTGAACATATACTGCTGTTATATAAAGTCACCTCCGTGAACACATACTGCTGTTATATAAAGTCACCTCCGTGAACACATACTGCTGTTATATAAAGTCACAGTGAACACATATTGCTGTTATATAAAGTCACCTCCGTGAACACATACTGCTGTTATATAAAGTCACCTCCGTGAACACATACTGCTGTTATATAATGTCCCCTCCGTGAACACATACTGCTGTTATATAAAGTCACCTCCGTGAACACATACTGCTGTTATATAAAGTCACCTCCGTGAACACATACTGCTGTTATATAAAGTCACCTCTGTGAACACATACTGCTGTTATATAAAGTCACATCCGTGAACACATACTGCTGTTATATAAAGTCACATCCGTGAACACATACTGCTGTTATATAAAGTCACCTCCATGAACACATACTACTGTTATATAAAGTCACCTCCGTGAACACATACTGCTGTTATATAAAGTCACCTCCGTGAACACATACTGCTGTTATATAAAGTCACCTCCGTGAACACATACTGCTGTTATATAAAGTCACCTCTGTGAACACATACTGCTGTTATATAAAGTCACCTCCGTGAACATATACTGCTGTTATATAAAGTCACCTCCGTGAATATATACTGCTGTTATATAAAGTCACCTCCGTGAACACATACTGCTGTTATATAAAGTCCGTGGAAGGTCTCAGACACAGACACGCTGCAGAGCTGCATTATTGGAGAAGATCTTTACACGAGAAGCCGCTAGCATAACTGTTAGCATCAGAGCCGGCCACTTCCTTGTCAGGACGTTCTGGTGTGAAGACCTCTGCGTCTGAAAACTAGAGAATGTGCGTCTGGTGAGCGAGGCTTCAGCGTTTGAGCGTTTGCGGTGTGAAAGCACCATTAGTCAAAGATGTGCAGCAGACGCACACATGTGCAGCAGACGCACACATGTGCAGCAGACGCACACATGTGCAGCAGACACACTCATGTGCAGCAGATACACACATGTGCAGCAGACACACACATGTGCAGCAGACGGCACGGGCGGCACGGTGGCTGAGTGGATAGCACTCTCGCCTCTCAGCAAGAAGGTCCTGGGTTCGAATCCCGGTCGGACCAGGGCCTTTCTGAGTGGAGTTTGCATGTTCTCCCCGTGTCTGCGTAGGTTTCCTCCGGGTACTCCGGTTTCCCCTACCACTAAAAATATGTCCAATAGTTCTGGCATGCGCTTCCTGTACTGGCGACCCCGCTCCCATCTCTGTGTGGAGTGAGAGACAAATGCCCAAAATTAACAATTGTAAACCGCTTTGAGACTCAGATCTGCAGTGAAAAGGCGGTATATAAATAAAACCTTACTTACCTTACCTTACTTACAGACGCACACATGTGCAGCAGACACACTCATGTGCAGCAGATACACACATGTGCAGCAGACACACACATGTGCCACATCATGTATGTGTGTGTATATATATATATATATATATATATATATATTAGGCCTGGGCGATATGGCAAAAAAGTAAAATCTCGATTTATTTCCTGCTTTGGACGATGTCGATTTTAAATCGATTTTCATTAAAGTCACTCAAGACAGACTTTTCCCGTAAAATATTTTTTATCTTCCCGCTCAATATTTAAGTTTCAAAACTATTTTTTATTTGTTTCCCCTAATACTTATTATAAAAGTCTTGTACAGACTGTGCTGATATCGCAAGTATAATTGATGTGCTGCTGGAACTCTCACAATATCCCTCATTCGATTTCACGATTTTCACATTTTTCACGAATTCGATTTTTTCAAAACCCAATTAATTGCCAAAATTCGATTTATTGCCCAGCCCTAATATATATATATACACATACACACATATATACTTTATTTTCTCGATGAGTGGGAGGGGCCCCCTCGGGCCCTGCAGGGGGGGGCCGCAGAGGGTGAGCTATTAATATTTATGTAACAGCTTTAGAAATAATCCATTCATTGGAGCTAATCTTTTAATAAAAAAATAACTATTTTAGTGTTATCTTGTGCTGCTCTGTCGCAGACCGCTGTGAGTGTGATTTTAATAAAGAAAAGCATTAATATCTAAATTTAAATATTCAATAGTTCTGTCTGTAAGACCCGGACAGAAGACCAGGCCGTAAGACCAGGCCGTAAGACCAGGCCGTGAGACCAGGCCGTGAGACCAGGCCGTGAGACCAGGCCGTGAGACCAGGCCGTAAGACCAGGCCGTAAGACCAGGCCGTAAGACCAGGCCGTAAGACCAGGCCGTAAGACCAGGCCGTAAGACCAGGCCGTAAGACCAGGCCGTAAGACCAGGCTGTAGAACCAGGTCATAGAACCAGGTCATAAGACCACGCCGTAAGACCAGGCTATAAGACCAGGCTGTAAGACCAGGACATAAGACCAGTCTGTAAGACCAGGACATAAGACCAGGACATAAGACTAGGCTGTAAGACCAGGCTGTAGACCAGGCCGTAAGACCAGGCCGTAAGACCAGGCCGTAAAACCAGGCCGTAAGACCAGGCTGTAAGACCAGGACATAAGACCACGCTGTAAGACCAGGTCAGGTCCATCTCTTTGAGCTTCTTTGGGGCTGATCTGCTGCTAGTGAATAATGACCACAACGTTAACGCTAATATAAAACTTATAATTTCAGTAAAAAACATGTTTTGCTTTAATTCTGTTTTTTGTTTGTTTTATTGGCTTTTGTTGTGCTTTCAAACTCTTGATATTTGGATTTATTGACACTCCTTTGGGGACAATCCATGAGGAAGACGGGAGTCGAACACACTTTTCAGGAGCCGTTTGTGCTGAAAACATCTTATTATATTTAGTTTAAAAACATAAAATGACATTCTCCTGACTCTTGAACAGAGAACACGCTGCTGGACTTTCTCTGGCTCTGTGGCTCTTAAATCTATGTACTTAAGTATTTACTGTACTTTGGACCCAGTTTATTATCTCTGGAGCAGGAGGGGACACTCAAAGAGACAAACGAGGCGGCTGTAAGAACGCTGATATTTGTCCTACATGTTTAAAACTTTATCATAACCGCATCAAATGTAAACGTAGAAGTAGTAAGTAATGTTTATTTATATACCGCCTTTCACAGACAAGGGTCACAAAGCAGTTTACAATTGTTATTATTATGTTGGGCATTTGTCTCTCACTCCACACAGAGATGGGAGGGGCCAGTACAGGAGGCGCATGCCAGAACTATTGTACATATTTTTAGTGGTAGGGGAAACCGGAGTACCCGGAGGAAACCTACGCAGACACAGGGAGAACATGCAAACTCCACTCAGAAAGGCCCTGGTCCGACCGGAATTCAAACCCAGGACCTTCTTGCTGAGAGGCGAGAGTGCTATCCACTCAGCCACCGTGCCGAGTGGATAGAAAACTAAAGCCAAAGCAGCGAGAGCACATGGAGCTACAGAGACTCCAGGGAGACTCCAGGTGGACTCCAGGTGGACTCCAGGTGGACTCCAGGTGGACTCCAGGGAGACTCCAGGTGGACTCCAGGTGGACTCCAGGTGGACTCCAGGTGGACTCCAGGTGGACTCCAGGGAGACTCCAGGTGGACTCCAGGGAGACTCCAGGTGGAGGGAGACTCCAGGTGGACTCCAGGTGGACTCCAGGTGGACTCCAGGTGGACTCCAGGGAGACTCCAGGGAGACTCCTGGTGGAGGGAGACTCCAGGTGGACGCCAGGTGGACTCTCCAGGTGGACTCCAGGTGGACTCCAGGGAGACTCCAGGGAGACTCCTGGTGGAGGGAGACTCCAGGTGGACTCCAGGTGGACTCCAGGGAGACTCCAGGGAGACTGCTGGTGGAGGGAGACTCCAGGGGGACTCCAGGGAGACTCCGGGTGGACTTCAGGGACACTTCAGGGAGACTCCAGGGAGACTCCAGGGAGACTCCGGGTGGACTCCAGGTGGACGTACATGTTTGAAAAAGATGTGTGTAATAAAAGGACGGGTTGTAAAATATCGATTTATCCCAATATACAATTCTGCAATTCTCGTTTTTTAAGTGTGATTCTTAAAGTAATTGTCTGGAGTTTGTCAGAAAAAAGACAGAGGTACATGATTTGAAAAAAAAAACGACCCAAGCCCCTCCCCCTTCCTTTCTGATTGGTCTACGCCTACTTTTCTGTGCACAATGGTCCACGACGTGCGAGGAGGGATTATTAACTTAAATATAAGAATCTATTATAATATTTAATCATAATGTATCACACAGCTCCTCACAGCAGCAGGAGAACGCTTTGTTGATTTGAATGTCATTTCAAAACGTTCTATTGATCATTATTTCTTGATAACCGACCTCTCAAAACAATAATGACCTCTGCCCTTCGGCAACGCACCCTCTGCTTGTACTTCAGGCGTAAAATACTAAGATTACTCTGGACAGTAGTTCGTACACTTCGTCACAACGGGCTTTCAGCGCCTGTCCCGAACCACTACTGTCTCTGAGAGAGAAGCTATCGGAGCTAGCCACGCTCAATAACACATTTAAATATTAATGGGAAAACACATTATACATATACATTTTTCACACACGTGCACGGAGGTTTTCAGAATGATCTGTTAAGGTTTTCATGACAAAAACACTGTTTTAATGCGATCGTGATAAACCTGGAAGTAGCTATTATCATTAATGGAACATCTGCAGAGGATCTGATTATGGATATAGGTTCAGTATATACATGATTATGGATATATAAATGATTATAGATATATCTATAATCATTTATATATCCATAATCATTTATATATGAACCCATATATAGGTTCATATATAAATGATTATGGATATAGGTTCATTATATAAATGATTATGGATGTAGGGTCAGTATATAAATGATTATAGATGTAGGGTCAGTATATAAATGATTATGGATATACAAAAACCAACAACTGAGCATGAGCGCCGATGATTGACAGCCCTTGGCATCACGTGATTGGTTAACGTGAACGGCATCGTGGATTCTGAGCTATAGCTAAGAGAAGGGAAGGCGGGACTTACCTGTAATATTGTAGAATTCATAAAGTGACGTATTTATATCAAAATTTAAGGCCAGGAGGTTAATTTAGTACAATTCTTAAAATGTTTAATTCATTTAGAGTTACAGACTATCACTTTAAGATAATAAATAGTAGTTTTATTTTGATATTATACTTTTGTTTGACGCAGACATTTTCTCACACTTCACTCACTCTAGAGCAGTGGTCCCCAAACTGCGGCCCGCGGGCCGGACCCGGCCCCCCTCTACATTTGATCCGGCCCCCTGAACAATACCAGAGAGTATTTTCATATGGGCTTGTTCACACTAAAGGGCACAAAAGTGTGACAAAAGGCAAAAATGTGATTTTAATAATCAGAAGATATTTCATGTTTTTCATGTTTCCAAACACCTCTCTGTCCTTTAGAAGTTGCTAGAACATAATGTTTTATACATTAGACAAGTTTCCTATAGCGGCCCTGTTGTTTTTATGTAACAGACGATGGTTTGACGGAATGAGCTGCGGAAGTTTGTTACGTATTTTTAGATGTCCACATTTGATTCAGAGATTCTATTTTTTGTTTTACATAGAGTAGAAACAAAGTGATAATTTCATATTGTCAACCAATTGATTGTGAAACCAGACCAGATATTTTTTTTCTCAAGTTTAATTGTTAGAGAAAAATGGACGGAAGCCATCACGTCCGTTACACATTTTTCAAGGGTAATTTATGTTTCTAACAATTCCTTTTTATATCAAGTGATTTACTGATGTTGTGTTAATGTTAATCTTGTGGGATTTCATCTTCTGCTTTCTCAGAGGACATTTTATTTTCTGTGTATCTGGCGTCACAGTAGAATGGTCCAATCAGAGGCTGATCTTTACTTTTTGAGTTATAACCTTTTAAAGTCCAGATACTTTAATTGACACTTTACTGTGAACACAAGTTAAAGTTGGACTTTTGCAATAAAAAGTTCCTTAGTTATGAACTTTTTTCATAATTAACTATTAGTTAGTAACTATTTCAACGCTGCAATCATCACACTTTTTCTGTTACAAACTGACCCGGCCCCCAGCGAAGAAGGGAAAAGTTATGTGGCCCTCACAGGAAAAGGTTTGGGGACCCCTGCTCTAGAGAGACAAGAGAAACATTCGCTTTTTTTGGTAAAAATGTAAAAAATATCACAAAAACCTCAATATTATCACATTTTTACTTTTGTTCAGTATTTGGAGTTGCCTTGTGTATGAACTGTGCTACACAAATAAACCTGCCTTGCCTTCGGTGTGTTAAAAATCTGTTAATTGTGTGGATCCATTACGTCTTAACTGATACGTTTTACCTCTGCCATGGGGTACTGTAATCACTGTGGTGTGTGTGTCTGTCTGTAAGCAACGTGACTACTTTCTCTCAAAAGTTATTTTCACAGATTTCAAAGATTATAATGATACACTACAGTCTTCTTTCCTTTTAACCACAGCTTCCTCCGGACTCAAAGGGGATTACTAACATCCTGCACTGCACTGGGCACCCCCCCGACATGGACTCACCCAAACACATTTAAATCAGAATTCCATACACTTCAATGGACTCTATATTGGTTGAAATAATAATAATAATAATAATTGTTGACCATTGTCATTGTTTTTATCCTAATATTATCCCTCGTTCTTCTCTCTTCCTCTATGACCAATTACTACAGGGGTGTCCAAACTTTTCAGTAAGAGGGCCACATTAGCTCAGGGCCACCAGTCCAGGGCCCGACATCACGGACTGAAAAACTGTCTTGACTGGCATCGGACAGCTTTATGATGATGTACAACAGAGCTGAAGTTGGCTGAATGACACATGTTTACCATCTACAGCTACATCAATAACAGAAGTGACACAATCAAAAGCCAGCTCAGTACGTTCTGGGCTTTAGAACAAGGTCTATACTGGCTGAGCTGAAGTTGGATGGATGACACAGTGAACTTCATGATCTCACAGACTCTGGGTTAGCGAGGCAGAGGGCCACATACGATGACACTGAGGGCCGCATTTGGCCCCCGGGCCTGAGTTTGGACATGCCTGAATTACTTTTTCACATGCACAAAATCTATGTATTTAAACTGATGAGGCACTTTTATCCAAATTATAAAATCTGTTATTTACAAAAAGATTTTTCCTTCAGCAAAAAGTATTTATTCATGAATATTTTAGAAAGCCACAAATAAAAACAGTAATTTCCTTTGTCTTGTCCTTTGATGTTAAAGCTCGTTTTTTACACTAATCTTTTTGTCGAGACGTTATTTTAACATTTTAACGTTCACTGCTCGAAGAAAACAATGTCATTTTTTGGGCGATTTTTTCAGATGTAGGAGCCCTAATCTTTCTTATCGTTTGTCAAATGGTAAACGGGCCTAAAGATTATCCTCCAAACGGTTGAGGAAACTATTAAAGGGTTAAAACAAGTTAAATGTTTAAAGAATTTAAGGAATTGTGTCATTTCAATCTCAATTTTATGAATAAACTGGAAAATGTTTTGAATTTTCGCCGGTGGTTTCTCTTCAGCTCGAGTCAAACTAAACAAATATCGTATGTGTTAGAATCCTAAATAACGCTTGTGCTTTTCTTGGGTCAAAATTACCAAACACAATGATTTACAAATACCCACAAAATAAAAAAAAACAATCGAGATGATTTTTGAGGATTTTTCCCAAATGACCTAGCCTGGTCGTACCACACCATGGTACTCATTTCATTTGGTACTAAGGTCTGGATTTGCTTCATTGACTCAGTTAACAGGTGGGAGGGGCTAACTCCTTTTGCAGATTGAAACAATTGGATCTGAGTTTACTGTGATGTATGTAATGAACCCGTACTAAATGCTCGTTAGCATTTAGTATTTAGCCTAGCTTTAGCATGTAGCTTAGCTTTAGCCATCTCCTTTGCCACTAACGGAGCCTGTGGGGAGTAGCGCCACAATCTTTGCAGCGATTACAACCTTTTCCACCTTTCAACAATTCCACCTTTTTTTCTACGCCTGTAACCTGTGCACTCAAACCCGTACGTAAACTTCAAATGTGCACACTTTTGAAGTTTCCCCCGATCATAATTTATGGGCTGTTTTTTTCTCTGGCGGCTCCTTTTCAAGTGGGGTGAAGAAGTGTAGGGTGCATTGTGGGTAATGGGACAGGACCATACTCTGTGCTTTTCCTCACTTCCTGTTCGTCCATTCTCTCTTCCATGTTTATCCCTGTCTAGTTTTTCCAGTTCTGGAAAATTTAGACTTTTTGTCACTCTGGATGTGGATTTTAATCAATTACATTTCATTTTCAGTCTTGCATTTTGGGTTCCCATTTTTCTCCCTCTCCCCCGGTGACAAAATTAGGGTCTAAAAGAGTTTTAAATGACCCAGGGGTGGTCAAGGAAAAACCTCCATTTTAGCTCAAAGAAAAAAAACATTTAGGGTGTTTTTCACTGTCTGAGTAGAGAACAAGGGATAATAATATTAAGATTGCTGGATTATCAAAATAATTATTAAAACAACCTAGTGCTGTCGCTAATATGAATGTTTTATCAGAGAAACGTAAGAAGACGAGATAAAAGGAAAGACAATCAGAAGAAAACATTTCTAAGTCTAACACTGGGTTAGTGGGAAATGGAGAGGCTGTAACTAGGGGGTTAAAGAGGACAGCTGAAATACACAGGGGAGAATATACCAACCTTTTGAGAGAGTGGTAACTTGACCTATAATTCCAATTAAAGTGTAAGGAGAGAGTATTGTGAGCTGAAACGATGAGCAAAAAATGTCCAGGCGGCCATTTGTAATCCTCACTTTGACAGGAGGATGTGTGGCTTTCACTCGAGACTGGGTTTGTTCTTCTCCAGGTAAAAAAAACAAAAACAAAAATTAGACACGGCTCGAGATATCCTCACTTTGGATGGACGGAAACAGCCAAAAACGTCGTTCATCTTCAGCGTACATCCAATAACCCGTCAGGCGTCAGGCCCCGAACCCGGCTGTACGTTCTGAAATCCCTCTCGGAGCAAACCAGACGTTAATCCAGACTTGTGACGGAGAAGAAGCAAGCAAAACACCCAAACGCCACACCGTAATTCATTCAGGAATCCCCAAAATGGTTGTGCTGTCCAAGTACATCATGTCTTCATCTGTTCATGGTTTGTATCCATTGCATTGTATTCTCAGTTCGGGGAATATTCCATTGGCAGGTGCGGGAGGCGGGGAAGGGTCTGTTGCTTTACTGTACAATCCAAGCTAAGTCTTTGTCGGTTTTAACCCTAAAAAAAACATATTGTCCTTCACCGAAATAGTCCGATGCCGCTGCCGGTGTACATCCTTTCATGGCACTTCCGGAGTATTCCATAGATAAGCTGTAGTTATCCCAAAGTTGGTTGTCGGGAAGCCATTTTTTCTTTTTGACTAGAAGCATCCAAGTGTGTGTTTTATAAGGCGTGAACTTGGAAGGGCGTAAATCCACCAAGCAAAACACTCCAGAATCGTGGAATCCCAGCGATACCCGACGGACCACTCTCTCTTTCTCCCTTTCCCCCAACACAAACTATAAAAAAAATCCTGGGAATTTTTTGCGGAATCCAATCTTTGGGGGGAAAATTATACATCCACAAATACTCTTCTCTCAATTCACCTCTAAACACATGTTGCAATGATGGACAAATCCAATGGGCTATCATGACCTAAATATCCTTTCTCCCGGAATTCTCATTTTAAACCCCCAACAGATAAATGAGAGATGATGAAAAGATGCTTGGAGGTGAGGTGTTAACAAGTTACCACAGGTTCCTCTGCCTTCGGAGAAACTGAATCCACTTACCCGTCTAGTCTGCGTTCATAGCGTCCATCTCTGCTGTGGAGTGACGTGGTCGGGCCATATACTGACCCACTGGACGCCCTCGTGAACCCTGATACATCCCGGCCACGAGGACCTAAAGCCAGGCTATCGTCCAGAGCCCGTGCCGCGCTAGGAATGGTCCCCGGTTCATTGTAATCGGTCCGCAGGTCTCTGTCCCCCATCTTGTTGATTGCATTGTGAGCTTTTTGAGCACTTTTAATGTCCACAAAATCCACAAATGCAGCCACTCCTCCTTCAGAGCCGCGCTTCGGAAGGACCTTGACACTCTCCACACGTCCATATCTACGGAAGAAGAGGAAGCACGGTTTTAATGACAGTTCAAATCCAGGCTGCATTGCACAGTCCGGGGGATTTGGCAACAGTCGATCAGTCTGAGAAGGTGCACAGAGAGATCGGTACAAGATTTTGAGTCTGAAATTGAATCTTTCAGCAAATGTTCTTTTATTGAACTCAGCTCAAATGGAACCAGTTGGATGTTCATATTTATAATCATCAGTGTTATTACAATTACCCCAAACCTATTCCCTCATGTCTCTGCAGTTGGGTCTTATAATGTTTGACAAGACGTTTAAAATAAGAAGCATCTGTTAATATTAGTCAGGGACCAGGTGCACAAACCTTTAAATCATGTCATATTGTTCAGAAGAATAGATGCACCCACGCACAGGCTGCATTTTGCACAGTCCTAGTATTTCCCCATTTCCCCCGATCATAATTTATGGGCTGTTTTTTTCTCTGGCGGCTCCTTTTCAAGTGGGGTGTCCACAAATGTATCCAACACCAAACAGCCCCCGACGCCATTTTAGAAAAGCTGCTCACTCTGTTTACTCATTGTGCAGTTTCCCATCTTCAATGGCTCCTATCACACAGTGGGGTCCGTGCACCTGCAGCCCCCGCTCCCCCCGCAGACAGAGCCGCAGAAAAGCACTGCTGCTCATCCTCCCGCAGGAGCCAGGGGCCAGGAGCAAGGAGCCAGGAGCCAAGAGCAGGAGCAGGAGCCGGGAGCCTCCGCTTCGACACCAGCCCCACGGCACATCTGCAGCGGCTCTAATAAACAATATCCTGCACAGGCTGCAGCAGAGGCAGAGAGCGGCGTCACAGCCGCGGCTGAATCAAAGCAGGTTGTTTTCTCTGCCACATGTAAATCAGCTTCACCGAGCTCTCCGTGCGCGTCAGGACATGACTCACGGAGCAGTGGAGTCGGTTTATTGCAGAAGGGTCTGTACAGTCCTCTGCTCATACAGTGGCGTGTTGCCATTTCCTTGACAGTGCACGGAGCGGCGAGTGCGCGCACCCAGAATCTAAACACATTATATTCATAAGCAACAAAGAATCAGGCGTAAATGAGCCCTGGCCACACGCACGCGTCCCGCAGACACACGTCTCCAGGACATTCTGGAGACTAATGGATGGAGTGTGTTCAGCTTTCTCTGCTTCACGATCATTCTGTGGCTTTTCTTTCGCCAACGTGAGAGTTTTGCGCGATCAATTCTCATGGCGGCGTGATGTCTGGCTGCTCTCACATTCACTGCTCTGAACCAAAAGCTTTTAGGATGACGATGTCGATCACAGCTGCGGTTCTCTGCCGTGCACGATGGCACTGGCCGCACGCACGGTATGGAGAACGCACTGATGTAGGGTCCTCAGACTGTGACTGTAAATGTCGAAAGCAAAGCTTTTGTGAGCCTGCTTCATGATGGTAAAGTGACATGCCTCGGAGACGGCTCTGTCTCTCTCCTCACACTGCTCCATCCGCGGGTGTCAGAGGATGCTCCTGTCCCTGTGCTCACGGACCACAGGGACATGAAGCTTCTTTAAAGGCTACTTACCGCTTGAAGTGCTCAACGATTTTCTCTTCTCGGACATTTTCAGGTAAATTTCCCACCCATAAATGTCTGGTTTCCCGGACCATAATTTGAGCCCCAGCTCTGCGCTCATACAGATGTGTTTGCGAGTTTCTTCTTGTGCAAAAAACAAGTCTTCGCAAAATCTACGGCTGAAGAAAAACACCAGAGAAATTCATTGAGTGGTCGCTGTGACCCGATGTAAACCATTGCGCCGGATCTCTGCACTCTGTTTGATACGCTCCATAGTTGAAGCGCGATCTTGCACCTCCTCGTGAACGCGCTCGAACTGTTCCCGTGACGAGGCGCGCCCCTGACACCATGCGACCTTTCACTGTCATTAGGAGCAGCCCAGAGATGCAGCCCCTTCTCAGACAGCTCCGAGCAGTCTCCGTGCACAGGTCCGTGCACAGGCGTGGCAAACTGAAGTCTCTATTCTTTTTTTTTTTTCCTGCAATGAAACGCTGCCAGTCACTACGCATGCGTGTGAAAACCCCAGTTGTCACCTGAAGACTGAACTGAAGTTGTGTACAGTACTGAATGATGACGCTGCAGACGTAAACCATCCATTCCCAGCAAATGTAAGACCCTGACGTAGAGCCCCTTGTCGCCCGGGCTCTACTCCCATGATCCTCTGCGCTCTCAGCCCTGTGTGCATGTGGTTGTTGGGTCAATGCTCACTGTCTTTACTGTAGTTATCCTAAAAGAGCTGCTGTCGGTGCAGAGGAGGGTAATGGTTAACACACTATCAGCCTGTGTTCAAAGGTCCCTGGGAGCCGCAATTACAACAGATATGGACAAATAAGTTCTTAATGTGTGTTATCTTACAGTGTGTAACATACTCGAGTATTTGTGGTGCTATGGTGCGCTCCTCTTTGCCGTTTTTCTGTTTTATACTTTTTTTTTTGTAGACATTTACCAGGACATGGGCATCCTTAATTAGCCTGTTTAAAATGGGAACTTCAACTATAATTTATTATTTACATTGTGTTTAAATGTCCACATAAATCCACTTATCATTGCAGTCTGTGTGAATCTTTCTGTTTTCTCTGTATAATAACTTATTTATATCTAACAGACTCTAATACTGTGCCTTTAAGTGTTCTGTACTTTCTGTTGGATTTACAGACTGTGCACAATTGTGAAAACCCAAATGAACAGAATATATATACTAATAATAATAGCACTTATAGTTTCACAGTGACTCAGTGCATGTGTATTAGAGCTGCAACTAACGATTATTCGTAATCGATTAATCTATCGATTATTTTTACGATTAATCGAGTAATCGCTTGGCTGTGAATTGTGTAGAAAAAAATATTTTTTCATCACAAAAAGCTAAAGTAGCAACACTCGAGGACGTATTGATGGCGTAAACTTAAAGTAAATGTTTGTAACAGGCTCTTTGTGCTAATTCTGCTCTGATTGGATGAAATGAAATTATAAAAACAAAGTCGGTTTTAATCAAAAATACTACATTTTCATGTCATTTTTGCTCTGTTTGAGTCCGTGTGAACCAGAAAACAATTAATCGATTACTAAAATAGTTGTCGACTATTTCAATAATCGATTAGTCGTCAATTAATCGATTAGTTGTTTCAGCCCTAATGTGTATTTTGCCCTAATTCCAGAATGACTTATTGACTCTAATTTAATGGACACAAAAATAAATTATTGTTCATTTCATTAAATAATTACGATTTTTTTCCTTTGAGAATGATCTAATTAACAATTGTCAACTTTGATCTGCTCTTTTTCATTCATAAACAATGGGAAGTATCTGTCATTCAAACACAGTCAGTATGTAATGTGAAAATGATGTGGTTCTTTTCACATGTTTGTCCTGTTTTTAAAGTGGACATATCGTGTTTTCAAATAATTGATTTTTACATCTAAATCATTAATTTGTGGCCTATATAAAGCGTAACTGCAATGCCTGGGTCTGAGTCTCATTATTTGTAGTTCCACGGGCCTTTCTTCTATACCTGTTCTGAGGTGCGTCTGAGAGCAACCTGTTTTGGTACTGTCTCTTTAAATGCAAATGAGGCGCTTTTGACCACGCCCCCATCCAGGTGACACAGGTTCAACTCCACCCCGAGCGGCCATTTTTGTAGTTACTAAGCACAAATACAATTATCTCATAGAAACTTCTCATTACATCGCAAACATGAAGCAGGCCTTCCTCATTGACTGAAAGCAAATGTTAATTTTCATTCTTAGTCCAGTCTTATTATCGACTCTTCTCTTTTTAGCTTTGGGATGCGCACAGTCTATGATGCTCACACGCCGGTTTGTTTACAACAGCGGCCGCCCGGCACGGGCCTACGTCGCAGGATATGACGCACTACGTTGACAGAAATGTTTAAATTGAATATTACTAATGCACAATTTTACAGCATTTAAAAACTTTAAGAACGTTTTTCCTTCTACAGAAGGAAAGAGACGCATGCACCTCCGGAGCCGCAGGTTGCCGACTCCTGGTTTATACAGTATGTGGAAGCAAATACTGTAGAGGATCAGGATATGTGCAGTTTCAACAATAAAATAAAATGCAATAGTCTACATACAAGAGAGAATAAACATGTCTCAGAGTGAGGGAGGTGGACACAGACAACACTATTGTTTGTTACAGGGATGAGAATTGGTCAAAAAAGACTGAAATGAATATTGTCAACCATTTACTGGCTCTAAATCTGTTTAATTTGTTCACAACATATTACTTTTGGGCTCAAACATGAACTTTTTATTCAATGCAAAATGTAGGTATCAGAGCTTTATTTAGGGCGTTTAATCGCGCTTCGAGAGGAGAGGGGAGACGCGGACTGTTTCCTGCAGCAGTGTATTTATTGGATGCACAGATTACTCAAAGACACGCATGGTCCTGTGCGCGTTTATAGGGTTGGGTACATGGCCACGTTGAGGCTGCGCGCTCAGCCACAACACGGTGGAGCGGCTGCGAGCGGCTGGACGCTCACAGCCTCTCGCAGCCGCTGGACGCGGAAGCTGCTCATTACAAAGCGGCCGCAGATGCCCCGGAACACTGCGGCCGCTGAGGTGGCGGAATCCCGTTCGAGTACATACAGCAGGTGCCCGCGGATACGCGCGCCCCGCTCAAACCATTTTCAACGGATTTACACTTCTCATAAACATGTGTTTTGTATGAAGCAGACAGACCGGCCCAAATATGGGCATAGGCCCTTTGGGCATTGCCCGGTACGCCCGATGTCCAGTCCAGCCCTGTTCGCTGGCATTCTTGAGCTTGGACTACAAATTCGAAGTGATGCACAGTAGAGGAGGGTTGGGCCAAAGTGTTTTGTTTGACGCCCATGCCCTTATATAGCAGTCTCGCTGCAAATACTGTGACGTAATAATTCTAAACACGTAATAGAGAATGGCAAAATCAGAACGGGTTGAAATATCTTACCTAAACAGAATATGAAGTGTTCTCTGCAACCCATGAAGAGACTGATTTCAACTTTTTTGCACTTCTAGAGGCTCCAACTACACATCATAAGGCATTTAAGGGACAAAAAGTGGATTTTTCATGATATGTCCCCTTTAAAGGGGTATGGTATGGTATGGTATGGTATGGTATGGTATGGTATGGTATGGTATGTATTTTTACAGGGGCAGTGTACAATAAACATTAGCCAGAAGGAGAGATGCATTGTACCAGGTTGCAGCAGCAGTGCTAATTTCCACCTGCAGTCCCCGAGCAGGTTGTTGTAAACAGTAAACTAAAAGTAGATGGATACATGACCAACATTATCAGACATACAATTTAATTTATCACAGATTAGATTATAAGAAAGTGACATAAAACCACCCAACCCCCATTCTTTACTCTCTTCAGATTGAGATTACTGTGCCCTAACGAAGACCGCTTTGGAACCTGCTCCTTGTCAGACCACACAATACAATACAATACAATACAATTTATTCTTGTATAGCCCTAGGTCACAACAGAAGTCATCTCAGAGGACTTAACAAAACCATTGAAATCACCAACACACACAGAAGAAAAAGTCCATACATGTTGTAGAATGCTAAAGTGTCCTGATCATCACCAATCCTTTCTGTTGGACACTAACTGTCCAACAAGACCCTCCTGCATCGACAAGGAAAAACTCTTAAAAAACCCAGTGGGAAAAAGTGAGAAACCTTGGAGGAGAACTAGGGAAACCCACAGGGAGGGAGACCCATATGAGAAAGGGATCCGCTCCTCCGGACGGACAGGCTAATGATCTAGGACCTAAGCTAGCTACAGAACGTGGACCAGTGGCCGCTGAACGTGGACAGGTCCGGTGCAGGACTGAAGCACTCCCAGGCGGGTCAGGCGGGGCAGTCCGCAGGTGTAGATGGAAGAGGCCAGGCTCAGAGATCCCGTCATCGTACCATGAAACAGACAATGGGACAACGGGTGAATAGCAATGAACAAACTACAGTCAGAATCCTAAAAATGCTAAACAGATAAAGTAGGAAGGAGGAGAGGATAGTGCTCAAGTTACCATACTTCTCCCAGCAAACTGACTCCCTATGCAGCTTGACTGACACTCTGAGGAGTTTAACCTTCTCCGAGTCTTACCTTCCTAGCCATATGCTAAACTAAAGAGGACTGTTTTAAACCTAGCCTTGAATAAAGAATAACATACAGCATAATATATAACATAATATACAACATAACACAATACATTATTGAATAATATATAACATAATATATAACATAATACAGCATATATATATAATATATACACTACATATTATATATTACCTAATTATATGCTAAATTAAAGTAAAGTGCTTTAAGCCTGGCCTTGAATGTGGAGACCGTATCTGCTTCCTTAACATAAATGGGAAGCTGATTCCACAGTAAAGGAGCTTGGAGCTAAATGCTCTGCCACCAACAGTGATTTTTGAGACCTTAGGGACCACCAGACGTCTGGCGTTTTGTGAGCGCAACGCTCGACCTGGTTGATACGACACTAACGTGTCTTGGAGATAAGAAGGAGCCAAGCCATTTATGGCTTTATATGTTAAGAGTAGGATTTTAAACTTTATTCTGTACTCCACAGGGAGCCAGTGGAGTGATTTTACACGTTGTAGTGTAAATTTTACAGTGGAGTGGTTTTACACGTTGTATAAAACCATCTGCTCAACATTGATAAGTAATAATTATTTATACAGCGCCTTCTACAGCCCAGAGTCACTAAGCACTTTACAATCTTTATTATGCTAAAGCTAGAGATTTCAAACTGCTTCTTAAAGATTGTTATTTTATCAAGTGTCGAGTTATTGTTCATCTTTCTTGTGTGCTACCTCCTGTAATGACGCCACACTGACATTTCCCGACATCTTCATAGTTGTGGGCGTTTGTCTCTCTCTCCACACAGAGATGGGAGCGGGGTCAGAACAGGAGGCTCATGCAAGAACCTATTGTACATGTTTTTACTGGTATGGAAACCGGAGCACCTGGAGGACGCAGACACGGGGAGAACATTCAAACTCCACTCAGAAAGGGCCTGTTCCGACCGGGATTCGAACCACTCTTGTTGAGAAGCGAGAGAGTTGATATAGAAGCACCAGTCTTAACTAATCTCCACTAATAATACTACCCACTGGAAAAAACATTTTAACCAACAACAAATGAAACCTTTTTAAGAATAATTACCTCCAGCATGTTTTTGAATTGTTGTCATAGGCTTTGAATTTGACTTATAAATGTCCATGAGGCTGGAGGACTCTCGTGTTAATCCGCCATCTTGAAATACAGAGGCTGATAAGGGACAAAAAGGAGTTTGGGCGGGAAAAAAATACCTTTAAAAATCTGGTGTTTATCATTGACGAAGGGCATCTGCATGACTAGAGCCTGAAATAATTATCAGCCTAAATCTTAACTCATTGTGTCCCATTGACGCACAAATACGTCAAAGCAAATAGTAACGTCGTGTGCCATTGACGCATTAATACGTCAATTGCCTTTTTCGCTATTTTCACGTTCCCAGATGTCTATTGTATCTAATATGTATGGGGATGACTTGAGACCATATTTTATCGAGCCAGCAGGTGGCAGCATTTCTCTCTGAATGGTTTGAAAACATGTAGGTGCACATGTTGTGCCTCTTTTTTCTCAACTTTCTGGTGATTTCTGGTGATTTCAGTAAAACTTCCCTCTACTCGACGGAGGATTACAGGGGAACGAAAAAAGCTATAAACAAAATTCTTTTTGCTGAGGAAAGTAGACAGTCCATTCTTTTAGAATCTGGTGTCGGATTTCAGATAGTAGTACACAATATTCTGTGGGTCTTGAAAAATCAGTAAAAATCATCAGAAATGGCTGGCACTGTGGGAGTACCTGTTCTGAAATAGGCTGGCATTCAATGAATTAAAGTTTATTTTTATTTATTTTAAGTTGACATAATTCTAAAAACTCACGCTCGTTCCATAGAGAAGTTTTATTTTTTTTATTTTTTTTGCCGTTTGGAAAAGAGCTCTGGTGTGTGCCATACTCTGTCTGGGGCACACTGGAGTAGTCTTGCGCAGTTTTTCCAATGTGGTTTTACTGCAAATGGCAAATACATTCTTGAATCTTGCTTGTTTGTTGTTTACAAAAAATTCATGCAGTTAAGTAATTCAAGTTACTCAAAACAGATTTGAAATTACTCCAGTACTAGTAGAATACAAAGAAAACAAAACAAATGAATGGCTTTTGTATTAACATTACAGAAAGTGACAAATCTACAAACCACCTCACAGTTACTTCATACAATATTTACAAAGGCTGAGAACTGAAGATTCGTTCAGTAGCCTCTATGCTAGCACAGACTCCTGTTAGCTTGATCTTTTGAGGTCTAGATCTTCTGGGCCTTTTCCTCCACGTAGAGCTGCATCTGGGAAAAAAGTGCATGAATAACATCAGCGGAAATATTCTTCACTCCATCTTTTTACCAAGCAACAGAGGTTTTATCAATATTGTGTATCAAGCATGGATCTATAATAACTGGATAGAGTATTACTAGCTTATAGCTGTCCCACCCATGGCCAAAGGGGGCGCTGTGGTGCTGCAGACTAAATTCACAAGGGTTATCCAGAAATTTTACCCGTAGGTCTCAATGTAAACTAAAACAGCTCGACCTCAGCTGACAGAGAGCCCACAGTTTTCGTAAAGTTTGGATTTTGTGGGGATTTTAGTGTCCCTTGTCATCCAGAACTTTTTTTCTTCTTAAATCCTTCTGTTTTCTTTAAATCCACACTTTACTGCCACAAACTCTGCTCCTTTCCTTCCCGCTCTGACTCCGCTCTGCTGCTGCTCTGATCAGCTGTGATTGGTCAAAACGCGGCCGAGCTCTTCTGTGCACTTGCATGAAAGCCACACACGCATATTTGCCGCAAAGCATCATGGGAGGTCATCAACTGCGCAGAAACGGGAGGACCAGACGATGCCCAAATATGGGCGAGTTCAGCTAATCTCTCAGTCCCCGTGTCTGTCCCATGCACTACTGAGCACAAGCCATTGATTTGAACAGGGCGCCATCTTGGATCAGCGGGGGGGAGATTATGGCAGTAAAGTGTGAATTTAAAGAAAACCGAAAGATTTAAGAGGAAAAAAAAATTCAGGACAACAAGGGACACTAAAATCCCCACAAAATCCTCCTTTATAAAAGCTGTAGGTTCTCTGTCAGGTTCTCTGTCAGCTGAGGTTACATTGAGTTCTATGGGACTTTTTTCTGTGAATCCCACCTGATTTTAGTCTGCAGCACCACAGCGCCCCCTGTGCCCATAGGTGGTACAGCTATAAGCTAGTAATACTCTATCCAGATATTATTATAGATCCATGGTCTACACCTGGTGGAGATGCGATGTACCCTGTAGCTTTTAACTAGAATGTGGTGACTTTTAGAGCCCTGCACTTGAGCCCTAGGCCCGATGACCGTATAACTACCTCGGACACGGGCCAGGTTCGGGCACTTTTATTTACTCATATTCACCATAACCTGGTCTGAAATCACAGCTAGAAATTGAGTTGTACGTTTTCTCCAACTTTTAGCATCAATCATCATCTGAAATGATGACTCTACCGTTCAAAAGTTTGGGGTCAAGTGTTTTCCATGAAAAGTCACACTTATTCACCACCATACGTTGTGAAATGAATAGAAAATAGAGTCAAGACATTGACATGGTTAGAAATAATCATTTGTATTTGAAATAAGATTTATTTTACATCCAACTTTGCTTTCGTCAAAGAATCCTCCATTTTCAGCAATTACAACATTGCACCAAAAACCAGACATTTGCAGCTAGAACAGCCATTTACCACATAAGCAATGTATAGAGTGTGTTTCTTTACAGTTAAGACTAGTTTAAAGTTATCTAGAGCTTTTCCTTCAAAAATAAGGACATTTCAATGTGACCCCAAACTTTTGAACAGTAGTGTAGCAACAGGGTCGGCCACGCCTCCTCACTAAGATAGGAGTTCTCCGAGAAGGTTCTATTAGTATTAGATAGCAATATGGCCTACGTGCAGGACTGTACAAGGACTCTACAAGGACTCCATGTTATGACTATGATGTGACTGTCTCTTTGTGACACGTATGTCTTTCGATGTGTGACGTGACAATGACTATATAAACTGTGTACTGCCTTTATTCTGTCTGAGGGAAAGAAACAGAGTAAACCAGTGGAACTTGAGAGAAACTTAAATAAACTTCCAGAGTTTGGCACACCACGATCCGTCTCTGTCTGCTTAAATCCTAACAGATTTGGTGGAGAATGCGCGGCTCAGTGTGTGCCATTCTCTGGTTGTTTTGAGGGAATTTCCTCTGTTTCTTTTTTTCGGCGTGTGGGAGCAACAGCACGTTATCTGGAAGGGGAGAAATCCCAGTGGACGCTGAAAGGGCTCGCTTTTGGATGGGCTTGCTCTTGCTCCCTCACTTTCTCTGTTTTGTGTTTAAATTGAATTTTCCGACGCGGAAAAGAGTTGGCAGACCTCTCGGACAGCCCGTGCGCACCTGTTTGACAAGAATAAGGTAAGCGGACACCTGTTTAATTCAAAGTCTGCCTCATTGAGTAAGCTAAATTGTGGTCTGTTTTTGGGGTCTGCCAAATGTTGTATCTATAGATAAGATTGTATTGAAGCGAAGTTAGCTACCTGCAGAGGAAAAGGGTTAAAGTCCCACAGAAGGGTTAGAGTCCCACAGAAGGGTTAGAGTCCCACAGAAGGGTTAGAGTCCCACAGAAGGGTTAGAGTCCCACAGAAGGTTAGAGGCCCATAAGAATAGAGAAACCATGGTGTAAACATAAAAGCAATAAAAAGGGAAACGTGTTAAGGAGGCCTTTTGTCACAAAAAGTTTTGTAATTAACCAATTCCAAGCTTGATAAATTACAAAAGTAAAGAAGCAACAATATTTCAGTGATCACGGTTTAAATTACATACAGAAAAAGGGAGTTTTTGTTTTTTGGAGTGAACAGAGTTCACCGGAGAATGCAGAGTTTTATCTAAAGTTGAGCTATGAGAGCTTTTGTGAGTTATTTACTTTTTTTTTGCAGAGTTATATCTACAGTTAAGCTATGAGAGGGCTGTATCCAACAGTTGTTTTTGTTTTTTAGAAAGAGATTTTGAGTTTAAATTAGTTTGCTACCTCGATAAAATAGAAGCGTAAACGTTAAAGACAAGAGTGCCTTTTGTTACTAGTGTGGAAAGTGATCATTTCTAGACTTGGATGACAAAAGTATAAAGAACAACATCAGTTATATTTGCTTAACAAAGTAATCTTGAAAGTTATTCTTCTGTATCTTTCTGCCTGTGTGTGTGCACATCTCTATCTTGCTGCCGTTGTCAGGGGAAACGGCCCCCTCCTTCGCTGCTCTGGCTCTGAATCAGAACAAAGCTACTGCTTTTAGGATTTCTGGCTTTTCATAGTTGTTATTCCGTTAAATTTGCGAAATTTGCAATTGAACATTGTGTTAGACACAGTTAAACGTTTTTAAACACCATTAGTGAATAAGTTTTGAATATTATGTTTTTGAAACCCAAATATTAGTGCTAAAGTTTTGCTTTTCTTTTTAAATCTGCTGCTTATTTCTTAACTTTTTGTGAGTTGTGTTTGTTTTTATGTTTTTATTTTAGTTACAAAAGCCGTTTTTCAAACATTTAAATTAGAATCTGAGTTAAAAGTGATTAATGATTGTAGACTTTGTCTAAAAAGAAAGAGGGAATTAGGAATTAGCTGTAAAAGTATTATATTATTAAGTTAAACTACCCAATTCACATGCAAGTGGCGACTTTTTGTTTTTGTTTTGACTACACGCCTGACCTTACTGTTGCTGATGCCACAGCAGAGGAGCCTGGTCTAAAATGTGTTCCAATTCATACTGACTTCATTTGAAAAATGCTGCAATTATTTTAAATTAGTAAAATAAATGATGAGATAAATGTTCATGGATAATTAATCACACAGTACAAAAGTACACATATTTTAAAGTTTAAAGGTTTTTTTAGATTTGAGTCTTGTTTTTTTATATTAAGAGTTTCTGGTCTTAAAAATGTCATCATTAGTAAGATAATAAGTAATCTTTTATTTACATAGCGCTTGGGAAAACCCAGAGCGCTCCAAAATTGTTTTGACTTTAGGGAGAAAAACAATCTCATTCGCATACTGATATCTATTGTTTTTTTAAATTGGCCGTCTCAAGGATTGTTTTTCAGACTCTGCCTCACTGTACGAGAGGTCACTGCTGGACACTGGACAGCGCAACGCCCACCCAGCCACAGGCCACAGAGCTAAGAGCAAAGGGCAACAATGCCACCTCTACGCCCCTCCCCCCACTACAGAAGTAAGTGGGAGTGAGACCGGGGCCATGAAAGAGAGGTTTCTGGAGACGTGATGGGTGGAGCGTCAGGTAGAGACCTAGAGGCAGTTGAAAGTGTGTCCAGTTGGTTTGCATCACCACAGTGTGACCTTTGACACCTACAGGTGGTTCGAGGAGTCTGGAGACACAACCCCAAAATTCACATACACACACACACACACACACATACACACACATACACTCACACATTCACATTTACATATAGATACATGAAAAAGCAGAACATGAGAAAAAAGCATTTTAAAAGTTTACTCCAATGTAAACACATATTTTTAATTGTCTATCACTTGAATCAGTATTTTTTGAGACCAGAAATGTTCATTTGAATTCTATATTGTCATGGACTTAATTGACCTCTGTCCTGACACTTTTGATTTGTTGATTTTGTACTGTGTGAAGTAATTACATTGATTAGAATTAGATCTGATATAAACACAAATTAGAGAAGTAAACTGAATCATTGCGCTTGCTTTTTGTCTGAGGGACATTAGCAACAGCATGAATAGAAATTGTGTTAAAGTAGAATCAAAGTGATTTAACCATAGAGAGTAACTATTGCATTACAAGCTGTGTACAGGAACTGAGACACTGCACCATTGACCAGAAGTGCATCGCAAAGAGCGACCCAAGTGACCTGACTGTATCTGGAGATCCTGATGTGCATCTGGAGAGACCAAAACCATGGCTTGGACCCTACTGATGACCAAGATGACATCTCTCTATGACCTGACCTGATGACGACTGAGACTCACCCTCAGGGGACACTGAGGACCTGAGGACCTGAGGACCTGAGGATCTGAGAGAGAAAACTGGGGAGTGATGTTTATATTTTTGAAATCATACATTGATGAGTGCTAAATGAGAGAGATACTCATGATTCTTCTTTTGTTTTTGTTTGTCCCTAGCTTCTGGACATCTGATGATCTATTGGACACAGCCATTTGCAGAACAAGAACCAGCCAATGAAAACGTCTATTGCCGATGCTATTGCTACAACCAGAAACTGTGACAAATGCAATATACATGTTAAGTATTCAGACATCTGACAGACAAAAACTTTGACTTTTTTAGTCTGGGAGACTGAGCAACTGTTAAAATGTTTTAAAATGATAAAGTATGAGTATTGTAGCGTTTTAGTAGATGTTAAATAGTAGTAAAAAAGTAGAATTGTCCTTTCTTTGTTTTTCATAAACACATTTCCACATAAGAGTTAAAATAGTACCCTACAATGTTATCCTTCTGATAGAGCAGATATAATATTAGAATCAGAGTTATGTTACAGCCATTAAAAGTGACAGAAGTCACAAATTAGAAATATGTGTTTGCTCAAGGTGCAAACGCAAAGCTGTTAAGAGTTAGAGAGACTCAAGCTGCAGCCAAGCTTTTGAGTCACAATAGTGTAAAAATAGAATTAGATAAATGCATCAACCATAGATGCTTTCAAAAATAGAGAATATTCTTAGCCAGTGCTAATATCAAATGGTAGAGGGACCATTTCACAAGCATTTACTTCAAAAGTAGATAAAGTTACTTACAGTTTATGTACAGTTTTATTAGATACTGCCAAATTCACTTGTTTTCAAACATCTGTGAATGTTGACAATACAAAAAGTTCATGAAAGTAGCTTAGATCAATGAGATAGATTACAACCAACAGAGATTCAAAAGCATTTAAAAGCATTTTGATGTATTTGTGTATAGCACAAAAACACAATAGTAGATATTTAGATATTGAGAAGTTTCCAGCACAAACACCATTGTAGAATAACTGACCCCAACCCCAAACCTGCTAAAATAGATTAGCTCTTGTAAGGATAGTTCCAATTTGATTAAAGATGTACATTCATCCCAAACTGATAATGAGAGTATAATACCACAGAGAGATTTATTAGATTAAAATGTATGTTTAAGAATATGGCTCAATAGAAGCAAATATACAAACATATTTGTAAATAGATTAGAATAGTTTTAAACTATAGTGAATAGTAAAAGTAAAGTACACAGTCTAAGATTAAAAAGTGAAAATAATACAGTGAAATAAGATTGAGTGTAGTGTAAACAATTAGCATTAGAATAAAAGTATAGAGTAAGAAAAGTGAAATTAGCTTCAAATTTGAGACTCAGCTCGTTTTTGTCTGTGTTTTGACTGAATCTGCTGAGTTCTTGTGTGTCCAATAGTGTTTGTTTGTTTTTTATTTTTGATTTGTTTTTGTTTTTGTTTGTTTGTTTATTTTTTCCCAGGATGGAGGATAAAATCCACTGATATTGATTGGATGATTATGAGTTTAATGCATACATGTTTTTACTTTGTTTTTAATAATTTTTTTAAAGTTTTTTTTTGAATTTTGTTTTTTTTTTTTTTCTTTTTCCACTTTATTGATTGATCAAATTGAATGATCACATGTGATTATGTGATCAAAGGGGAGGGTATTAGTATTAGATAGCAATATGGCCTACGTGCAGGTGTGTACAAGGACTCTACAAGGACTCCATGTTATGACTATGATGTGACTGTCTCTTTGTGACACGTATGTCTTTCGATGTGTGACGTGACAATGACTATATAAACTGTGTACTGCCTTTATTCTGTCTGGGAGAAAGAAACAGAGTAAACCAGTGGAACTTGAGAGAAACTTAAATAAACTTCCAGAGTTTGGCACACCACGATCCGTCTCTGTCTGCTTAAATCCTGACAGTTCTGGAATAACTTTTAAGCTAATACTCTTAGCTAGGAGTTTTTAGGGGAAGTTAGGAGCTCTCTGAATCTAAATCGGAAATTGAGAGATCAGTCAATATGGGAAACAAAAAGATTCTTGGTGTTTTCCCCCAGATCCCAAACTCCCAACTTTGTAGAATTAATTAAAATAAAATAACTATTGTATATTCTTCTGGTCATTTTCACCCTGTACCATCTGAGTGAACTTACTTTGACTATATCTGAGGTCATGGTCTTCAGGGGGATCAGTCTTGGCTCCTGCATGTGGATTTCTTGCTCATCTGCAACAATCCAAGGAAAATCCTGCAAAATATCACAACATTTATGTTTTAAAGACTGGTGGTCGACTGAAAGATTAGAGTGAACATTGGTGCAATAGTTTTTTCAGTAGCTAAGAAGAACCCAACAGACATTCAAGATTCAAGAATTGTATAATAATAATAATAATAATACATCGTACTCATAGAGCGCGTTTTTTGGACCCTCAAAGACGCTTTACAGAAGAAAAATAAGAAACAAAAATAAAAAGCTAAATAAAACACCCAGAAAAAGTAGCAAAATGTAAGATTTTCATGTCAAGCCATCATTAAAGGGCCCTAATCTGTCATCATTAAAGGACCCGAAATCTGTCTTCTTTAAAGGGCCCTAATCTGTTTTCTTTAAAGGGCCCTAATCTGTCTTCTTTAAAGGGCCCTAATCTGTCATCATTAAAGGGCCCTAATCTGTCATCATTAAAGGGCCCTATTATGTCATCATTAAAGGGCCCTAATCTGTCATCATTAAAGGGCCCTAATCTGTCTTCTTTAAAGGGCCCTAATATGTCTTCTTTAAAGGGCCCTAATCTGTCTTCTTTAAAGGGCCCTAATCTGTCATCATTAAAGGGCCCTAATCTGTCATCATTAAAGGGCCCTAATATGTCATCATTAAAGGGCCCTGATCTGTCATCATTAAAGGGCCCTAATCTGTCTTCTTTAAAGGGCCCTAATCTGTCTTCTGGGCCCTAATCTGTCATCATTAAAGGGCCCTAATCTGTCATCATTAAAGGGCCCTAATCTGTCCAAAGGCATTAATAAAACATGCTCTTTTCCAATACTTCTTTAACTGATAACAGTAGTTCAGAGATATTTGAATTTATAAATGACTTTTCCAGCCCCAAAATTTTGATATTGTTTTCATTTTGATGTCCCGCCTTCCACCGTTTCACCAATCAGAAAGTCTGTGATCCGGGCGCCAGAACTCACCGTGTGGAGATAATCTCACTGGTAAAGTACCATGTGGCGCAGAACTAAAAAAGGTCTCGTTATGATTCTCAAATCATTAACGACAAAACAAGGAATAAAACCAGGATTTCTATCTTTGTGAAAAAGGTGTTGGTTATAGATTTGTTGTTGACAAAACTCTTGTCTATTCAGCTGTTATGGTCCCAGCTGGATTCGTCTGCATATCTGGCAACCTGAGTCAGGGAGAGTGGGAGAGGCTGCAGTACCACTTTTGGCCACATTTTTACACACTGCTGCTTTAAGTGTGCGCAGTTTTGAACAAGTGGGTTTTGAGAATGTATTTGCCATTTGCAGTAAAACCACATTGGAAAAGCTGTGCAAGACTCCAAGGATAGCCCACACCAGAGCCTTTACCACACATGTAAAATAATTCCAGATGTCAAACCACTTACTTTTATAACCTGGACCTTTTCCATGTTGCGTGTAGCTGAGTCTCGTGTGTGAACCAGCACAGAAAAAGAGCAATCTACGACAAATGAAATGAGGTTATGGACGAGCTGTTCAAGTGTTGGTCTGTTGTGTGGTGTCTGTACCTGGAGGGTTATTGTTTAAAACAGCATCACAAACACTGATCTTCAGAATAAAAGCCCTCAACAACTGCTCCACGTGAGACAGTAACGTTTCAGAACTGCAACAACAAATAAGAATCATATATATAGACATGTCATGGTGGCTATACACATTCCTACATGTACATCTGGTCTTACCATGTGTAAACTCTGGTCCATGGTCATTTCCTACATGTACGTCTGGTCTTACCATGTGTAAACTCTGGTCCATGGTCATTTCCTACATGTACGTCTGGGTCTGATCCTAGTGGCTGCAGTTTCCTCGGTTGAATCTCCTCCGACCAATCAGAGAGCGGGGGAGGCGGGTCTTGTAGGTCGGTGTCGGTGACGTCAAGAGTTTGTGCTGAATTTGCTGGTTGTAGTTTGTCGGAGAATGCGATAGTAAAATAATCTGTTCTGGTTCAATCCAAATATCAAGAAACTGAAGCCGGAGCAAGAGGAATGTTTAGTAAATGTCATTGAAGCAAAGATGTTGTGGCTCTACTTTAAAGTCGGTGTTCACGTTACTGCAAGTACTGGTAAATATTGGTAAGTACTGGTAAATATTGGTAAGTACTGGTAAGTATTGGTAATAAGCCGGACAGCAGAGACTTTCCGATTTGAAATGTGTTTTGTGTGGAGTTGGCAGATTCATCAACCCTAACCTCTAACCTTCTCTCCCTTCTGGATATTTGGCCACTTCAGCATTTATTGGAGATAGACTTTTTATTTTTTTGAGAGAGAGAAAAAATCACCACGGCACATTTCTCCGTGAAGTAGGTCATTGTGCCACATTCACAGCACGACCGCCAAAGAATGCATCTGTCATGTTTACACTGGTTCATGCACACAGACTCTAATGCAGAGGTGTCCAAACCGGTCCAGAAAGGTCGGCTGTGGCTGCAGGTCTTCTATCAGACCCAGCAGGAGCAGAGCAGACTCCGCCCATTTCCTCAAGTAAGCTCAGTCTTAACCAGAAGATTTGAGGAAATGGGAGGAGTCTGCAAACAGAAAAACTACAGTAGGTCACATTCAGAATCACACCTGATTGAGAGTAACGTTGGTTGGGAAATCTCAAAGACAAATCTCTCCACTGGATGGTGCCCTTTGTCAATGATAACCACGACCACCTTCTCAGCTTCATTCTGCAAGGAAAGCCAAACAGATGAAGAAGCGTAGGTTGCTATGGAGACGGATCAATCACCAAATTACCTTTTCAATCAGAGGTTTGATACAGCACAAAGTATCTTGAATGTACCGATTCAGCTCTGGATGACACGACATCTGAGAGAGACATTGCATTGGATTTTCATTTTGTTTTTTGATATATTAATATTCTGAGGATGTAAAATGCAGTGCTTCACATGGACATGCTCAAAATGGCCCACCTGAACAGGAACATTGTATTTGCGTTTCTTCTGAAAGATCCCCGATGGATACACTTCTCTGACGTACAGGATGAGGTGAATGGCCACCTCAAGGAACTCACACAGTATATCTGCTACCACTGGGAGAAAACATAAGATACACTTTAAAACGATTCAACACAGATAGAATCAGGCTGTGCAAAAGGACAGGAAGTGTGCAAACATGATAAAAGGTTAAAAATATAGTCTATTTTGTGCAAGATCTATTATGTACAATGGTTTTTTCAAAGTCATAGAAATGGTCATAATGAAGCTATAATGTCACATGTATGCAGACAGTCACTGATAATGCACTGTTTACTTGCTTGCCTAAAATCACATTTAGACTTTTTCTGAACGATTACGAGTAAAGCCAAAGAATTGCGTGATAGAAGACGACTGAAACACATGTCGTGGGAATTATACAGCTATACAAGTGATGTGGCCTTCTGTAAGTCACAACGACCCGATTGTGTATCCATGTTATGACCATAGGTTATGTTCTGACTGTCTCTGATGCGACACGTATGCCTTTCTATGTGTGACGTAACCAGTATTTGGCAAACACCACATACATAGAAGCAAATACAACAAAACCAAACCATTCTTCCAAGCAGTCAACTCCAAAATCTACATTAAATCTAGAAGCCTTATAAACAGCAAAAAAAACACAGTCTCCAAATTATTAGAAACTTTAAAACATCCATGAAAACTCACCTCTACCTTTAACACCCTCTATATTCTCTTTTCAATATCAATTGTCTCTCTCTTTAATATCATGTCATTAAAGTCATAAAATCAAAATAATACCATATTTCTGATCATACCCAATATGAATGTCTTTTGTTCCTGCATATATTGTAAATATTTTTGTTTTTGTCTTTGTATGAATGTGTATCTATGTCTATGTATGTTTGTGTTTTGTATTAATAATAAAAATAAAAAAACCATACCATAAAAACTGAAACCTGGAGGAAACTGAACACTTCCAGGAGCTCTGGTGCAAAGATCCACACACACTTCCACAGTTGTAATCACATTAAGACAGAAAAGGCTTTTGCTAAGTGGCTTTGGACTGGAATATGAACTGATCCTTTCTCTGATCATTAATCCAGCAGCAGGTTTGAGGATAGTAGTGGACTAAGAGCTATGTGCACGTGCCAGGAGCTGCAGGAGGTGATAAAAGCATCTTAAAGTGACATATTTATCCCTAGTTTCTACAGAAGAGTCCACAGCCTGCAGCTCATAACAGAGGATATTGTGTCATGATTAAAAATGTATATTTGAGACACAGCATCAACCTTTACCTTTTCCAAAATTGAGGTCTTGTCTGGTTAGAGTCGTCATCTCCTCTGTCTGCAGCGACACGCACACGCAGCTGCAGGGACTGTCCGGAGCACCTGGAGGATCTCCTCCTCATGCCGCAGTGAAAGGATCACAAAACACACGTTTTCTGTTTAAACTGTTTTCTGTGTGATTGTTTTTCATCCGCTGCTGGGACTTGTTCTTGTTATTATTAGTCTAACGGAGGTATTTCTGCCACCTGCTGGACTGGAGTGGGAACAACATGTGACGTACTGCAGTCCATGATTATAACATATAACTAAAGAGTATTACTCATATTATTTAAGGTAGAGTTTAATATATATAAAACAAATAATAATAATAATAATAACAAAGATTATTATTTACAGTCTATGGATTAGAGCTGGGGAACCTCGTTTATGGCTTTTTGTGGTTTAAAATAAAATAATAGATAGTTTCCCTCATTCAGCAGTCTATGATTCAGCTCTTGTTTATTATAGATCCATGAGTACATGTTGGACTGATGAGTCTGAACAAAAACACGTTTGTTTTGTTTATATTGAGAGGCTATAAAGAGGCTATAGGGAGGCTACAGGGAAGCTATAGGGAAACTACAGGGAAGCTATGGGGAAGCTATAGGGAGGCTATAGGTAAGCTATAGGGAGGCTATAGGTAAGCTATAGGGAGGCTATAGGGAACACAGTCTGTTGCTTCCTAATATCCCAAATCCTGTTCAATTATGATGACTGAACAGTGAAACCAGTTTATTTGAATATGAAAGGCTAAATAAGTCTCATTCATCTTAAACTGAAATGTAGTAAATGTTTTGTATTCTCACATATCGAAGCCAAATCAGGCTCTGTTCTGCTTTAGTCTATTATAGAGTAAAGACAAACGGCCCCTGATTGCCCAGAGTCGAACACACCTGGGCGGGAAACAACAATCATGAACATTTGCATTTATTTATTTAGTTCATATTTACAGCGCAAAAAAACATGCAACCTACACTGCCCCCGTTGGCAGAGCAAGGTCACTACACAAAAGCTGATGCACTTTTCCTAAATATTTTTGTAACTTATTTTAACCCAGGAATAATCCAGAACTAGACCAGGTTTAACTCTTGTGTTACGTCCAAATTTGTGATAATATTATTCAGATACTTTGACTGATTAATGTGGAAACCATGTGTAATACTGGCTTACTCCTGGTTGTTGTCAGTTGTACATTGGTGACAGAAACTATAGGAGCAAAAATATACAGCGCTGTGTCATAGTTACATCAGTTCCAACTGGTTCAGGACTCACTCAGACTGTTTCGGACTGGTTCAGATAGGTCCTAAGTGAGTCTAAAGGCCGCTTCAAAAGAAACAATGACATCTTCAATAAACACATTCATCTGCAAACAACTTCAGTCTCCAGAAAAAATGTCCCAAACTGTTATTGCTCTGTTTAATCTGTCACCCAAATATCCAAATTTTGATGGAGTTTGAGGTTATAGTAGCCTGGTCGTACCACACCATAGTACTCATTTCATTTCATACTAAGGTCTGGATTGGCTCCATTGGCTCCGTTAACAGGTGGGAGGGGTTAACTCCTTTTGCAGATTGAAACCATTGGATCTGAGTTTACCGTCACGTTCGTAATGAGCCCAAGTGAGTCGTTAGCATTTAGCCTAGCTTTAGCCATCTCCTTTGCCGCTAACGGAGCCCATGGGGAGTAGCGCCACAATCTTTGCAGCGATTACATTTGCTAAACATTCTTCTTGCTCCGGCTTCAGTTTCTTGATAGAACCAGACCAGAATACTTTACTATCGCATTCTTCGCCAAACTACAACCGGCCCGTTCGACGCAAACTCTTGACGTCACCCACAACTAACTACAACACCCGCCTCCTGCGCTCTCTGATTGGTCGGGTGGAATTCAACCGATTGTAATCTCAAACACAGGGACCAGACCCAGACGTTACATGCAGGAAATGATGATTGAGCGGAGAGTACGGATGGATAAGACCAAGCTAATGTTTTAGTGACATGTTTGGGGGTGTCTTTTGATGTGTCTTCACCTAAATTGCATTTTAGGCATTTCTTTTCCTTTGTTTTCTCATAGTGCTCATGTCTGATAATATCTTTGGGGTCTTTCATGTGACTTCCCACTCATCCTCGAGTAGTGGTTCATCCAGTTACATTCATAAACATGCTCCAAGGCTTGAATCCTGGATGGCAGAAAGTGCATAAGACTCGATTTTAGTTCTGAACCAGATCAAATCAGTGTCTGTTTAAAATGTTCATTCAGTAGAGACAAAAAAACGCAGTCACACATTCACTGTGCACGCATTACATACACAACACATAGATCTGTCTTTGCATCAGAAGTTTCCATCTGCGTCCCGGGGTTCTGCGGTTTCAAGGGGACCGTGGTGCACAGAAGGTCATGGTTTTGCGCGGGAAGAGGTTGCTGAGAGGCCGTAAAACATGGTCTAACACAGGGGTCTCCAACCTGTAGCTTGGGAGCCACCTTCTTCCAAGTAGCTCGCCAAAGGATTTAGAAAAAGAACCAAATAAAAAAATAGACTTAATATTTTAAATTGTATTTTTCATTATTATTATTGTAAATGCCCTCACTTTGTGCACTAGCAACAAATATGTGATGATAAATAATGTCAGGACCCAATATCAGGCTCGTTCACTCCAATATATCAGCAGTTTTGTTCCCAGGGCCACTTAAAGGAGTAGCTCTCTGCCTTTATCGTCCCGGGAAAGTAGCTCTCTGGGTGTAAAAGGTTGGAGACACCTGCTCTAACGTCACATATAAAAACCATTGTTTAGTTCAAGGGTTTGGGGCTGAAAATGTTTGTCCAGTTTTCATATTTGTGCAAAAACAGTCCTGGAATTTCTGTTTAGCGATGCAGTATATTACACCAATCACCGACAGAATAACTACAGTACATTTGACACCAACAGAGAACATTCTGTCCACATGAACTCATTTTAGGGCAGTGTTCAATACTAAAGATTTCAGAACTACTACTCTGTGATAATCTGCTGGTCCTTTTCTCCTTTGTCCATTGAAACCAAATTCATATTTGCTTAAAAAATAAAGTACATTTTCTAAACTACGTACAGAAGATTGGTTGCAGACTTTAACACTTCACCCATGGATTGGATACAAAAGTCTAAATGCAGCAGTTTTTTCTCAACAGTAACCACACATATGTTAAGGTGTCACAATGTGTTAAAGTACATTAGTATCAAATGAACCAAGTCAGACACGAGAAGCGCCTTGATTTCTCTGGAATCCAGTATCATCCAATGAAAGAAACAGATATTGAATAATTTCTTGTCCTCTTCAGTATCATTGGATACATTTTATGGATGTTATTTCTCCCACCAATGCCCAGAGAAAAACTGAAGGTACTTTGAACAATCACCTGTTCTGAGCAGGACAGCGGGACCTTCACACTCATGAAGAATCTGACGCTGGGACTCGTTACATTCTCCAGTCAACCGTGTGTCGGCCCAAACCCTCACAGTCCTGGATGTGCTGGATGCACTGTCTCTTTAAATCTCTTTTTCAAACCCTGATGCCACTCAGTGTTAGTCCGACAAACCGTATAAATATATTATTTGTTTTTAGACGACGGTGCTTATGCGGCTCTGTTTGTTTTTCATTGTTGTTGTTGCCATGGCTGCCGTTGGCATAGATGCTGTTGCTGTGGCGCCTGAAGGGAGCGGTGAGCGAGGGGGCGGGGCCAGAGTCCCTGGCATGGGCGGGGCATAGTGCTGAGGGACCAACCGAGCAGACGGAGCGCTGAACAAGAAATGGCCTGGACTCAGAGGATGAGAGTGGGAGGAGCTTAGAGGTAGTTTATACCCAGGGCTGCGAGACGATTGGCTGCCGCTGTTGGAGACTCGTGATTGGGTAGGAAGTGGAGATCTTGGAGACAGGGGCGTGGACAGTGTTCGTTTGGCAGTCGCCTGCGATTGGACGAGGTGATAAGGAGGGGGCGGGGCCACAGGTGGAGAGGGAGCAGGGTAGTGTGGTGGAGAGGAAATAGGAGGAGTTAATGGGGGCGGAGTCACAGGCGGTGACATCACCAAAGGCACCGGAATCTTTGCACGACGTCCTGCAAATGACGAATGTGGCGCTGGGACTGGTGGTTTGGGTATACCCACAAAGCGGTAACCCTGGAAACCAGGAGATGGAGAAACCGGCGAGAAGGGTGCGGCCTGAGGAGGGCGCTGTTCTCTGTAGTGTGGTCCTGACAAAATGGAGCCCTGAGTAAAGCACACACAGCGGTAAACAACAGTGATCATAGGTGGCTACAGAGATCAGTACTTACTCACCTCAATGGTGCTGTCCAAGGAACCCACACTGTTTCTCCGCCCACGCTTCCCTGTGACCAACAAGACGTCAGTTTGTTAACACTGGTCCAGACCAGCGCAGAGAGGATTCATGGTTTTACACTGGTCCAGACCAGAGCAGAGAGGATTCATGGTTTTACACTGGTCCAGACCAGAGCAGAGAGGATTCATGGTTTTACACTGGTCCAGACCAGAGCAGAGAGGATTCATGGTCCGAACCAAGTGGATCAGGTGAAAATCCACTGGAGGAATGCTAACTTTATGAAAAATGCTAATGAAGCATTCAGCATTTTACTTTGGACCAGAGCAGAGGTTCTGCTGCTGTGACCTGAAGGACTGTTGTTATTATTACTATTCTTAGATAATTTTTGAATGATCTATTTATTTGTTTTGTTTGGATGGATGGATGTTTCTGCTGTTATTGGACACCTGCATTTCTCTAACAGGGATCAATAAAATATATATTTCTATCATCTATCTATGAATCTGAAAAAACCCGTCCAGCTGAAAGTAATGAATCAAACTTGAACACGTCCCACCTGTCTCAGTCAAGTCTCTCAGAGAGGAGTTAAGAGCGTTCCGCTTAAGGCCGTCAGTGGCGTAGGAATCATCTAAACTGGGACGAACTCCGTTCACCATCTCTCCTCTCATTGGTCCTGTGCCGTTTACAAGGTCGCTTCTGATTGGTCCTTTCTGTTTTTCCAGTTCAGCTGTTGCAAAAACAATACAGATCATTTGAGAAGTTATCAATAAATAGTTGTGGGGTCTAAGCAAATGGTCTTCAGATGATATTTTGTTGTATCGTATTTAACAGCCTGGATCTATTTTTCTACATCAGACAGAAGAGAAATTTATGATGTGGCTTCACTGAGGCTATATTATTCATTCATTCTTTTACATTCTTTGGATTAAAAAGTTGATAGGACCTACTATTTTGCTGTTAGAAGAGACTGCAGACCATATACGACCTTTTTAAAGAAGTTATACCCGATTTACAGTATTTTCAAATGAGATCATAAATATGCGTATTATTACATACAAGTTGTATTAAAATCCGTAATTTAATTGAAAACTTGAGCTCATTGATTCAGCTGTGTATGAATTCAGGCCGTAAAAAGTGCTGAGTAGAAACTTTGTGTGAGGCTCTCCTCCAATCACAGAACGAGGAGCGGTGCTTTTACAAACAGGCCACGCCTCCTCTAGGCCACGCCTTCTCTTGCTTCTGCAGGTAAACACAGTAGCATGTTAGCAGAAAGTGGCTATAGCTCCTCTGGCTGTAACTGCAGACACAGCAAAAGACGCAAAAGTGTGGAAGAGAAGAGGGAACTAAAGCGGGAGGAAGAAAGAAATCAAGCCCAGGTGAATATAGCTAGCTTACATCGAATCATCTGGAAAGACCTGCGGGAGCCGGACCGCCTCGGACGACATTTGGACTCGATTTTGGCGGTAATCTTTCAGTTATATATTGTGTTAGCAGTCCGTTGCTTTTGTACCATTTCATCAGTTATTGTTGTACAGCTTACGAGAAGTTGTGCTAATGCTAACGTTTGCATACGTATCGGCTCGCTAACGAAACGAGACGGCTCCGTGGGAGGAGAGCGTAGAGGAGAGTAGGAGGGTTTCTCCAAATGAGAAGCCTGTGAGCGAGTTGGGGGCGGGGCTAAACATTCAAACTGAAAAAAACAGGTAAACATCTCCTTTAAGTAACAATGCATACAACCTAGATTTCTGATGCTGCACTTTAACCCTAACCCTGAGACACAGCGTGCGAAGTGGAAGATTAAAAAGTTATGAATAGAAATCTTACACTCAAGGCGGTACTTCTCCATCTCTTGAACCTCTGCAATACTTTCTCTCAGATCTGAACCGAAGCGTGCTTGGTCTTGGTGACTTGGGGCGTTGAAAACCATCAGGACTTTCTTCTCAGATCCCGGGGTCTGGGACGTAAGCCGGATCCCGTGAGGATAGACTGTCCATTGGCAAAAAGTGAAAAATATGAATGTAATCTTAATTTACAGGGACAAATGATTTAATAATGAATGATAAATGAAAAGTATAGCTATGCAGAGAGGATTGCACAACACATTCAAACAAGATATTAGAGATTATCTGTAATTAATCACTGCTGATGTTCTAGTGGTCAAAGATACAGTCAATGATTTATCCAGATAAAAACATTCAAATACGTCTCTAAACCCCCAAGTGGTCAAGTTATCATGTGTTTTCAAATAGGAATGGACCAGATGTAGCCTCAAAAAGTAAATCAGAAGTATTTTGCAGCCGATTGAACGAAACCAATGGGAACCCCGTCCTCCTTCTCCTCCTTCGGGGCGGCACGGTGGCTGAGTGGATAGCACTCTCGCCTCTCAGCAAGAAGGTCCTGGGTTCGAATCCCGGTCGGACCAGGGCCTTTCTGAGTGGAGTTTGCATGTTCTCCCCGTGTCTGCGTAGGTTTCCTCCGGGTACTCCGGTTTCCCCTACCACTAAAAATATGTCCAATAGTTCTGGCATGTGCCTCCTGTACTGGCCCCGCTCCCATCTCTGTGTGGAGTGAGAGACAAATGCCCAAAAATGAACAATTGTAAACCGCTTTGAGACTCAGATCTGCAGTGAAAAGGCGATATATAAATGAAAACTTACTTACTTACTTACTTACTCCTGCTTTTCCTCAGTGCATCTTTGAGTTGGATTTTCAAAACAAAAAAACTACCATGTCTGAACCGAAAACACCCGAAAGTGACAATTTCTCGTTTGCCATTTGCTTGTTGTGGCAAAGTAGAGAAACTCAGAGGAAAAGGTGTTGTATAAGAAGATTCTGGACGCAGCCAGGGCTCTGTGATGCTACGGCAGTCCAGTTATGCTAAGTGCTAGTTTGTCAGGTGAAGCTAGCATGTGTCAAATATAGCAGGCTAACCGCTCACAGACTTGAGCCTAATGTAGTTTAATCCTTTCCCATTTCTTTGTCACAGACTGTGTTATTGCAGAAAAGGTATAAATATGCTGGGGTTGGGTTTAGTGGAAGACAGGTGGGAGTGGTTTTGAGCCGGTGCTACTCGGATGCTAATGCTAAGCTAACCTGAATCCTTTGCTGCACCCTTAATAATAACAGGACTCACAGTTGTTGTGGAAGGTCTGGACTTGGAGGTCAGTTAACGGAAACGACTGTCTGAAACTGTAGGTCACCGAGTTTTTCTTCTTCTGAAATATCTTTGTGACCTGGAAATAAAAACAAGATCAGAGAAACCCACAGACCCTAAAGTCCCTCTCCAGATCAGATCCCCGGAAAGATGCCCCTTGTCACTAAATACGATGAAAAGTATAAATACTAAATGCTCACCATCAGCAGGTCGTTGAAGAGAAACACCTCCCGTTGGTGAACTCCAGACTTCTGGCCCCGGTTTGGGTCTGGGACTTCGTAAAGCTGGCAGCAGCAAACCAGCCTCCTGTGAGACAGCGACAACACCTGAAAACAAACAGCCACAAAAACATTTACTAAAACTGGTACGTGTGGGTTTTTTTTTTCCTAATCCATAAATAAATGAATACATTGAAAGGCTACTGTGTGTCATACTGTATTTAATGAAAGGGCATATTATCTGGCATCAAGGACAGATTCAGATTCATTTATTTGCCAATTGCAGTAAAACCACATTGGAATACACCTGCAAGAGTCCCCATTGTGAACAAGACAAGTACATGTTTAAAAACAAGGTTAAAAGTAAAAAAAAATAAGTCTCTCTCTCTCTGGTCTCTCTCTCTGGTCTTTCTCTCTGGTCTCTCTCTGGCCTCTCTCTAGTCTCTCTCTCTGACCTCTCTCTCTGGTCTCTCTCTCTGGTCTCTCTCTCTGGCCTCTCTCTCTCTGGTCTCTCTCTCTGGTCTCTCTCTCTGGTCTCTCTCTCTGGTCTCTCTCGGTCTCTCACGGTCTCTCTCTGGTCTCTCTCTGGTCTCTCTCTCTGGTCTCTCTCGGTCTCTCACGGTCTCTCTCTGGTCTCTCTCTCTGGCCTCTCTTTCTGACCTCTCTCTCTGCTCTCTCTCTGGCCTCTCTCTGGCCTCTCTCTGGTCTCTCTCTCTGACCTCTCTCTCTGGTCTCTCTCTAGTCTCTCTCTCTGGTCTCTCTCTCTAGTCTCTCTTTGGCCTCTCTCTCTGTCCTCTTTCTCTGGTCTCTCTCTCTGGCCTCTCTCTCTGGTCTCTCTCTCTGGCCTCTCTCTCTGGTCTCTCTCTGGCCTCTCTCTGGCCTCTCTCTGGTCTCTCTCTCTGACCTCTCTCTCTGGTCTCTCTCTGGTCTCTCTCTTGCCTCTCTCTCTGGCCTCTCTCTCTGGTCTCTCTCTCTGGCCTCTCTCTCTAGTCTCTCTCTCTAGTCTCTCTCTGGTCTCTCTCTGGCCTCTCTCTGGCCTCTCTCTGGTCTCTCTCTCTGACCTCTCTCTCTGGTCTCTCTCTTGTCTCTCTCTCTAGCCTCTCTCTCTGGCCTCTCTCTCTGGTCTCTCTCTCTGGCCTCTCTCTCTAGTCTCTCTCTCTCTGGCCTCTCTCTCTAGTCTCTCTCTCTGGTCTCTCTTGTCTCTCTCTAGCCTATCTCTCTCTGGCCTCTCTCTCTAGTCTCTCTCTCTGGTCTCTCTTGTCTCTCTCTGGGCCTCTCTCGCTAGCCTCTCTCTGGCCTCTCTCTCTGGCCTCTCTCTCTGGCCTCTCTCTCTAGTCTCTCTCTGGCCTCTCTCTCTGGTCTCTCTCTGGTCTCTCTCTGGCCTCTCTCTCTGGCCTCTCTCTCTGGTCTCTCTCTGGCCTCTCTCTAGTCTCTCTCTCTGGCCTCTCTCTCTGGTCTCTCTCTCTGGTCTCTCTCTGGTCTCTCTCTGGCCTCTCTCTCTGGCCTCTCTCTCTCTGGCCTCTCTCTCTGGCCTCTCTCTCTCTGGCCTCTCTCTCTGGTCTCTCTCTAGTCTCTCTCTCTGGCCTCTCTCTCTAGTCTCTCTCTCTCTGGCCTCTCTCTCTAGTCTCTCTCTCTGGCCTCTCTCTCTAGTCTCTCTCTCTGGCCTCTCTCTCTCTGGCCTCTCTCTATGGCCTCTCTCTCTGGTCTCTCTTGTCTCTCTCTAGCCTCTCTCTCTCTGGCCTCTCTCTCTAGTCTCTCTCTCTGGTCTCTCTTGTCTCTCTCTAGCCTCTCTCTCTGGCCTCTCTCTGGCCTCTCTCTCTCTGGCCTCTCTCTCTAGTCTCTCTCTGGCCTCTCTCTCTCTGGTCTCTCTCTCTGGCCTCTCTCTCTCTGGCCTCTCTCTCTGGTCTCTCTCTGGTCTCTCTCTGGCCTCTCTCTCTGGCCTCTCTCTCTGGCCTCTCTCTCTCTGGTCTCTCTCTGGCCTCTCTCTAGTCTCTCTCTCTGGCCTCTCTCTCTGGTCTCTCTCCAGCCTCTCTCTCCGGCCTCTCTCTCTGGTCTCTCTCTCTGGCCTCTCTCTCTGGCCTCTCACTCTCTCTGGTCTCTCTCTGGTCTCTCTCTCTGGCCTCTCTCTCTGGCCTCTCACTCTCTCTAGTCTCTCTCTGGCCTCTCACTCTCTCTGGTCTCTCTCTGGTCTCTCTCTGGCCTCTCTCTAGTCTCTCTCTGGCCTCTCACTCTCTCTGGTCTCTCTCTGGTCTCTCTCTGGCCTCTCTCTGGTCTCTCTCTCTGGCCTCTCTCTCTGGCCTCTCACTCTCTCTAGTCTCTCTCTGGCCTCTCACTCTCTCTGGTCTCTCTCTGGTCTCTCTCTGGTCTCTCTCTGGCCTCTCTCTGGTCTCTCTCTGGCCTCTCTCTCTGGTCTCTCTCTGGTCTCTCTCTCTAGTCTCTCTCTCTGGTCTCTCTCTAGTCTCTCTCTCTGGTCTCTCTCTGGTCTCTCTTGTCTCTGGTCTCCCACAAAGCCAGTGCTTTAGAACAAACATGACCCATACCTTAAACAATCATTGACCTTTTGAAGAAGAAAAAAAAATTACCCTCAAGAGATTAACCTAAGTAACTTTTTTATAAATAATGAATTCTTTTGAATGTTTTATACAGAACTGAACGGATTAAACATTAAAGCAGAACACAATAACAAATATACAGACCGGTTTCTTGCCGACCACCATCCGCTCCAGCGCCTGGACTTGGGTCACATGGTCATCATTGGTTCTCAACTCCCATTTTTGAATCCGCCCAAATATTGCCACCAACAAATCCCTCGGTATGTCGCTCCCATTGTCTACTCCTGAAAACCCAGATGTAGAAATGGAAACAGTTAGTCAGGTTTTCACACTACATCCAAAACAGTCATAATGATACGATTGTAGTTATGTCTGAAATGTGTTTTTTAATTAAGACCTACTGACTTTGAGGTTTTATATGCTTGAGATTGTCATGGTGTGGATTTTATTTTTGCTTTTTGGTTTTATTTTGAAATTAGTTCTCTGTGGTTTGGTTCTAGTTGTACTTCCTGTCTTGTCTCCCTGTCTCGATTGTCTGCCCCGCCCTGATGTGTTTCACCTGCGTCTCTATCTTAGACTGTATAAATTAACGGACGTAGCCACGCCTATCTCCGCCGTTCTAACTAATGGGCCAAAGATTGGGCTTTCATCATGGAGTGATTCAAAATGGCCGCGGGGGCTGGAAAATGTGAAAAAACGCATCTGTGCATGCGTCAGCTGCACGAGCCCCATTCATTTAAACGAGTGACTTCAAAAATTCACAGCAACTAAACTAGACTGGTCCAGAACACTCAGCATTGACACACATGTGGAACGGAGCTTTGGGCCAAGAGCCGACTTTTGGACCATCCTGTAAAGACGTTTTCCAGAGGTCTGCCAATGCTATATGTTAGCATTGGCCACCCCCACAGGCCCGGGGTGGTATTGCAGCATGTCAGCGCACGTGATTTTGGCCACTTTTGAGCCGGGACCCGCCCCCACTGGTCTCTGTCTATATCTCTCCCATTGTTGCTGGTTCATTGTATCGTTTCGGTGTTTGTGTTCCTGGTTCCTGTGTTCGTTTTGGATTTAGATTTTGTTGTTACCTTGAATATTATTTCTCCTTCCCACCTCGTGATGGAGATTTCTTTTTACATTTTTCAACTCAATCACATATTTATTAAGTTGAACCTTTGTGAGTTCTATGTTTTCTCAGTTCCTTGGCATGTGGCTGTAGCCTATGATAATGTAGTTCTTAAAGCCAGTTAAAGATTAAGCGGGATTTGTCCAGATGCAATGTTTAAAATATTGTGTAGAAATGTCCCTAAACCCCAAAAGTGGTCAAGTTATCATGTGTTTTCAAATAGTAGCCTCAAAAAGTAAATCATAAATATTTTGGAGCCAATTTTAAACAAAACCAATGGGAACCTCCTCCTGCTTTTCGTCAGTGCATCTGTCTGAGTTGGATTTTCTAAAACACGTACAATGTTTGAACCGAAAACCCCCAAAAGTGACAATTTCCTGTTTGCCACTCGCCTGTTGTGGCAAAAAAGAGAAACTCAGAGGAAAAAGTGTTGTATAAGAAGACTCTGGACGCAGCCAGGGCTCTGTGATGCTACGGCAGTCCAGTTATGCTAAGTGCTAGTTTGTCAGGTGAAGCTAGCATGTGTCAAATATAGCAGGCTAACCGCTCACAGACTTGAGCCTAATGTAGAGTAAAACTTTCACATTTCTTCGTCACAGACTGTGTTATTACAGAAAAGGCGTACATGTGCTGGGGTTGGGTTAAGTGGAGGACAGGGGCAGTGGGAGTGGTTTTGACTCGGTGCTACTCGGATGCTAACGCTAAGCTAACCCGAATCCTTGACTTTGCTTGAAAGTGTTTCTCCTCACCTCGTAAGTTTTTAATGAAATCCTCCAGTTTCATTTTTCTCTCCGGTTTCACACTTGGACTGTACAGGTCCGTGTTCAGTAAGATTATAGCAAAGGACAGAATGAAGATTGTGTCCGGGTTCTGAAACTGGCGGATCAGAACCGGGTTGCACACACAGTATCGTTGACTGTAAGAAATACAGAGAGTCATTAACATAAGTGGGTAACAAGTTTTCTTTTAAATCATATCTTCAGAAATCAGCAAAGAATTAGCATGAGACATCTATAATTCAGTGAGTACGTTTACAAAGATTGTGTCCCATTGACGCACAAATACGTCAAAGCAAATAGTAACGTCGTGTGCCGGATTAATCCGTCAATTGCCTTTTTCGCTATTTTCACGTTCCCAGATGTCTATTGTATCTAATATGTATGGGGATGACTTGAGACCATATTTTATTGAGCCAGCAGGTGGCAGCATTGCTCTCTGAATGGTTTGAAAACATGTAGGTGCACATGTTGTGCCTCTTTTTTCTCAACTTTCTGGTGATTTCTGGTGATTTCAGTAAAACTTCCCTCTACTCGACGGAGGATTACAGGGGAACGAAAAAAGCTATAAACAAAATTCTTTTTGCTGAGGAAAGTAGACAGTCCATTCTTTTAGAATTCGGATTTCAGATAGTCATAGTACACAATATTCTGTGGGTCTTGAAAAATCAGTAAAAATCATCAGAAATGGCTGGCACTGTGGGAGTACCTGTTCTGAAATAGGCTGGCATTCAATGAGTTAAGTATATAGAGTACGCAACAAAATCAGACTTCATCTGAAGGAGTCTGTCCACTCTGGTCCCAGCAGTACAAGGGGTTATCCAAATCATCTGATGTTACCTAGTTGCTCTCTCTCTGTGTCTCTGGTCTCTCTCTGGTCTCGCTCTGGTCTCGCTCTGGTCTCTCTCTGGTCTCTCTATCTGTTCTCTCTTTCTGGTCTCTCTTTCTCTCTGCTCTCTCTCTATTTCTGGTCTGTCTCTGGTCCCTCTCTGGTCCCTCTCTGGTCTCTCCCTGGTCTCTCTCTCTGCTCTCTCTCGCTCTCTCTCTCTCTCTGCTCCTCTGGTTTCTCTCTCTGGTCTCTCTCTCTGGTCTTTCTGCTCTTCTGGTCTCTCTGCTCCTCTGGTCTCTCTCTCTGGTCTCTCTCTCTGGTCTTTCTGCTCCTCTGGTCTCTCTCTCACTCTCTCTCTCTCTCTGCTCCTCCGGTTTCTCTCTGCTCTCTCTCACTCTCTGCTCTCTCTCTCTCTCTCTGCTCCTCCGGTCTCTCTCTGCTCTCTCTCTCTTCTCTGCTCTCTATTTGCTATCTCTCCCTGGTCTCGCTCTCTTTTGGGTTGAGTTTATATTTGGGTCTCTCACCGCCAATCTTCACAATTCTAGTGTTCAGTTTTCATGTAGTTCGAGAGAGTTCGGAAGTTGCTAGCCTAACCGTTACTCACAATAGCCACGGGAAAACCCTTGGGAACTATTTTATTTGCAGTCCGCTTCACCCTGTCGGCACTTACTTTCCGATAATAACCTGCCTACTATACGTTATCCCTTACACATACCTGAAAGCTTCCACTAGTCGCTCTACTCTCTGAGCTTCTCCTTGTACTTTGATCTGAGCCTGAAACTTCCTTAACGCCTCGTCTACATCCATCCCCGAGAAGTCCATCTCCTCCAAGACACATCTGAAAAACACAAATGATGTAATAGCTCTGATTAAATTCACAAGAGGCCAGTATAAACCCTGGAGAACGCTGTACTCACTCTAACACATCTTTGTTGAACTGCTGCCTGTTGCCTAAAAACTCTCCGATCATCTGTCGACTCAAACCTTTCCGTTCAAGAATGAAGCGAGCGATGCCCAGAGGAGAGTCCGTCACAAAGCCTCGCTCGATCAGGTACTGCACACCCTTCTCCGGCTTCCTGCGAAAAAGGGTAACAGCGCATCGTCAATGTAGAGCGTGTGTCAGGAGCGAAGGCGTGTGGGAGGAGGTGTCTGGGGAGACGGCAGACTGTTGCTCATTCCACTTCACTTTCATGCAGATAACTGACGAATTTCACTTTAACTTTATATGTTATAAAAGTCACAACTCCTGCTCTTCCGAAGCTGACTGATTGACACTGATTCTCAAATCTCAAAAATCTCGAAATTTACAGAAGACTTATGTCAGAAGTGGGATTTGAACCCACGCATTCTGGGGAGACTAATAAAAGGGTTGGGGTTAGAGTGTGAAAGTAGAAAAAAATGATATTGAGTAAAATATGACTTCTGTAAAAATAGAAAGTAGACATATTGAGGATGCATAATTGTCATAGACTGTAAATATGAGCTGCACTAGCCCCATTCATTAAAAAAGTGCATTCAAAAGTCCACAGCGGCTAAACTAGACTGGTCCAAACAAAATATACTCCCCTCAACATCGACAGCATCTGGAACGTAGCTCTGGACCAAGAACCACTTTTGGACCAAGAACCACTTTTGGACCAAGAGCCACTTTTGGACCAAGAACCACTTTTGGACCAAGAGCCACTTTTGGACCAAGAGCCACTTTTGGACCAAGAGCCACTTTTGGATCAACACTTTTGGACCAAGAACCACTTTTGGACCATGAGCCACTTTTGGACCAAGAGCCACTTTTGGACCAAGAACCACTTTTGGACCAAGAGCCACTTTTGGACCAAGAGCCACTTTTGGACCAAGAACCACTTTTGGACCAAGAACCACTTTTGGACCAAGAGCCACTTTTGGATCAACACTTTTGGACCAAGAACCACTTTTGGACCATGAGCCACTTTTGGACCAAGAGCCACTTTTGGACCAAGAACCACTTTTGGACCAAGAGCCACTTTTGGACCAAGAACCACTTTTGGACCAAGAGCCACTTTTGGACCAAGAGCCACTTTTGGACCAAGAACCACTTTTGGACCATGAGCCACTTTTGGACCATGAGCCACTTTTGGACCAATGAGCCACTTTTGGACCAAGAACCACTTTTGGACCAAGAGCCACTTTTGGATCAACACTTTTGGACCAAGAACCACTTTTGGACCATGAGCCACTTTTGGACCATAAGCCACTTTTGGACCAAGAACCACTTTTGGACCAAGAGCCACTTTTGGACCGAGAACCACTTTTGGACCGAGAACCACTTTTGGACCAAGAGCCACTTTTGGACCAAGAGCCACTTTTGGACCATCCTGTGAAGCCGTTTTTGAGAGGAAAGAAGACGCCTTACAAAAGCATTGGGTAATTCTCTTTCCAGGTACACCCCCACCAACAAGGAGCGAGATTGCAGCCTGTTAGTGCACGTTTTGGAGCCGGGACCCACAGCCCACTGGTCATAGCATACCGCCAAGTTTGTACAGTATGTTTGTGAAGGATTGTACCATAAGTTCAGATAGAACATGAACGGAGCTAAAAACAAGTATGTTTTTGAGAAGGAATCAAAACAATGACTTAATTACAGATATTTCTGAAAGTCTGTGTTGGTTAGAGATGAGTTAAGACGCTGAGAAGCTAAATACTCACTTGTTAAAGAGGTTGAGTCCGATGCGATATTGTCGTCTCTGTACCACATCGTTATTAAACGCAGGAGAGTCCCAGTTGTTTCTGCTTTCCCTCTGATAGGTCATTTTACTCACAGCCCCGCCCCCCATCCCAGCAAGGGCTCCCATTGGCTGGCTGTCACGAGAAGACGAGCCTGAGCTGTGATTGGCCGTCGTGGTCGTATCGTCGTTGGAGTTTGTGGTGGCCGATTGGACGCTATCGTTGTCACCATCCGAAGACAACAAAGGGTGAGGCGAGACGGGGGGTTCGGGGCAGCACGGGGGAGGCAAGTGGGGCAAATGGGGCAAAGGAGGCATCTGTGGAGGCATCTGCGGAGGAAGCTGGTGGAAGTGAGCCTCCGCCTGGGGAAAGCTGTGAATCGGGTGTGGAGCAAAGTGAGCGTGGTTCAGGGCGTGAGTGTGGGGGTGGACTTGTGGGTAGTTCTGCGGGTGGTTGTGCAGTAGGGGGTGGTTGTGCATCGCGTGGGGGGGCAGAAGCGGCCTTTGCTGGGGCAGGTTTTGGGGATATTGGGGCTTTTGCGCAAGACATGTGTGCTCAGGGAAGGAGGGCATGTTTGGAGGGGTCTGTTGGCAAGTGTGGGCCAGAAGTTGCGGGTGAGTGTGAGTCTGGGGGTGGTATCCGTGGAGCTGGCTGTAGACCTGGCTTTGGTTGTACCCCTGGTTGTGGAGAAAATGCTGGACGTAAGGCTGGTGTTGGTGATGAATTTGTGTGTAGGGGGTGCTGTGCTGCATGTGGGGCAGTAGGGGGTGCTGCGGGTGAGTGTGCATCTGCGGATGAGGTTGGGGGTGGGTGAGTGGGTGTGTAGGCAGTGTACGGGCAGATGGAATGGGCAGTGGTGCTGGGACCCTGGTCTGTCCCTGCGCCTGGTTCTGGTTGGGTTTGTGTTTGATGGTTCCCTGCAGGGATTCAGTTTCAGTGGAGTCTCCTTCATCTCGAGTTTCCTCCTCTTCTTCCTCCTCCTCGGGGCTGTCCTCATCCTCCTCTCCTGCCGTCTCTCCTCCAGTTTCACTTCGGACCTCCCCCTCTGCTCCTCGATCCACTGAAGAATCCTGCTCATAGACTAAGCGCCCAATAGATCCACGCTCAGAGCTGCAAAGAGTTCAGACAGGTCAAGAACAGTGAAGCATCATGGGGGATGGGGTGGGGGGAATAAAAATCTGTACACACCGGTCACTCATGTCCACAGAGCTGTCGCTGGGGGGTTCGATGGTGAGAACAGGCAGGTGTCCTGGTGTATTACCCCCTCTCGACCCTCGTCTGGACCCACTTCTCGAACTCTCTCTGTCTCCAGACCAGAACTCTGTGTCGGAGCTGGATCCAGGTCCCAGGGAGCAGCGATAGTTCTGGTACTGCTCTGGCTCTAGACTATCCTCATCTGGACTGTCCTCCTCAGGGCTGTCCTCGGGGGTCTCCTCTGCACTGTCCTCTGGAGGGTCTTGAGAGTCCAGACCAGACTGGGACTGACAGGTCAGGGACTCATCCATGGAGTCAGCTAAAGAGGCCACCTTTAGAAAGAGCAAGGCTGTTAGCGGGTTATGCTGAAAATGACTGTTTGGCCGAGACTCCAACGCAAACTATTTGGTCGTATTTAGGATGCTTTCATTTTTATGGACTAGCACCACCTTTAGGATTGTTTTTTTGTTTTAATTGAATAAGTTACTCAACAAATACACATCAAACAACAACAATCTGGAAGACATCACCTGCGGAACATACAGTAAGTACTTCACTGATTGTCATCAAGAAACCGCTGTCATCCCAACTCCACCCCCAAAAATGTGTTGGTGCTGGCCTTTTTAAAACACATGAGTTCATACAGTGTTTGGAAAAAATAATACATAAAAAAAGAATACATATATACAAAAAGTGGAGAGAAACAAAATCCATCCATCTTTTTCTGGGACAATAGAAGTGAGTAGTGGACACTTTACCGCTTTGGAAAAGGCATCGTCCAGATCAGCATTGACCTCTGATCCTGGCTGACTCTCTGATCCCTGCCCCTGGGGGAGTCGCTCTTCAAATGAATACTGTAAAACACATCTTGTCATTTTTCTGTCCATTGCTTCAGTGGTTATTTCACAAGATGGTACCTGTGATCTCATGTTAGTCAGTATGATACGTCGGGTCATGCGACTCTCAGAGGCAGAACTCCGCAAACGTTGAAAGTTCTTCCTCATTCGATATTGTCTGAAAGCTGTTTGGATAGTTTTTGCTGCTCGGCGAGTCACAAACTGCCCACCATATTTCCTCTCCAACATCTCCACCTGTGTAGGTTCAGATTCAGCGTTAGACGAGAGTGAGGCACATGTGAGGAAGCGTTCAGTACCGTCTTGTCCTGCAGGTCCGTGGACAGTTCGTAATCCTCATCCTGGTTTCTGAGAGCCACACTGGCGGACTGTAGCCTTCTCTGAGCCCAAGTAAGTCCAGGACCAGAGGGAGACAAGGGAGACACGGAGCCCTGAGAAGTCATTTTAGAGGTGTTGAGACTTTACCGTACTTTATAGGTGGCAGTAAGTTATCGAGACATACAGTATGGACTCATGTTACCTGAGTGAGTGTGTGAGCAGAGCAGTACGGGTCACACGGGTCACAGGGGCGGGACATAGGACTGTTGTTGTGGCGAAGGGGCAAGGGATTGTTGCCATGACGATGGAAGTGGGAGGAGAATGGGGAGGGCTCAAAGGGCATCATGGTGGCTTCAGTGCAATGGGGTTGGTCAGAACTGAAAAACAGAACCATAAAATGAATAGTTAATTTTATATAGTTAAAGAAGCAGTGTGTAAAAATGTGGCCAAAAGTGGTACTGCAGCCTCTCCCACTCTCCCTGACTCAGGTTGCCAGATATGCAGACTACATTCAAGATGGCGCCTCGTACGGTCGACATGGCTCTTTGCTGCTCTCTTTTTCTTTTGTTTTTACTTTTTAACTGTGCATCTGGCTGTTCCTACACCCGTGAGGAACTTATGAACATCCGACCCACCGTTCCCATGGACCTACTGCCTGTTTTCTTGGCATCTGCGGCTGATTTAGTTCATGTTCTAGCCAAAAAAGTGTGGGCCCGTAAAAGGGGAAAGCGAGGAGGCCTGCTCGTGCGTCTTAGGAGGAGAGGAGCGCGCACGGCTCTCCCCGGCATTTTTCTCTCCAACGTACGCTCACTGGGCAATAAGATGGACGAACTCAGCCTGCTCATGAGAAGAAACAAGGACTTCGCCACATCCTGTGTCCTCTGCTTCACTGAGACCTGGCTAAATGAGCGGATCCCGGACTGCGCTCTGGAGCTGCAGGGCTTTGGGCTGTTTCGCGCGGATCGCCATTGTGCGCTCTCAGGGAAGAGCAGAGGCGGAGGGCTCTGTTTCTACGTCAATACAAACTGGTGTAACGATGTGACAGTGATCTCCAAGCACTGCTCTCCTGCTCTGGAATATCTTTTCATCCATTGTAAACCATATTACTCCCCGCGGGAAATTGTTTCATTCATTCTTGCCTCTGTTTACATACCGCCATGCGCGGACGCGCGCGAGGCTCAGCGCGCACTCGCAGAGCAAGTACTGTGTATGGAACGCTTATACCCGGACTCTCTGATTATTATCCTGGGGGATTTTAATAAGGGAAACTTGAGCCAGGAATTACCCAAATACAGACAGTTTATCAAATGCCCGACCAGAGAGGAGAACACTCTGGATCACTGTTACACCACCGTGCGCGGAGCTTTTCGCGCTGTTCCCAAGCCAGCCCTCGGCTTCTCAGATCACTCCATGATACATCTGGTTCCTGCTTACAGACAGAGACTAAAGCTCTCGAAACCTGCAGTGAGGAGCTCCAAAGTGTGGTCTGATGAAGCTGTGGAAGAGCTGCGCGCATGCATGGAATCTACAGACTGGGACCTTTTCAGAGCTGCCACAGACAGCTTGGATGAATATACGGACACTGTGACGTCATACATCCACTTCTGTGAGGATAGCATCATTCCAACAAGGACCAGGGTCATCTATAACAACGACAAACCCTGGTTCACTGCTAAACTCCGGCAGCTCAGGAAAGCAAAGGAGTCTGCTTTCAGGGAGGGGGACCGCAGCGGCTACAAAGCAGCTAAATATCAGTTCAGGAAAGAACTGAAAGCAGCCAAGTCCCGGCACAGAGAACGACTACAGGAGCAGTTTGGTAACAACGATACTGCTTCTGTCTGGAGGGGCCTACGGGAGATCACCAACTACAAACCCAAAGCCCCCCCCTGTGCTGATGACCACAAGCTAGCTGACGATCTGAACTTATTTTTCAGTCGCTTTGATGCTGCCCCTGACACCTCTCCCTCCCCCACCCCCCACTACTCTAACGACCCACCCATCAGCCCTGCCCCCAGCCTAACAATAGCCGCTAAAGAGATTAAACAACTCTTCCTGAGGCTGCACCCCCGCAAAGCTCCTGGCCCGGACCACGTGTCTCCGGCCACTCTGAGACACTGCGCCAGTGAGCTTACTCCTGTGTTCACGGACATTTTCAACTCCTCTCTGCAGTCCTGCCATGTCCCGGCCTGCTTCAAATCCTCCATCATTGTCCCCGTCCCGAAGAAGCCCAGGATCACAGGACTCAATGACTACAGACCTGTAGCACTTACGTCTGTCGTCATGAAGTCATTTGAACGCCTGGTTCTCTCCCATCTCAAGTCCCTCACCTCCCCCCTCCTGGACCCCCTGCAGTTCGCCTACAGAGCCAACAGATCTGTAGACGACGCCATTAACCTGGCCCTCCACCACATCCTACAGCACCTGGACTCCCCGGGGACCTACGCCAGGGTCCTGTTCGTGGACTTCAGCTCTGCCTTCAACACAATCCTGCCATCCCTGCTCCAGGACAAGCTCTCCCAGCTCAACGTGCCCGATTCCACCTGCAGGTGGATCACTGACTTCCTGACGGACAGGAAGCAGCGAGTGCGTCTGGGGAAGAATGTCTCGGACTCTCGGATTATAAATACAGGAGCCCCACAGGGCTGTGTTCTTTCTCCCCTGCTCTTCTCCCTGTACACCAACCACTGCACCTCCAGCCACGACTCCGTGAAGCTGATCAAGTTCGCGGACGACACCACCCTCATTGGACTCATCTCCAACAACGATGAGTCCGCCTACAGGAGGGAGGTGGACCGGCTGGTGTCCTGGTGCAGTGGTAACAACCTGGAGCTGAACGCCCAGAAGACAGTGGAGATGATTGTGGACTTCAGGAAGAGCACTGTCCCCCCGCCCCCACCCTCCGTGATGGACTCCCCCATCACCTCTGTGGAGTCCTTCCGTTTCCTGGGCACCACCATCACCCAGGACCTCAAGTGGGAGCCGACCATCAGCTCCCTCATCAAGAAGGCCCAGCAGAGGATGTACTTCCTGCGGCAGCTCAGGAAAGCCAAGCTGCCTGCACAGATGTTGGTGCAGTTCTACACGGCCATCATCGAGTCCATCCTCACCTCCTCCATCACCGTGTGGTTCGCTGGAGCCACAGTCAGGGACAAACAGAGACTACAGCGCATTGTGCGCTCTGCAGAGGAAGTGATCGGCCGCAGCCTTCCATCGCTGCAGGACCTGTACGTCGCCCGAGCTCGAGGCCGGGCTGGTCGTATCACAGCCGACCCCTCTCACCCTGCACATGGACTATTCCAACCACTCCCCTCAGGCAGGAGGCTGCGGTCCATCAGGACTAGAACCTCCCGCCACAAGAACAGTTTCTTCCCCTCTGCTGTTGGACTCTTGAACACTTCTTAACCTGTCCCCCCGCCCTTTATAAAGTCACTTTACTGCCCATCATACGTCACTTTACTTCACTGTACTGCTGTCACCTTACATTGTGTGCACCATGTGCACTTGTATATTGTAAATAGTAACTGTAACTCTATTTTAAATTTAAATTTATTCTTTAGAAGTGTTTTTTATTCTTATTTTTATTATCTCTTTTCGACTGTTGCACTGAGCCAAAGCAATTTCCAAGTCTGTGACCTCCCGTTACTTACGTTGGCAATAAAAATGATTCTGATTCTGATTCTGAATCCAGCTGGGACCATAACAGCTGAATAGACAAGAGTTTTGTCAACAACAAATCTATAACCAACACCTTTTTCACAAAGATAGAAATCCTGGTTTTATTCCTTGTTTTGTCGTTAATTATTTGAGAATCAGAACGAGACCTTTTTTAATTCTGCGCCACATGGTACTTTACCAGTGAGATTAGCTCCACGCGGTGAGTTCTGGCGCCCGGATCACAGACTTTCTGATTGGTGAAACGGTGGAGGGCGGGACATAGAAATGAAAACAACAAGATTTAGAGACTTAAAAACTCATTTTGAAATCCAAATATCTCTGAACTACTGTTATCAGTTAAAGAAGTATTGGAAAAAAAACATGTTTTATTAATGCCTTTGGACAGATTAGGGCCCTTTAATGATGACTTGACATGAAAATCTTACATATTAAATCATACGTACATGACCCGTGCGTGTACATGAACATTGCGTGTACATGAACATTGCGTGTACATGAACCGTGCGTGTCCATGAACATTGCGTGTACATGAACATTGCGTGTACATGAACCGTGCGTGTACATGGACCGTGCGTGTACATGAACCGTGCGTGTACATGAAACGTGCGTGTACATGAACATTGCGTGTACATGAACATTGCGTGTACATGAACCGTGCGTGTACATGGACCGTGCGTGTACATGAACCGTGCGTGTACATGAACATTGCGTGTACATGAACCGTGCGTGTCCATGAACATTGCGTGTACATGAACATTGCGTGTACATGAACCGTGCGTGTACATGGACCGTGCGTGTACATGAACCGTGCGTGTACATGAAACGTGCGTGTACATGAACATTGCGTGTACATGAACATTGCGTGTACATGAACCGTGCGTGTACATGGACCGTGCGTGTACATGAACCGTGCGTGTACATGAACATTGCGTGTACATGAACCGTGCGTGTACATGAACCGTGCGTGTACATGAACATTGCATGTACATGAACCTTGCGTGTACATGAACATTGCGTGTACATGAAACGTGCGTGTACATGAACCGTGCGTGTACATGAACCGTGCGTGTACATGAACCGTGCGTGTACATGAACCGTGCCATGTACATGATCCGTGCGTGTACATGAACCTTGCATGTACATGAACCGTGCGTGTACATGAACATTGCGTGTACATGCACATTGCGTGTACATGCACTGTGCGTGTACATGATCCGTGCGTGTACATGAACATTGCGTGTACATGAACATTGCGTGTACATGAACCGTGCATGTACAGTACATAAACCTTGCGTGTACATGATCCGTGCGTGTCCATGAACCATGCGTGTACATGAACATTGCGTGTACATGAAGCGTGCGTGTACATGAACATTGCATGTACATGAACATTGCGTGTACATGAACATTGTGTGTACATGAACCGTGCGTGTACATGAACCGTGCATGTACATGAACCGTGCGTGTACATGAACATTGCGTGTACATGGACCGTGCGTGTACATGAACCGTGCGTGTCCATGAACATTGCGTGTACATGAACCGTGCGTGTACATGAACCGTGCGTGTACATGAACATTGCGTGTACATGAATGAACCGTGCGTGTACATGAACCGTGCGTGTACATGATCCGTGCGTGTCCATGAACCGTGCGTGTACATGATCCGTGCGTGTACATGAACCGTGCGTGTACATGAACATTGCGTGTACATAAACATTGCGTGTACATGATCCTTGCGTGTACATGATCCCTGCGTGTACATGATCCGTGCGTGTACATGAACCGTGCGTGTACATGAACCGTGCGTGCACATGAACCGTGCGTGTACATGAACCGTGCGTGTACATGAACCGTGCGTGTACATGAACCGTGCGTGTACATGAACCGTGCGTTTACATAAACATTGCGTGTACATGAACCGTGCGTTTACATGAACATTGCGTGTACATGAACCGTGCGTTTACATGATCCGTGCGTGTCCATGAACCGTGCGTGTACATGAACCGTGCGTGTCCATGATCCGTGCGTGTACATGAACCGTGCGTGTACATGAACCGTGCGTGTACATGAACCATGCGTGTACATGAACCGTGCGTGTACATGAACCGTGCGTGTACATGAACCGTGCGTGTACATGAACCGTGCGTGTACATAGTGCTCTGTGTGGGGAGGACCAGCAGGAGCAGGAGGAGGCGGGGGTTGGAGGCTGAGGCCTAGGGCTGTAGTTCATATGTTTATCTCTGAACTGGTTCAAACTGGGTCCAGTGAGAAACCAGCTCAAACTAAACAATAAGATGTCATTTATCCAACTGTTCGACTCCTGAAAGATCAGAATTTCTACAAGAACGGAAAAGGATTCAGTAAAAGAATAAACAAATCATTTTTATTATGTTTTGTTCTACGCCTCATAGTGTGAATGAATAAATTGTAATATATATAAACACAATTATATGTTTTTTAGGGAAATTCACTTTAAATGTGAACAACAAACAGTGTAGTAAGAATTTATCCTTCTTTAGAATTAAAATCCTAAGTTCTGATTTCAGACAAATATAGAAATATCACAGAAAATAAACATTTAAAAACACAATGCATTTCGCTTTCACTTTTGTATACAGCAAAAAGTGATGATATAATTATATAAGTGTAAAAAAAATGTTTTAATTGAAATATAATACTTAAACTGTAAATTTTCAGGACTAATTCATCTGAAATACTCTTCTCTGACAATATCAAATCCTGGGAAAAAACAGTTATTTTTATCAGTGTCAAAACAGAGGGATTTTATATCTGTATCTTTCTCTCTAATGTACTGTGATTAATCATGATTTTAATACTATCTACTATCTCAATATTAATACTAACTACTATCTAGTTTCTTTGTGTATGAAGTGTGCTCCACAAATAAACTTGCCTAGTCCAATCAGCCATATTATTATATCGTATGAATGTTATTTTAGAGGAAAGACAGATGTGTAAAGTCATTCATGGGTCCTCAAAGGCTGTAAAGGAGACACTTTGACACATTATTATGTCATAAAGAAAAGGTTCTGACTGATTGAGGAAAACAAACAACAATGTAAAAATATTCAATTGTCCGTTTTTTTTTCTTTCTCTAAAAGCGTTTGAACAACTACAAAGTGAAATGAATGAATACGGTCTGGAAAAGTGTGGCTTCAGGTCTTCATCCAGTCCCAGAGGTCAAGACCGACAACACTTCAACACAAACTCGTCTGACTGATCTGATAAAGTCTGGTTTGGACTGTCCAGAACCAGGGTCTGCACGGCCGTGGATCAGAACGCTGCGTGGATCAGAACGCTGCGTGGATCAGAACGCTGTGTGGATCAGAACGCTGTGTGGATCAGAACACTGTGGATCAGAACACTGTGGATCAGAATACTGTGGATCAGAATACTGTGGATCAGAATACTGTGTGGATCAGAATACTGTGGATCAGAATACTGTGTGGATCAGAACGCTGTGTGGATCAGAACACTGTGTGGATCAGAACGCTGTGTAAATCAGAACACTGTGGATCAGAACGCTGTGTGGATCAGAACACTGTGTGGATCAGAACACTGTGTGGATCAGAACGCTGTGTAAATCAGAACACTGTGGATCAGAACGCTGTGTGGATCAGAACACTGTGTGGATCAGAACACTGTGTAAATCAGAACACTGTGGATCAGAACACTGTGTGGATCAGAACACTGTGTGGATCAGAACACTGTGTGGATCAGAACGCTGTGGATCAGAACACTGTGGATCAGAACACTGTGTGGATCAGAACACTGTGTGGATCAGAACACTGTGTGGATCAGAACGCTGTGGATCAGAACACTGTGGATCAGAATACTGTGTGGATCAGAACGCTGTGGATCAGAACACTGTGGATCAGAATACTGTGTGGATCAGAACGCTGTGTGGATCAGAACGCTGTGTGGATCAGAACGCTGTGTGGATCAGAACACTGTGTGGATCAGAACGCTGTGTGGATCAGAACGCTGTGTGGATCAGAACGCTGTGTGGATCAGAACACTGTGGATCAGAACACTGTGTGGATCAGAACACTGTGTGGATCAGAATACTGTGTGGATCAGAACGCTGTGGATCAGAACACTGTGGATCAGAATACTGTGTGGATCAGAACGCTGTGTGGATCAGAACGCTGTGTGGATCAGAACACTGTGTGGATCAGAACGCTGTGTGGATCAGAACACTGTGTGGATCAGAACGCTGTGTGGATCAGAACACTGTGGATCAGAACACTGTGTGGATCAGAACGCTGTGTGGATCAGAACGCTCTGTGGATCAGAACACTGTGTGGATCAGAACACTGTGTGGATCAGAACACTGTGTGGATCAGAACCCGGTGCTGTAACATCACAGAGAAGCTGAGGCCAGTCCCTGCATGGTCACTGAGCTTCACTTTAAACTAGCTTCAGAAGTTTTGAATAAAGGAAAATAAACATTTGGCTCATATTCATACAGTTCTATAAAGTTCTATACAGGTTCTATACGGTTCTATAAAGTCTAAATAAATCCACTGAGCTGCAAAAGATTGTTAGAGCTCATTTGATCCAGGTTTGAAAAGGACAGAACCAAGAGAAGGCTGCTCAGCTTCTGGAAGGCTCTGACCCTGATCCCAGCAGGACCCCAGCCTCAGCTCACCTGTCTGAGACCAGCTGTCACGTGACTCAAACGCTTGTTTTCATAAACCGAGTCCGGACCTGGACCAGGGCCCATGTCGCAGTTACAAACCACACGCACGGCAGGAGGCGGCACTGCGCGGCATACACTTGGCACAGCACTGAAGTAAAACCAGGACTAAATCCAGACCCAAAGCAGCACAAACCCAGAGCTGAATCAGCGTTAAAAGAGCATAACATTCAGAACCATAAAGCACACTTCCCCAGAACCATAAAGCACACTTCCCCAGAACCATGAAGCACTGACAGAGAGTGTCGCGGTGATGCGGCTGGGAGCGCAGATGGAGCCGCTGGCACCAGGATTGGACCATGGATCTCTCTGTGTGCTCTGACAGCGGCTCCTCCGGGTCCCACACACCGGGTGGGGTCTGGTTCGGTTGAGATTCGGCTCAGGGATGAAACGTAAAAGCAGATTCTATCGTTCATCCGAATCATACCTGAACAGAAGCTTGTTGTTGAGCGCTGGCGTTTTATCCGACGCGCAGTTGATGCACCACATGACTCCGCGGGAGAACGGGCGTCGGAACCACGGGCGCACGGGTCTAGGCTCCTGGGGGTCTATAGGCTCCTGGGGTCCGGTTCTGGCTCATGAGCACAGGTTCCGAGGCAGATGGCGCCTGCGAAGTGTGCTGCTGTTCTTACGTCACGCCTCCTCCTCCTCCGTCCTGCCTCCTTCTCTCTCCTCCGTGCAAGTGTCCTTCTCTCTCTCTCTCCTTTCCTCGCTCCTCGTTCCTTCTGACGCAGAGCTGTGGGCAGGTGCGGACTTCCGGCGGGCTTGTCACGTGACTGGTTCTGTTGTTTTGGATCAGTCCTGCTGCGGTTCTGAACTCCAAATGATGCCACGGCCTCAGCAGGACTCACAAGCTATTCATTGTTATTCAATAATTCTAACTATATTTTTGTCTGCTCACATGTTTGTCCCAACAGAACCAATCAGACCCAACATGAGATGACTGGGACTGTTTACCTCCCTGAGAGCTGAGTGGGGGTTGCTACTCTCTCTTTCTCTCTTTTTACAGAGACCAAAAATACAGGCAAATGAGAACTAGTGATAGAAGCAAACCGTTTTGAGAGAAAATTACTAAACTATGGATTTAATTACATAGATTATTTCTTTTGTAATTCAAAGTTTGACACTCCAGCTCATGGCTAGCCCACAAAACACATCAATACAAATAGTTTTCATGTTACTTTTTTGGCTAGCGTATCAAATGTGTCCGTTTCAAAACCACAGGCACCCACAATAGAGAGTATAATAATAATAATAATAATAAAATAGATAAATTGTGTAAATGTGCAGTACAATAAACGAAGTGGCAGATCTATGTATAATGCTTGTGCAGTGAGTGGGACTGCGTCGTCGCCTCCTCCTCCTCCTGCTGCTCGTCTCCACAGCAACTGCCTCCCCTCTCCATGGCAACCGTCTCCCGGCAACATCACCCTCCCACGGATCTCGCGAGAGCCCTCTGCTGGTTGTTTAAAGAGCAGCATATTATTATTTTTAGCATCTGGAATTTGAATCATTGCACACACAAAAAAAAGATATATTTCGAGTCAAAATACTTTTTTCTGGTTCAGATAAATTTTATTGATCTGCAGAATATAGAGCATCATCATCTTTATTTCTCTCAGACAGTTTCTCAATTTTACACAAGATATTATTTACACTTGAAATGAGATGAAAGATGGCACTTCCGGGGCTGCCTGTCGCTGCGCTGAGGCCGTAAACACAGTGAAAACAGTACGCCTTTCCAGTATTTGTGAGGGAACAAACTCAGACTAACTTTTTGAAAGATTCTAGACGCTGTTAGAAGGTCGCGATTCTAGCCTGGATTAACCGAGATCCACAGTGAACGCATGTGTGTGCGTGTGCGTGTGTGTGTGCGTGTGTGTGTGTGTGTGTGTGTGTGTGTGTGTGTGTGTGTCAGCCCTGAGACTAACTGGCTTTTATCAGCGTTATGCTTCTTTCCACTTGCTTTAGGTCGAGTCAGGCCTCAGTCCCGGTGTTTGCGACCTCCTGTGCAGACGAACACTTTGCGGTGACAGTAAATCCAGGTTAGAAACACAGATTCTTAAATGTTCTCGCACTCTCTGTTCTGTCCCGTGTCCACTTCTCTCTTAGCTGTTGTGCAAGATGTCCAGTTTGCTTCTGGGTAATTTGGTGGCTGATGAAGAAAGGCTTCATGCTTTAAACAGAGTTCTCCACCCAAAACTTTAGACCTGGTTTGGGCTAAATCCACATTCACTCCACTTCCACGCAGTGTAAACAGTTTTTTTTCTTTATTGAATCCTGATCGAGCCATCTCTCGTGTCCTCTGTTATCTCCTTGTATCTTTGTGTCCGCGTTGCCGTGGTTACCTGGAGGAGGGGCTACTGCACTCGGAGGCGGGGCAACAGAACTGATGAGCGACGTCATCATCGTCATCCTCCCTGAAAACACACAGACAGGCACGAGAGGAGAAGGAGTCAAATCATACAATTCAATCCAAATAACTTTATTGATCCGTGAGGAACATGACTTACAGGCAGAGCAAGAGTGGAGGTTCGTAAAAACACAGACACTTTCACAGACCAGAGTCAAAGCGCTTTACAATTGTGGGCATTAGTCTGTCACTCCACACAGAGATGGGAGGGGTCAGTACAGGAGGCACAGACTTATTGAACATGTTTTTAGTGGTAGGGGAAACCGGAGCACCCGGAGGAAACCTACGCAGACACGGGGAGAACATGCAAACTCCACCCAGAAAGGCCCCGTTCCGACCGGAATTCAAACCCAGGACCTTCTTGCTGAGAAATGCTGCCCAAATATAAATGTAAATGCAGTAAAAAGAGCAGAAATGCAAATGAGAAAAGTCTCCGTGGGTTAGTGTGTGATTGAAATGTTTTTAGATGATCTTTTTAATTACATTTTAAATCCATGTCATGCCACGGGCAGTAAATGTGTACGGGAACTTGACTCTTGGCTTCTGTCATCTGGCGGGGTGGGGGGGGGGGGGGGGGGGGGGGTGTTTACATGTAAATACCGAGGGATTCCCTTTGAAACTGTACTTTCCCCGACTGTGACTGTGTTTAGAGCAGGGGTGTCCAACTCTTTCTGGTCAGGGGCCGATTATAAAAATAGGAACTGGTCGGGGCCCGAAACAACAGAAGAGATTTCCTTTTCTTATCATAGTTTTTGACATCATGAAGATATTTTAACATGACTTTAAGAGATAGATATAGATAGATACATGTATAACCTGCCCTGGTCGCCCATTACCATCAATGCTGCCAGTTCATCAAGATAAAAAAAACAATGTTAGGGGCCACTAAAAATGGTCTTGCGGGCCGGATCCAGCCCCCGGGCCTTGACTTTGACACCTGCAGTTTAGAGGTTGCGTTTCATTGAGCAAAGTAGGTTGCTTGGTGGAGGAGAGATCAGAGGACGTTGGCGTGCAGCTGTGGGAACATGGCGGCCTTCTGCCGTCTCCAGATGTGTCCAGATGACCCGCAGTGGAACTTATCATTTAGCCTGTTTTTCTGGACAAAGTCGGACCCTACCTGGAGTGCTTGCTCGGCGGGGGCGGCAGGTGCAGGAGTCGGGAGGCGCAGCAGAACTGGTGGAACGAGCTGTTTGGAGGAAGACTGGATGAAGACCCAGGGTAGGAGGGCGGGGTTATGCAAGCGGTGGGTGGAGACATACAGGAAGTGGGTGGAGAAACGCAGGAGGTGGGTGGGGAGATACATGAGGAGGGGGGAGAGCGGCAGGACGTGGATGAATGACACCTGCACACACACACAAAAACACACAATCATCAGAAGTTAAGTCCGATGATGTTGATTAAATGTCAGTGTTGGTGGAGTAGTCGGGGCACTGCAGGACTTTGTGTAACCGTTGTATACTGCAGTACTCGGTTGAACAGTTGGGGGCTGCTGTTCTGTGTAAATGGGGCAGGACTGCGGAGGGGGAAGAGACTGCGACAAACGGCAGCACAGATTAATGAGACAATACACACCTGCACCCATGGACACAGCACCTGAAGTACTCACAGTATATCACAGTATACACAGCACGGCCTAAATACGTGCCAACAGCTGAGGACCTAAGCCGACTCTCTAACATCATAACCACACTCTCTTCTGTCCATAATGCTTTTAACTTTGTACTTTAACTCTACTTTAAAATGCACTTTTTTACTTGTACGTGAGGCGACCTTGAGTGTTAAGAAAGGCGCCCAAGAAATTAAAAGTCTTATTATTATTATTAGTATTATGAAGGGGGGTTGCACTTTTCATATCTATTCATTTTTGTCATTACCAGGAAACTGTGGGAGACTGAAGCTCGCCAACATGTGACATCACCTTCTCTGAGCACAATCAGGGCATCTTGTATAGTAAGTGTTATAGCCACTTTAAGTTTATTCTACATAATTATCAGTGTTGGGCACGTTACTTTGAAAAAGTAATTAGTTATAGTTACTAGTTACTTCTCCCAAAAAGTAACTGAGTTACTAACGGAGTTACTCCACTATAAAAGTAACTAGTTACCAGTAAAAGTAACTATTGCGTTACTTTTTCGTTTTGTTCTGGAACATAATGTGCACCCGACGTGCGCATTTTTACCTTTAACAGTGCCCATATTTCCATCTAGAAAAGGCTGTTTTGCTGCTGAAGTCCGGTTCACTCTTCATCTCTGTCTGTGCTGTAAAGCCCGCCACTGTGAATGTGGAAACACCGGTGACGAGCGGTGAGGCTGGTGAAGCACTGACTTCAGTCCAATCAGATGAACATATACATCATATAAATCAAGTGGACAATTTGTTTGGCTACAGCAAAATATGTTTTATGCCCGCATTGTTTGTTCATACAAAACGCAAAACTATGAGTTATGGGTCTTACCTTATAGCTATACCTTATAAATGACCTGCACAGTCCACTTCGGTTCAGACCAGTTCCTTGTTTAAATCCAGTGAATGGTTTGAGCGTAGATATGTAATCCTCCGTTTGGAAATGAGTCCAATGAGTTTTAAAAAGTAAAACAAAACGGCTGCATCCAATTTCTAAAATCAACCGTCTTACACTTCACCTCTCTTTCTTATCATTCCTATAGTAATTGAAAAATTACCCTATGTGCATTTTAGATTATGTAAAAATGTGTTATATGTATGTTAGCCAAACCTGTTGCTGTCCTTAGCAGATAAACCAGGAAGAGCAAGGAGCTTATCGATGGAATTGTATGCAGCCGACTTCTGCGCTCACATGCGCTCCCCTGTGGCCTCACGGTGATACAAGCCGATTAAGACCCATATTTGTTTCAAAAACACAATTTATGAGCCATCCTCTCAACTGTAGACATGTGGATTGTAAAGGAAATATGATTTACATCAGCCAATAATTGCTGAGAGGTTTTCTCATCCTCCCTTCTCTCATGACAACACGTTCATTGTGCGTCTTGAGTAACGCGCAGTAACGGGATGTCGGAAATGATAACGGCGTTATAGTTACTGTCAAAGTAATTAGTTAGATTACTCGTTACTGAAAAAAGTAACGGCGTTAGTAACGCCGTTACTAGTAACGCCGTTATTCCCATCACTGATAATTATATCCTGCACAGACTATAATCTTAACCTTTGACATGTTGCACACTTCTGTCTGTGATTCTGTCTGTGCCAAATGTGACATGTAGATTTCCCCAGTGTGAGATCAATAAACTTTCTCTTACCTAATCTTGTTGCCTGAATTTCTTTGAGACGATTAAACAGATATTTTGTTCTTGTTTTTGTCTAAAATATTCAGTGATGGGTGTAAAAATGGGGCGACAGTAGCTCAGTTGGTAGAGCATTGGCCTTTGAGCCTGAAGGTCGTGGGTTCGAGCCCACCGTAAGACCTACTTCACGACTCCCACTGATGACTGCTGTCGTTGTGTCCTTGGGCAAGACACTTAACCCCACTTTGCCTGAAGCTCCCACTGAAAGATCTCAGCTCCTGTGGACTCACCACCTGCAGGAGAATCAGTGAGGGGCTGGTGCTCTGTGTGCTGGGTGGAATCTCTGGCCACCCCCCCGACCCAGAAATGGATTAAGGGGAAGAAAATGGATGGATGGATGGATGGGTGTAAAAATGGTCGATAGCTGCAGCTATATGTATATGAAAAATGCAACTTTCACAGCATAAGTCTGTATGTTTCAAAGACATGATTTAAAAAAGCAGTAACTACACAAAACCAAAGTGGAAATGTGTAAAGTATAGCAGATAAAAACATGTATAAGTGGCACTGGAGGAGAAGTTGCATGTTTGTGCAGCGTGTAGGTTTTTAGAGACCAAAAAACATTTGCAAAAACAAATAGAACGATGAAAAATCCCAAACGTCCCACTGGTCGAATGATACGTACCGATCTTCTTAATGGCTTCATCTCTCGACGCAAAAGCTCGGGCTATTATTTGATATTTTACGGTTAATAAAATGTAAAATGTAAATCAGTCGCACCCACGGCCAAACTACAACAAAAACTGACACTTAGAATCTGAAAAATACGGTAATTTTGTCCTTAAGCGACGTAAATCCTTTTGAATGCGCTGGAAAACTGCAGCAGGTTATGGTAGCTCTGTGGTAGCTCTCTGGTAGCTCTGTGGTAGCTCTCTAGTAGCTCTGTGGTAGCTCTCTAGTAGCTCTCTAGTAGCTCTGTGGTAGCTCTCTAGTAGCTCTGTGGTAGCTCTCTAGTAGCTCTGTGGTAGCTCTCTAGTAGCTCTGTGGTAGCTCTATGGTAGCTCTGTGGTAGCTCTGTGGTAGCTCTGTGGTAGCTCTGTGGTAGCTCTCTGGTAGCTCTGTGGTAGCTCTCTAGTAGCTCTGTGGTAGCTCTCTAGTAGCTCTGTGGTAGCTCTCTAGTAGCTCTGTGGTAGCTTTGTGGTAGCTCTGTGGTAGCTCTCTAGTAGCTCTGTGGTAGCTCTCTAGTAGCTCTGTGGTAGCTCTCTAGTAGCTCTGTGGTAGCTCTCTAGTAGCTCTCTAGTAGCTCTGTGGTAGCTCTCTAGTAGCTCTGTGGTAGCTCTCTAGTAGCTAGTTGTTGTTTTGTGCTTTATACATTTTTCTTGCTTTTTTCTGCCTGAGACGGTGCTGCAGTTCAGTGTTCATGGTTTTACACTGGTCCAGACCAGAGCAGAGAGGATTCATGGTTTTACACTGGTCCAGACCAGAGCAGAGAGGATTCATGGTTTTACACTGGTCCAGACCAGAGCAGAGAGGATTCATGGTTTTACACTGGTCCAGACCAGAGCAGAGAGGATTCATGGTCTGAACCAGGATCCACTTCTGCTGCTGTGACCTGAAGGACTGGTGCTGATTATTACTATTGTTAGATTTTTAGAATGATCAATTCTATTTTTTGAATTTCTCCGACGGGGAGCAAATAAAGTGTCTATCCATCTATCTAAATTCTGTTTTTTGATGGTAAATTAAAAAAATCTGACATTTGCGTTCAATACAACAGAGTGATGAAGATAATTGCTAGCTACATCCGTGGTCCCTCTGAAGGGTCTGAGAGCGGCTGGGGGTCTGGACTCACCTGCTAGCATGCATGGTGTGTGCATGGACATTGTTAGCTGCATTAACTCTATGAAGTCGCTCCAGTCGTTCTCTTTCTTTCTCCACAAAGTTGGTGTTGGTCCCAGTCGAGGTGCGAGCTCTCACGTGGGCGGTCACGTGGGCGTTCACGTGGGCGTTCACGTGAGCGTTCACGTGGGTGTTCACGTGGGTGCTTATGTGTGTGCGCACTGGAAGGGGTGGTGGGGGCGGAGCTTCCATTTGACTTGATGAGGGCGTGGCTGCAGCGGGGATCTGGAAGCTAACGTTAGCCACGCTGCTGCTGTAAGAGAAGTGGCTCTGGAAGTGAGCTTTAGACCCGGACTCGGTCTTGGCAAGGACTGGGCCTCGAGAGGAGAATTCGAATGTCCTGGAGGAGAACTCTGCCGTCTTAGATGTTATCTCTGTGGTTTTTGGGTTAAGTTCGGAGTTAGAGCTCGACACGGAACAAACCTTGGCGGACACAGAAGGCGTCCGGCAGCCGCCATCTTGGGCCTTCAATTCCACACTGTGCGAGTTTATACAGATCCGGGGTTTAGAACCACAGTCTTGAGCTTTGGGGTTCTTTAAGGAGGATTCAGAGGGTCGAGCTGGGACTGAACAGGTCTTGGTTGATCCAGAACTGGTTTTGCTAAGACCAGAACTGGTTTTGGCTGCTCCAGAGCTGGTTTTATTGGGGTTTTTGGAAAGAACGATGGTGGGAGGCAAAGGTGGAGGAGGAGGAGGTTCAGGACGAGCTGTGGATAAAACAAACGGGGTAAGAGCTGAGTTTATCGCTACACATGGAACAAAGTGGAACAAAGAAATTCAAGATGCCAGGGGAGAGGGGGAGAGGGGGAGAGGGGGAGAGGGGGTGAGGAGAGGTGTAGGATAAAGGACGGATGGAAAAGGGTCTTTGGACTGACCTTTAGCCTGACTCTGCCGTGGGTCTGGACTGGAGGTGGTTTGGCTGTTCCCGGTGATGGTTGGTTCCTGTGACTGACTTCGGTCCTGGTTCCTCAGGTCTTGGTTCTCCTGGCTCAGCCGCTCCAGCTGAACCTCCAACTCTAGGATACGTTTTCTCTGGGACTCCAGAAGTTTCTGCTGTGAGTCGATGATGTGGTTGAGCTCTAGAAGGTACTCTACGGCCCGGTTTGGATTCTCCGGACTCTGAGCACCTGGTCCAGAGCCCGTGCCGTCCATCTTTAGTCGCTTGTGGCTGGGCTACAGCCTACAGTGCTACACTGGGAGCTGGAGAAACATAGGTTCAAACTTTAAACGTAGAAAGTCCTTCAAAAGACCTTGGAATGATCCAGTTCTGGTGTGTACTAGCTTCAAAGTAACAGAAAGTTGTTTCAGTGACTCTACAATCACTGGACTTCTAACATTTAGATTCAGATTCAGTCTGAGTAACAGAGCCATGTGTGTACAACACTTCTGCAGGATGGACATCTGGAGTAAACAGTAACCATGGTAACCAGTCTGTGCAGCCCTGCAAGCGAGGAGGGGATGGACCGTTATGAGGTCAGAAAGAAAAGGGGGCAGGGACGTTTCTGAGGAAAGGCAAAGGAGGCTGATTCGTCAATCAAATAGTTTGTTCAATGAATGAGTCCATGTTTCTGAACATACAGCTGTAGACCCGGGTCTGCAGCAGGACTGGGCCATCCTTAGACTAAAACCAGGCTCACATTAAAGGAGAGTTCAAAAACTGACTTAATCCTGGATGTTAAATCAATCCAAAGGTTCAAACTAGATCTGAAGCTCTGGGATGATCCCGGATCAGGATGGATCCAGGAGTCCACTTTTGATCCTAAAGGCACGGATTGCAATCAGGTGCAACATGTTTCTGGTTCAGATCCAGGACTTAAAGGAGACCTGGAAGTCTCTCACACTTTATGGACTTGAAGATCAGCTGTGAGTTTGGGTTAGGGCAGGTGCACTTCTGGCTCTGTGAACATAAACAGAAATCTCTCATAACAAGATCATATAGATTTTTTAAAAAGTATAAATATATCCAGCTTGACTAAGACTCACAGAAGATATTTATTTGGCCAAAAACTCAACAAACAGTGATGTTGTTGTGTGCACGCAGTGGAGGGGGCAGGAATAACCTTATTATACATACGTATAATAAGGCAGTCCAGGGTAGTCCAGTGCAGTCATAGGGCAGTCCAGGGCAGTCATAGGGCAGTCATAGGGCAGTCCAGGGCAGTCATAGGCGGCACGGTGGCTGAGTGGATAGCACTCTCGCCTCTCAGCAAGAAGGTCCTGGGTTCGAATCCCGGCCGGACCAGGGCCTTTCTGAGTGGAGTTTGCATGTTCTCCCCGTGTCTGCGTAGGTTTCCTCCGGGTACTCCGGTTTCCCCTACCACTAAAAATATGTCCAATAGTTCTGGCATGTGCCTCCTGTACTGGCCCCGCTCCCATCTCTGTGTGGAGTGAGAGACAAATGCCCAAAATTAACAATTGTAAACCGCTTTGAGACTCAGATCTGCAGTGAAAAGGCGGTATATAAATAATAACTTACTTACTTACTTACTTACTTACGTAAGAACATGTGTAAACAGCCGTGCAGTCCAGGGCAGTCCAGGGCAGTCCAGGGCAGTCCAGGGCAGTCCAGGGCAGTCCAGGGCAGTCATAGGGCAGTCCAGGGCAGTCCAGTGCAGTCAGAGGGCAGTCCCAGGCAGTCCAGGGTAGTCCAGTGCAGTCATAGGGCAGTCCAGGGCAGTCATAGGGCAGTCATAGGGCAGTCCAGGGCAGTCATAGGGCAGTCCAGGGCAGTCCAGGGCAGTCATAGGGCAATCCAGGGCAGTCATAGGGCAGTCCAGGGCAGTCCAGGGCAGTCAGAGGGCAGTCCAGGGGAGTCCAGGGGAGTCCAGGGCAGTCAGAGGGCAGTCCAGGGGAGTCCAGGGGAGTCCAGGGCAGTCAGAGGGCAGTCCAGGGCAGTCCAGGGCAGTCCAGGGCAGTCATAGGGCAGTCCAGGGCAGTCAGAGGGCAGTCCAGGGCAGTCCAGGGTAGTCCAGGGCAGTCCAGGGCAGTCAGAGGGCAGTCCAGGGCAGTCCGGAGCAGTCCAGGGCAGTCATAGGGCAGTCCAGGGCAGTCAGAGGGCAGTCCCGGGCGTCCAGGGCAGTCAGAGGGCAGTCCCGGGCAGTCATAGGGCAATCCAGGGCAGTCACAGGGCAGTCCAGGGCAGTCACAGGGCTGTCCAGGGTAGTCCAAAACAACCACAGGGCAGTCACAGGGCAGTCCAGGGCAGTCCGGAGCAGTCCAGGGCAGTCACAGGGCTGTCCAGGGGGGTCACAGAGGAGTCACAGGGCAGTCACAGGGCAGTCACAGGGCAGTCACAGGGCAGTCCAGGGCAGTCCGAAACAACCATAGGGCAGTCACAGGACAGTCACAGGGCAATCCAGGGCAGTCCAGGGCAGTCACAGGGCTGTCCAGGGGAGTCACAGGGCAGTCCAGGGGAGTCACAGGACAATCACAGGGCAGTCCAGGGCAGTCACAGGGCAGTCCAGGGCTGTCCACGGGAGTAACAGGGGCGTCACAGGGCAGTCCAGGGCAGTCCGGAGCAGTCCAGGGCAGTCACAGGGCAGTCCAGGGCTGTCCAGGGGAGTAACAGGGGCGTCACAGGGCAGTCCAGGGCAGTCCGGAGCAGTCCAGGGCAGTCACAGGGCAGTCCAGGGCAGTCCAGGGCAGTCAGGGCAGTCCAGGGCAGTCCAGGGCAGTCCGGAGCAGTCCAGGGCAGTCCAGGGCAGTCCAGGGCAGTCCGGAGCAGTCCAGGGCAGTCACAGGGCAGTCCAGGGCTGTCCAGGGGAGTAACAGGGGAGTCACAGGGCAGTCCAGGGCAGTCCGGAGCAGTCCAGGGCAGTCACAGGGCAGTCCAGGGCTGTCCGGAGCAGTCCAGGGCAGTCCGGAGCAGTCCAGGGCAGTCCAGGGCAGTCCGGAGCAGTCCAGGGCAGTCCAGGGCAGTCCGGAGCAGTCCAGGGCAGTCCAGGGCAGTCCGGAGCAGTCCAGGGCAGTCACAGGGCAGTCAGGGCAGTCCAGGTCCAGGGCAGTCCAGGGCAGTCCGGAGCAGTCCAGGGCAGTCACAGGGCAGTCCAGGGCTGTCCAGGGGAGTAACAGGGCAGTCACAGGGCAGTCCAGGGCAGTCCGGAGCAGTCCAGGGCTGTCACAGAGTAGTCCAGGGCAGTCCAGGGGAGTCACAGGCCAGTCCAGGGCTGTCCCACAGGGGTAGTTACTCCAGAGCTTGTTGCCCACAGCTCAGAGATGCTCGAGGTTCTGCCTAAAAACGCTCCGTGGCCACAGTGTAGTCCGGTCGTGTTAAAATTCCCTCCACCTCTCGCTCTCTCGCAGACAGAAGTGGGACTCATGGGAATAATCGCTTTCATTTTCATTTCAAATCCTCTCTCTGATGCTCACACAAACTGCAGCAGGCCACAATCAATGTGATCCAGGCATTAAATAAGGCTAGACCTGGGCTAGACCTGGACTAGACCTGGACAAGATCTTGCTGGGCCTGATTCAAACCATTTTCAGTCCATCAGAAGACCTGGTGTAGTTATTCTTGTCATTGATTATAGTAACAAGTTCAGGCATATGAATAAATATATATATATACTCTGTGTTGGTTCTGATCTGGCTCGGTCCTGATTTAGACAGTTCTCCTCCAATCCGGTCTCTTACCTGAGTGTCTCTCGGTAAACTGCAGCATGTTGTCGGTTGTGGCCCATTTTCAGCCTTAGGCCTCACATCAATCAGAACTGGGCCTGGATCGGCTCAGAACATATTCTGATTCTGGTCCAGGTCCGGTTAGATCCCAGAATGCAGTAGATTCCACTGAATAGACTCCACTGCATTGTACTGTGTGTGTAGAAGAAGCTGACGTTAGATGTAGCCCGGGTTTAGTCCTGGTTCAGTCCTGGTTTAGTCCTGGTTTGTGCTGACAGAGATTTAGGCTTGGCTTTAGTTCTTGTGCAATCCTGGCTCAATTCTAATTTAGTCCTGGTTTATCCTCAGATGCCGTCGGTCTGGAGTAACGTCAGAATTTGATGGATCTCAGCCTGAATATTCCTGCAGTTGCCCCCCGTCGTCTCCTTCACAGTCGTCTTGTGTTTTCTCGTTCATCAATTTGAGCGTCCGGACGTGTTTCTCTGTCAAAGGCCTCCTAATTGGTTTCCGTGTTGCAGCAGCCGATGATGCCTCCTCACTGCTGCTCCCTTCTCTCCTCGCTCATCTCCTCGTTTCCTTTCCTCTGCGGTGCTTCCTCTCCTGGCTCTGCAGCTCAGTCACATGATCAGGGCTGGAGACACAAGCCGCAGCAGCAGAGTGGGGGTAAAAACCATGCATACGGGGGTCCGGCTCAAAAAGACCCTAAAGGGGAAAGAGGCAAAAGGAGACAGACAGAAATGAGGTGGTCTTATACAAATACAAATACTAAAAGACAAGCAGCAAGGGAAGACCAGCTATAAATACAGTGATGACAAGGGCTGCTGCTGGATATAGCTCGGCTCAGACTCCCTCTAGTGGACGCAGACTGAAGTGCATGAGGCAAAAAATAGAACTGAAACTCAAAATGGCTCCAAAAACTCCACCAAAACGTGCCCAACAGTGTCGCTCCTGCCACGGACATGATGGAAGCGTTGGATTTTTCATTCTTAAAATCAGCAGTTGCAGTAGCCTGAATAAATAATCAAACATAATAGTAATACAAATACACACATTTAGTATTATAGGCCTATGTCAGAAAAAGAAAATAGACAATCATGATAATAATTCATAAGTAGACTTCTTGCAATAGCCAAATACACATTTAAATCAGTATTTAAGATGGAGAGCCTTCATAAACGTGATAATATGAAGCTCCATTGCAATGCTCGCCTATACCGCAATTGTACATTTATTGTCATTATTGTAATTTGAAAATGAGTTCTTTTACAGTACATGTTTATCCATTCTGTGCGTGGTGAGCGTAATCAAACAGGAGATTCAAGGCGTAATAATCTATATATATTATTATTGTGTTTCTTGATAGTTTCTGGGCCACGTGTGCACTCACCTCGTTTAGAGTCAGCTCACTCACATCAGACCCTCAGGCGCTGTGTTTTTGCATAAATGGCAAAAATTAATAATTGAAACGATGAGTTAATGGTCTTATTCTCGTTGGGTCCGTTGGTATTTACACTGTCAGTACCATGGACGCATCTATGGTTCGTACTATGGATGGATCTATGGTCTGTACACACGGGCGACATGTGTGTGATGTGTGTGACCAACCACTAGAGGGCAGTTGTGTGAAAGCATAGCGGCCATATTGTGACTATAGACTCTAATTATTAAAGGAGGATTTTCCCACATTTTAGGAAAGAACCGCCCTCCCCACTTTCTGAAACCTTTCTGGTCTGATTGGACGAGCACGTATCACCAGAATGATTGACAGTTGGGGGGACCAATAGTCTTGATGATCCACCCGGAAGTAGAAAATCCTCCTATACACCTTTAAGTATTAACAATGGAGTATCAACCCAGAAACATGTATGTAATCAAATCAAATCAGCCCCTGCCGCTTAGTGTGTGTGAATGGTTGGTGGTGGTCGGAGGGGCCGATGGCACAGACTGGTTGCCTCACTTCTGGCAGTGTGCCCCAGGGCAGCTGTGGCTTCAGTAGTAGTTCATCACCACAGTGTTTGGAGTGAATGAATAATGACTTAGGAACAGTGTTGGGGAGTAACAGAATACACGTATCGCCATAACATATTCAGAATACTTTTTTAGAGTAACTGTATTCCACTACAGTTACTACTTTAATGTCTAGTGATTAGATTTAGTTGGTGCACACAGAGTACCCTTTTTGAAAAAGTATTCCAATGTGGTTTTTATACAACAAATGATATACACGTTACGAAATAATTACACGTTTTAATTATTTGAATATTTATTAGGTTTTGTAAATGAACTTGAATTTACAATAAATATAGTTAATTCTAAAATAATAATTAGTATAAGTATTAAAAAAAGTATTCAAAGTATTCAGAACACAGGTACTACTTTTTCCAACGTAACAGAATACTGCAGACAGAGGGCGCTGTACCCACAAATAACAGCAGAGGGCGCTGTACCCGCAGGTAACAGCAGAGGGCGCTGTACCCGCAGGTGACAGCAGAGGGCGCTGTACCAGCAGGTAACAGCAGAGGGCGCTGTACCCGCAGGTAACAGCAGAGGGCGCTGTACCCGCAGGTGACAGCAGAGGGCGCTGTACCCGCAGGTGACAGCAGAGGGCGCTGTACCCGCAGGTGACAGCAGAGGGCGCTGTACCCGCAGGTGACAGCAGAGGGCGCTGTACCCGCAGGTGACAGCAGAGGGCGCTGTACCCGCAGGTGACAGCAGAGGGCGCTGTACCCGCAGGTGACAGCAGAGGGCGCTGTACCCGCAGGTGACAGCAGAGGGCGCTGTACCCAGGTGACAGCAGAGGGCGCTGTACCTGCAGGTGACAGCAGAGGGCGCTGTACCCGCAGGTGACAGCAGAGGGCGCTGTACCCGCAGGTGACAGCAGAGGGCGCTGTACCCGCAGGTGACAGCAGAGGGCGCTGTACCCGCAGGTGACAGCAGAGGGCGCTGTACCCGCAGGTGACAGCAGAGGGCGCTGTACCCGCAGGTGACAGCAGAGGGCGCTGTACCCGCAGGTGACAGCAGAGGGGCGCTGTACCCGCAGGTGACAGCAGAGGGCGCTGTACCCGCAGGTGACAGCAGAGGGCGCTGTACCTGCAGGTGACAGCAGAGGGCGCTGTACCTGCAGGTGACAGCAGAGGGCGTGGTCTCCTCTAAACCTTAACCTGCTCCTGCTTCAGTCCAGTCTTCCGCTGCAACTTGAGGCTTTTAACAAATGAATCTCACTCAGACTGTTCCAGAAGTGCATCAGGGAAGCCACTAACTACTCCAACTACTCCAGTTGTTCTTCCTGTCGCAGAACAAAGATTGTGTGAGTTTGGAGAGAGCAGCCTCTGACTAAAGACCGAGTTGAGGAAGTTGGGCGTAAAGTTCAGGTAAGTTCTTGTTAAGATCCATTTAGTCCAGGTTTAGTCCAGGTTTAGTCCAGGTTTAGTCCAGGTTTAGTCCAGTCTTCGTGGACTGGCCGAACAGGCCGATCTGAGCCATGTGTCTGTAAACTCTGACTCTGTAACTACATTCTCTGCTCGCACTGAGACAAAGAAACTGTTTCCAAGTTAAAGATTGACAAGAAATAAAACGAACCACCCAGTTTAGAACCAGGCAGCAGGGGCCCAGCAGGACACTAGGTTTACTGATGACATCCTGTAATATACGCTTTGAGATATTATTTATATTTCATTGAATTTTACTCTTCACTGCAGATATATTCTCTTGCAAAATGTTTATACGTCTTTATTATTATTATGTTCAAGATAGAGATTGTCTGTATGTTTGTGATGCTAGAGCAGGGTTCTCCAACCTTTTAGTAGTCGTAATAAGCTTCTAACTTTGACAAAACACTGAGTACACAGATGTAAAGTATACCATGATACTGTATAACCTTATATTTATACTTAAATTAGACATGTAAGGGCTCAGAATATCATCATTCAGGATCATGTGTTAAGACTGGGGAGCTACAGGTTGGAGACCCCTGTGTTTTTGTTTTTATTTTTGTTATTATAGAGTTATTGTTCATGTATCTTGTGCTGTGTGCTCCTCTTTCCTACTGTTCTGTAACTTGTGATGCAACACTGGAATTTCCCCACTGTGGGATCAATAAGGGATCTCCTAATCCTAATCTTAATCTCAGTGTTTGGGAGATTACTTTACAAATGTATTAAATGAGATTTAAAAAAAAAACAATATAAGGTTTCTGCTTCCTGTGGCTCAGAGACTTTAAAACAGTCTCTTCATGGTCCACACCAGAGAACTCTGAGGAGCACAGGGACTGGCCTCCTGCTGGGACTCTGAGGAGCACAGGGACTGGCCTCCTGCTGGGACTCTGAGGAGCACAGGGACTGGCCTCCTGCTGGGACTCTGAGGAGCACAGGGACTGGTTTCCTGCTGAGACTCTGAGGAGCACAGGGACTGGTCTCCTGCTGTGTGACTCTGAGGAGCACAGGGACTGGTCTCCTGCTGTGTGACTCTGAGGAGCACAGGGACTGGTCTCCTGCTGTGTGACTCTGAGGAGCACAGGGACTGGTCTCCTGCTGTGTGACTCTGAGGAGCACAGGGACTGGCCTCCTGCTGTGTGACTCTGAGGAGCACAGGGACTGGTCTCCTGCTGGGACTCTGAGGAGCACAGGGACTGGTCTCCTGCTTTGTGACTCTGAGGAGCACAGGGACTGGTCTCCTGCTGTGTGACTCTGAGGAGCACAGGGACTGGCCTCCTGCTGTGTGACTCTGAGGAGCACAGGGACTGGTCTCCTGCTGGGACTCTGAGGAGCACAGGGACTGGTCTCCTGCTGTGTGACTCTGAGGAGCACAGGGACTGGTCTCCTGCTGTGTGACTCTGAGGAGCACAGGGACTGGCCTCCTGCTGGTCCCAGAGTCAGGATTCAGATTCAAGCAGCTAGAATCTTATTTTATTTATTTATGTGACAGTGACATTCTACACTATTCACTTTTTCAATATTATTTTCAAAACTTAACAATAAAACTGGGACAATCTTCCTGAAAATGTGAGACAGGCTTCCTCTCTGACAATGTTTAAGCCAGGTTAAAAACTGTTTCGCTGCAATTGTACGTTTTTAACATACTGTGATTATTTATGATTTTAATACTGTCTAGTTTCGTTCAGCCGTTTGAGTTGCCTTCTGTATGAAGTGTGCTATACAAATAAACTTAACATAATAATAGTAATAATTCACCCATTCATTCACTATGAAAAACTACTACTGTAGCCACAGCTGCCCTGGGGCACACTGACAAAAGCGAGGTGTGCCATCGGCCCCTCCCACCACCACCTGTCATCATTAAAGGGCCCTTGTCTGTCCAAAGACATTAATAAACTGCTCTTTTTCAATCCTTCTTTAACTAATAACAGTAGTTCAGAGATATTTTAATTTCTGATTTAGTTTTACGGTGGTGACGTGACGGCAATTGCGCAACGCGTTGGTCACCGCAAGGCCCTTATGTTGCCTGCCGCGCACCCTCGAAAATGTCTATGTAAGGGTCGCCGCAGAGAAACGCCGCTGTGATTGGTCCGTGTGTGATTACTTTCTGGGAAGCACGGAGCGGCTGCAGGGAACATGGACGACGCACTATGGAGCAGAGAGCTTTGTGCTTCCAAGGAACCAAAGGAAAAGCAGTTTGGGCTCATGGCAGAGCCGGAGACTGTGGACTAGAGTTCTGTTGCATATCTAACTTTTATATAACTTATATCTAACATATATATAACTTATAAACCGTGCAGTCGTTTCTTTTGCTCTGTTCCTGTCTTTGTTTGAATCGTAGCTGCGTCTGTTCCATTCCTCCTGGATTCGTCTGTATATCTGGCAACCTGAGTCAGGGAGAGTGGGAGAGGCTGCAGTACCACCTTTGGCCACACTTGTACAAATTTCGCCTTTTAATGAATCTGAAATGCTGCCCCCCCATTGGTAGTCCTTACTCTGGGACCAGCAGGAGGCCCCAGAATGTTCTGGTCTAACCGACACCTGCCTCAGAGTAAAAAGTACCGACGCACGTGGGACTTATTCCTTACTTTCTTAAACCGTTCTTTCACGGTCAAATCCCTGATCTCTGATTGGCTGTGGGGAATGGTTCTCTGCTTTTAATTTCTGTCTGAAAACAATCTCCTTGTTCTTCCTAAAGTAAAATAAATAAAATCAGTGCACACCCTGAATTAAATATTTGCTTTCAACAGAATGCTCTTCAAAAAATCTTTACATAAACCCGGTCCCAGTGAAGGCAACTCCACAAAAGAGCAAACGTGAAACCAGATCGCTGTAAGCAGTGAATCCAGATAAACTAGTTTGAGACTTGCTCAGTCCTGCCTCAGATCTGAACCGTCTCCAGACCGTACCCCATGAGTCCTGTTTGGAGAACTTTGTGCAGCCTCCCGTTGCCAAACTGAAAACAATATAAACTCTCTATGTTTGGACCATCACCCAGATTATGTAAATGTATTAAAAATCCTAATCCAGATTACAGAAAGGTGTGAAACGTTCTCTCCTCTGTCGGTGCAGCTCGACTGAAATGAATATTATTGATATTATATTTTTTGTTTGTGTTCCAGAAAAAATGTTCCATCCAGCCAGCGCAGTACCTACCTTCCTCCTGATGGTGGTGCTGTCCTTCTCCAGCCTGGACTCCTTCAAAATCTGCTCCTACAACATCCCACAGTTCAGCAAAACCAAATCCAGTGACTACAGGGTCATCCACACCCTGACCCGGGTTTGTATTTGCACCTCTGCGTTTGGATTCGGGTTTTCCACCAGTGTCAGAAGTCAAATTAAAGCTGAGGGACCTGACTTTGAAAAGAAAATGATTTGTTCCTTTCTCTCAAAACAGTTTTGGTTCAATTATGATAAATGGCCACATCTGAAGATCTGCTTTTACACAGATTGTAAACTTATGAGTTGAGAAAAAAATTAGAAGAGGCTAAAAGAGTGGAAACTATATTTATTGAGTGTTACACAATCAACATGTGGGACGGACATTACAAACAGCCTCGGCTCTAAATGTTGTACATGATAGTATGATAACATGATAGTATGGGCTATAAAATTAAATAATATATGAAAATAGTAAAATACTGTTTAAAAATGATTTGTCAATAGAACAAGGAAATAAAACTTAAGATTTCTTAAAAATAATGAAATAAAACTAGCCCCAAACGACATCATTCTAGTTTAAAAACATACATTTAAAGTATTATTTACCTATTTCATAAACATTATTGACGTTTTCTTAAAAAATAGCATCACAAACTTATTTTATCTAAACAAGAAAAGTCTGGAAATAAGACGCTTCAAAAAACTCTTTTTTTTTTTTTTTCTCCAATAATATTCTGAAGTATCTTTAATCTTATGACAAACTACATTCAAGCAACAAAAACTTGTACGGCTGTCAAAAGTATCACGTTAACTCACGTTAATTACATTTTTCATTAACGCGAAAAAAATTAAAATAACTCTTTTACGCAAGAACGACCCGCCCAGTTATCCACGATATCAGTCAGAGCCGTGGACACATGTGTGCGAGACGGTGACAGAGCAGGTCTCTGGGAACTCAAGTTTTAAAAGAATACGTGCGTGACCGCGGGGCTACAGTCTATGAACTAAAGTCCGCCTCCCGGGCACGCCCCGGGGCAGCTGCGGCCGCTCTGGTTGTTGTTAGCAGCCGTGAGTAACGTGGTCATATAAGACCGTACACGCCACAGAACTATTCTCTGCATGTTGTGTGTGTGTAACCTGTGCATAACCTGTGTGTAACCTGTGCATAACCTGTGTGTAACCTGTGCGTAACCTGTGTGTAACCTGTGTGTAACCTGTGCTTAACTTGTGTGTATCCTGTGCTTAACTTGTGTGTAACCTGTGTGTAACCTGTGTGTAACCTGTGCTTAACCTGTGTGTAACCTGTGAGTATCTTGTGCGTATCTTGTGCGTATCCTGTGCGTAACCTGTGCGTAACCTGTGCGTATCCTGTGCGTAAACCTGTGTGTAACCTGTGCGTAAACCTGTGTGTAACCTGTGCTTATCCTGTGCAAAACCTGTGCGTATCCTGTGCGTATCTTGTGCGTAACCTGTGAGTATCCTGTGCGTATCCTGTGCAAAACCTGTGAGTATCCTGTGCGTAACCTGTGAGTATCCTGTGTGTAAACTTGTGTGTAAACCTGTGAGTATCCTGTGTGTAAACTTGTGTGTAAACCTGTGAGTATCCTGTGCGTAACCTGTGAGTATCCTGTGCGTATCCTGTGCGTATCTTGTGCGTAACCTGTGAGTATCCTGTGCGTAACCTGTGCGTATCTTGTGCGTAACCTGTGAGTATCCTGTGCGTAACCTGTGAGTATCCTGTGCGTAACCTGTGAATATTCTGTGCGTAACCTGTGAGTATCCTGTGTGTAAACCTGTGTGTAACCTGTGAGTATCCTGTGCGTAACCTGTGAGTATCCTGTGCGTAACCTGTGAGTATCCTGTGCGTAACCTGTGAGTATCTTGTGCGTAACCTGTGAGTATCCTGTGCGTAACCTGTGAGTATCCTGTGCGTAACCTGTGAGTATCCTGTGTGTAAACCTGTGTGTAACCTGTGAGTATCTTGTGCGTATCCTGTGCGTAACCTGTGCATAACCTGTGCGTATCCTGTGCGTAAACCTGTGTGTAACCTGTGCGTAAACCTGTGTGTAACCTGTGCTTATCCTGTGCAAAACCTGTGCGTATCCTGTGCGTATCCTGTGCGTATCTTGTGCGTAACCTGTGAGTATCCTGTGCGTATCCTGTGCAAAACCTGTGAGTATCCTGTGCGTAACCTGTGAGTATCCTGTGTGTAAACCTGTGTAAACCTGTGAGTATCCTGTGCGTAACCTGTGAGTATCCTGTGCGTATCCTGTGCGTAAACTGTGAGTATCCTGTGCGTAACCTGTGCGTATCTTGTGCGAAACCTGTGAGTATCCTGTGCGTAACCTGTGAATATTCTGTGCGTAACCTGTGAGTATCCTGTGTGTAACCCTGTGTGTAACCTGTGAGTATCCTGTGCGTAACCTGTGAGTATCCTGTGAGTATCTTGTGCGTAACCTGTGAGTATCCTGTGCGTAACCTGTGAGTATCCTGTGTGTAACCTGTGAGTATCCTGTGTGTAAACCTGTGTGTAACCTGTGAGTATCCTGTGCGTAACCTGTGAGTATCCTGTGCGTAACCTGTGAGTATCCTGTGCGTAACCTGTGAGTATCCTGTGCGTAACCTGTGAGTATCCTGTGTGTAAACCTGTGAGTATCCTGTGTGTATCCTGTGCGTAAACCTGTGAGTATCCTGTGCGTAAACCTGTGAGTATCCTGTGTGTAAACCTGTGAGTATCCTGTGTGTAAACCTGTGAGTATCCTGTGTGTATCCTGTGCGTAAACCTGTGAGTATCCTGTGCGTAACCTGTGAGTATCCTGTGCGTATCCTGTGCGTAAACCTGTGTGTATCCTGTGCGTAAACCTGTGTGTATCCTGTGCGTAAACCTGTGAGTATCCTGCGCGTAACCTGTGAGTATCCTGTGAGTATCCTGTGCGTAACCTGTGAGTATCCTGTGCGTAACCTGTGAGTATCCTGTGCGTAACCTGTGAGTATCCTGTGTGTAAACCTGTGTGTAACCTGTGAGTATCCTGTGCGTAACCTGTGAGTATCCTGTGCGTAACCTGTGAGTAAACCTGTGTGTATCCTGTGCGTAAACCTGTGTGTATCCTGTGCGTAAACCTGTGTGTATCCTGTGCGTAAACCTGTGCGTAAACCTGTGAGTATCCTGTGCGTAAACCTGTGAGTATCCTGTGTGTAAACCTGTGAGTATCCTGTGTGTAAACCTGTGAGTATCCTGTGAGTATCCTGTGCGTAACCTGTGAGTATCCTGTGCGTATCCTGTGCGTAAACCTGTGTGTATCCTGTGCGTAAACCTGTGTGTATCCTGTGCGTAAACCTGTGAGTATCCTGCGCGTAACCTGTGAGTATCCTGTGCGTAACCTGTGAGTATCCTGTGCGTAACCTGTGAGTATCCTGTGCGTAACCTGTGAGTATCCTGTGTGTAAACCTGTGTGTAACCTGTGAGTATCCTGTGCGTAACCTGTGAGTATCCTGTGCGTAACCTGTGAGTAAACCTGTGAGTATCCTGTGCGTAACCTGTGTGTATCCTGTGCGTAAACCTGTGTGTATCCTGTGAGTAAACCTGTGTGTATCCTGTGCGTAAACCTGTGAGTATCCTGCGCGTAACCTGTGAGTATCCTGTGAGTATCCTGTGCGTAACCTGTGAGTATCCTGTGCGTAACCTGTGAGTATCCTGTGTGTAAACCTGTGTGTAACCTGTGAGTATCCTGTGCGTAACCTGTGAGTATCCTGTGCGTAACCTGTGAGTAAACCTGTGTGTATCCTGTGCGTAAACCTGTGTGTATCCTGTGCGTAAACCTGTGTGTATCCTGTGCGTAAACCTGTGTGTATCCTGTGCGTAAACCTGTGAGTATCCTGCGCGTAAACCTGTGTATAAACCTGTGTGTAACCTGTGAGTATCCTGTGCGTAAACCTGTGTATAAACCTGTGTGTATCCTGTGCGTAAACCTGTGTGTATCCTGTGCGTAAACCTGTGAGTATCCTGCGCGTAAACCTGTGTATAAACCTGTGTGTAACCTGTGAGTATCCTGCGCGTAAACCTGTGTATAAACCTGTGTGTAACCTGTGAGTATCCTGTGCGTAAACCTGTGTATAAACCTGTGCGTAACCTGTGAGTATCCTGTGCGTAAACCTGTGAGTATCCTGTGTGTATCCTGTGCGTAACCTGTGTGTAAACCTGTGTGTAACCTGTGAGTATCCTGTGCGTAACCTGTGAGTATCCTGTGTGTATCCTGTGCGTAACCTGTGCGTAACCTGTGTGTATCCTGTGCGTAACCTGTGCGTAACCTGTGAGTAAACCTGTGTGTAACCTGTGTGTAACCTGTGTGTAACCTGTGAGTATCCTGTGCGTAAACCTGTGTGTAAACCTGTGCGTAACCTGTGTGTATCCTGTGCGTAAACCTGTGTGTGTATCCTGTGCGTAAACCTGTGAGTATCCTGTGCGTAAACCTGTGTGTAAACCTGTGTGTAACCTGTGAGTAAACCTGTGTGTAACCTGTGTGTAACCTGTGAGTATCCTGTGAGTATCCTGTGCGTAACCTGTGAGTATCCTGTGCGTAAACCTGTGTGTAAACCTGTGTGTAACCTGTGAGTATCCTGTGCGTAACCTGTGTGTAACCTGTGAGTATCCTGTGAGTATCCTGTGCGTAACCTGTGAGTAAACCTGTGTGTAACCTGTGTGTAACCTGTGAGTATCCTGTGAGTATCCTGTGCGTAACCTGTGAGTAAACCTGTGAGTAAACCTGTGTGTAACCTGTGTGTAACCTGTGTGTAACCTGTGAGTATCCTGTGAGTATCCTGTGCGTAACCTGTGAGTATCCTGTGCGTAAACCTGTGTGTAAACCTGTGTGTAACCTGTGAGTATCCTGTGCGTAACCTGTGAGTATCCTGTGCGTAAACCTGTGTGTAAACCTGTGTGTAACCTGTGAGTATCCTGTGCGTAACCTGTGAGTATCCTGTGCGTAAACCTGTGTGTAAACCTGTGTGTAACCTGTGAGTATCCTGTGCGTAAACCTGTGTGTAACCTGTGCGTAAACGTGTGAGTATCCTGTGCGTAAACCTGTGTGTAACCTGTGTGTAAACCTGTGTGTATCCTGTGTGTAAACCTGTGTGTATCCTGTGTGTAAACCTGTGTGTATCCTGTGCGTAAACCTGTGCACGCAAATACACCGTGGGAATGTCAGTGTCTCCTCCTGAAACTAAACTAAACTCGCTAAATTAAAGCTGGGGTACGTACATTTTCCCCTTTCATTAACGGCTCATGTTGGTTGTGCCCAAAGTAAGAGGTTGTGAGAAAATCAAACAGATTTCAAACATTTGGTCTGAATAACATGTGTTGTTACATTTGATAATCTTCTTTAATTGGGGTGGATTTGAAATAGAATGTTAAAAATGTGATTAATTGTGAGTTAACTGCGATTAATCAACAACAACAAATAGTGTGACAGCCCTAAAAATTAACCATAAAAAAATAATAAATTATTTAGTGAATAAATCTGACCAAGATGTTACTTTTTTCACTGCTAAATAGACAAAATAAACGATAAATGATGATTAATAAATGATAAATGATTTACAATTATACATTATTTTTTGTTTTATTAACAAAAATCCAGCTACTAATATTTACTAACTACAAAAAGAGCACATTTGACATGATCTAAATCCGTTTTTAGAGCGATTTTGATCCGTGGACTAATAAAGAAAAAGCTTATTGCCCAAATAGAGCAGTTTGAAAATGTGAAAATGAAGTCAGTCGATGAATTATTAATTAAATCAAAGTTAAAATGTGCTTTGTTTTGTTCATATGAGTTTCCTCTGTGCCCAGGTGTTGTCTCGCTGTGACATCTCGCTGCTGATGGACGTTCAAGATCCTGCCGCAGTCACGACTCTGCTGTCAGCGCTCAACAGGTACACGCACAGGTACTAACCAATCAGAATACAAGCCCCGCCCACTCAGACAGATACTAACTTATCAAGAGTCCACGTGAGTATGGGGTTCAGGTCTGGAAAGGGTTTGGCTGCATACAAATTCATCACAAATTCTCTGGCCTCTCTCTAGGCTCTCTCTGGTCTCTCGCTGGTCTCTCTCTAATCTCTCTCTGGTCTCTCTCTCTGGTCTCTCTCTGGTCTCTCTCTGGTCTCTCTCTAGTCTCTCTCTAGTCTCTCTCTGGTCTCTCTCTGGTCTCTCTCTGGTCTCTCTCTGGTCTCTCTCTCTGGTCTCTCTCTGGTCTCTCTCTCTGGTCTCTCTCTCTGGTCTCTCTCTCTGGTCTCTCTCTCTGGTCTCTCTCTGGCCTCTCTCTGGTCTCTCTCTAGTCTCTCTCTGGTCTCTCTCTGGTCTCTCTCTGGTCTCTCTCTGGTCTCTCTCTGGTCTCTCTCTGGTCTCTCTCTGGTCTCTCTCTCTGGTCTCTCTCTCTGGCCTCTCTGGTCTCTCTCTAGTCTCTCTCTGGTCTCTCTCTGGTCTCTCTCTGGTCTCTCTCTGGCCTCTCTCTGGCCTCTCTCTGGTCTCTCTCTGGTCTCTCTCTGGTCTCTCTCTGGTCTTCTCTAGTCTCTCTCTGGTCTCTTGCTTTGGTCTTTCTCTGGCCTCTCTCTGGTCTCTCTAGGCTCTCTCTGGTCTCTTTCTAGGCTCTCTCTGGTCTCTCGCTGGTCTCTCTCTCTGGCCTCTCTCTGGTCTCTCTCTCTGTTCTCTCTCTGGCCTCTCTCTGGCCTCTCTCTGGTCTCTCTCTCTGGTCTCTCTCTGGACTCTCTCTCTGGCCTCTCTCTAGCCTCTCTCTGGACTCTCTCTCTGGCCTCTCTCTAGCCTCTCTCTGGTCTCTCTCTCTAGCCTCTCTCTGGTCTCTCTCTCTGGTCTTTCTCTGGCCTCTCTCTCTCTGTTCTTTCTCTGGCCTCTCTCTGGTCTCTCTCTGGTCTTTCTCTGGCCTCTCTCTCTGGTCTCTCTAGGCCATAGGTGTCAAAGTCAAGGCCCGGGGGCCAGATCCGGCCCGCGAGACCATTTCCGGTGGCCCTTGAGATGATTTTTAGAGGATTTTAAATTATTATATTAAATAGCAGCATTAATGGAAATAGGCGACAACGTCATGTCATCCATTACTGACTTTCTCAAGAGAAAACTTTCTCAACCAAAATAAGTTTGACACCCCTGCTCTAGGCTCTCTCTGGTCTCTTTCTAGGCTCCCGCTGGTCTCTCTCTGGTCTCTCTCGCTGGTCTTTCTCTGGTCTCTCTCTGGTCTCTCTCTAGTCTCTCTCTGATCTCTCTCTGGTCTCGCTCTAGTCTCTCCCTCTGGTCTACTCTGGTCTCTCTCTCCGTCCTCTCTCTGCTCGCTCTCCTTTCTTTGTCTGTGATGTGAGACCTCTGAGAACACCAGGTGCCACCGTGAGGCATCTGCGACTGTAAAGTGCCAAACTGTTGTGTCCTTAAGCAAGACACTTCCCACAAACACATTTCTAACAACTCAGAAATTGAAATCTAAAAATCAAGGAAAGAATATTCAACTCTATGGGACTTTTTGGTCTCAGGGTCTTTTTGATGAGTTTGTATGCAGACTTGGGAACAGTAAGTGAGGAAAAAGCAAAAGGCTAAATAGTGAAAGTCCCTGGGATGGCAGCTCAGTACGTTTCCTCCGGAGCACCTGGAGGAAACCTACAGTCACTGGGATGGGAGCTGTTTGGACTCTGTGTAAGGGCTGTGGTGCTGGAGTGGCAGCTGGTAATGTCCTGAATGTTCTCTCTGTTTTCTTTCACAGAGAAGGCAGCAGGTTTGTATTTGGTTTTTTTCTTCTGGACCAAAAGTAAAGACTGTTTCATCATAAAAATCATCAGTTTTCGGGGAATGTAAAAACTGCAATTTGACAGATCTTATGGAAATGAAATCTTGACACAGGTCGCACCCAGCCCTGTGTTTGCAGATCAATCACTCTGAAGGAAAACTAAACACCAAGTCAACTTTTCTAACTCATAAACTGCATAAATATGTTTCTTATCCTGCAAATTAGTTAAAATCTCCCGTTTGAGGCTAAAAAAGTCTGTGTGGCGCCCTCTCAACCTTTTTGGTGGTACTACATTTAAATTCTGTCTTGGCCTTTCATTTGCTCTGGAGTGACGTCAGTTGGTGTGTGTCAGGTCAGTTGGTGTGTGTCACGTCAGTTGGTGTGTGTGACGTCAGTTGGTGTGTGTCACGTCAGTTGGTGTGTGTCACGTCAGTTGGTGTGTGTCAGGTCAGTTGGTGTGTGTGACGTCAGTTGGTGTGTGTCACGTCAGTTGGTGTGTGACGTCAGTTGGTGTGTGTGACGTCAGTTGGTGTGTGTGACGTCAGTTGGTGTGTGTCAGGTCAGTTGGTGTGTGTCAGGTCAGTTGGTGTGTGTGACGTCAGTTGGTGTGTGTCACGTCAGTTGGTGTGTGTGACGTCAGTTGGTGTGTGTGACGTCAGTTGGTGTGTGTGACGTCAGTTGGTGTGTGTGACGTCAGTTGGTGTGTGTCAGGTCAGTTGGTGTGTGTCAGGTCAGTTGGTGTGTGTCACGTCAGTTGGTGTGTGTCACGTCAGTTGGTGTGTGTGTCACGTCAGTTGGTGTGTGTGACGTCAGTTGGTGTGTGTGACGTCAGTTGGTGTGTGTGACGTCAGTTGGTGTGTGTTAGGTCAGTTGGTGTGTGTCACGTCAGTTGGTGTGTGTGACGTCAGTTGGTGTGTGTCACGTCAGTTGGTGTGTGTCACGTCAGTTGGTGTGTGTCACGTCAGTTGGTGTGTGTCAGGTCAGTTGGTGTGTGTGACGTCAGTTGGTGTGTGTCACGTCAGTTGGTGTGTGTGACGTCAGTTGGTGTGTGTGACGTCAGTTGGTGTGTGTGACGTCAGTTGGTGTGTGTCAGGTCAGTTGGTGTGTGTCAGGTCAGTTGGTGTGTGTCACGTCAGTTGGTGTGTGTCACGTCAGTTGGTGTGTGTGTCACGTCAGTTGGTGTGTGTGTCACGTCAGTTGGTGTGTGTGACGTCAGTTGGTGTGTGTCACGTCAGTTGGTGTGTGTCACGTCAGTTGGTGTGTGTCACGTCAGTTGGTGTGTGTGACGTCAGTTGGTGTGTGTGGCGTCAGTTGGTGTGTGTGGCGTCAGTCGTGTGTGTGACGTCAGTCGTGTGTGTGACGTCAGTCGGCGTGTGTGACGTCAGTTGGTGTGTGTGACGTCAGTTGGTGTGTGTGACGTCAGTTGGTGTGTGTGACGTCAGTTGGTGTGTGTGACGTCAGTTGGTGTGTGTGACGTCAGTTGGTGTGTGTGACGTCAGTTGGTGTGTGTGACGTCAGTTGGTGTGTGTGTGTGACGTCAGTTGGTTTGTGTGTGACGTCAGTTGGTTTGTGTGTGATGTCAGTTGGTTTGTGTTTGACGTCAGTTGGTTTGTGTGTGACGTCAGTCGGTGTGTGTGACGTCAGTCGGTGTGTGTGACGTCAGTCGGTGTGTGTGACGTCGTGTGTGACGTCAGTCGGTGTGTGTGACGTGCGTCTGTCTGTGCCTGCGATATAAACCCATTCAACTTTCACACACGCCCCAGCAGCAGGTTGGAGTATTCTGCTGACATCTAGTGGTTTAAAATGTAATTACATCAGTTGAGAGCCACTTCTGCTGAGATCATTCTGTGGCTTAGGTTCAGATCGAGCAGCAATTATCATAGTTTGTAAACGAGGGAATGAGAAGGTGTAAGGTGTGAGCTGTCAATCACAACCCAGACCACGCCCACTCTAAGCCCCCCTTGTCCCCTGGTTCGCCAAGAATTTCCAAATGTTCATGTGGGCGGAGACAGGCTGGACACTGGTGTTTAGTTTTCCTTTAATATTGTCCTTCTAGTAATCAGATTTTACCACACTGACAGTCAATGATTAATCTCCGTCTTCACTGTCATTATTCTAAAATTTAAACGGAAATCTAGCTTTTATGAGATTTCATCAATCCAAAGTTCATGTTTTGATCTTTGAAAACTGGACTGCAGACTTCAGCTCATGCTTCAACTAATGATCAGACTAATGCAGGAGTGTCAAACATTTCGAGGTTCATTTTCTGACATTAGGTTGGGTTGTTTTGGGTTGTTTTCTTGATTAGCTTTTAATGATGTATAACATGCCATGCAATTGCGTGCAGGTTGATTTCTGGGGCCACTCCTGCTTAATGTTTGACACTCCTGCACTGATGCTTGCTACTTACTGTATAATCTGTTGGTTTGGAGCTGACTAAACTTGGTTGGTGGCTTTTCTGAACTGATTTTAAACCTTTAAAATATAATTGTTGTTACATGACAGTAGATGGACCACTGTTGGACCACAGCTGGACCACTGTTTGACCACGGATGGACCACGGATGGACCACTGTTGGACCACTGTTGGACCACTGTTGGACCACTGTTGGACCACTGTTGGACCACTGTTGGACCACTGTTGGACCACTGTTGGACCACTGTTGGACCACTGTTGGGCCACGGATGGACTACGGATGGAGCACAGCTGGACCACTGTTGGGCCACTGTTGGGCCACTGTTGGACCACTGTTGGACCACTGTTGGACCACTGTTGGACCACTGTTGGGCCACGGATGGACTACGGATGGAGCACAGCTGGACCACTGTTGGGCCACTGTTGGGCCACTGTTGGGCCACTGTTGGGCCACTGTTAGGCCACTGTTGGACCACTGTTGGACCACTGTTGGACCACTGTTGGACCACTGTTGGACCACTGTTGGACCACTGTTGGACCACTGTTGGGCCACGGATGGACTACGGATGGAGCACAGCTGGACCACTGTTGGACCACTGTTGGGCCACTGTTGGGCCACTGTTGGACCACTGTTGGACCACTGTTGGACCACTGTTGGGCCACGGATGGACTACGGATGGAGCACAGCTGGACCACTGTTGGACCCCCGTTTGGGCCACTGTTGGACCACTGTTGGACCACTGTTGGACCACTGTTGGACCACTGTTGGACCACTGTTGGACCACTGTTGGGCCACGGATGGACTACGGATGGAGCACAGCTGGACCACTGTTGGACCACTGTTGGACCACTGTTGGGCCACTGTTGGGCCACTGTTGGGCCACTGTTGGGCCACTGTTGGACCACTGTTGGACCACTGTTGGACCACTGTTGGACCACTGTTGGACCACTGTTGGACCACTGTTGGGCCACGGATGGACTACGGATGGAGCACAGCTGGACCACTGTTGGACCACTGTTGGGCCACTGTTGGGCCACTGTTGGACCACTGTTGGGCCACTGTTGGGCCACTGTTGGGCCACTGTTGGGCCACTGTTGGGCCACTGTTGGGCCACTGTTGGGCCACTGTTGGGCCACTGTTGGGCCACTGTTGGGCCACTGTTGGGCCACTGTTGGACCACTGTTGGGCCACTGTTGGGCCACTGTTGGGCCACTGTTGGACCACTGTTGGACCACTGTTGGACCACTGTTGGACCACTGTTGGACCACTGTTTGACCACGGATGGACCACGGATGGACTACGGATGGACCACGGATGGTCTACGGATGGTCCACAGCTGGACCACGGATGGACCACTGTTGGGCCACCGTTGGGCCACTGTTGGACCACTGTTGGACCACGGATGGACCACAGTTGGACACCTGTTGGACCACTCATTGACCTTAGATGGACCACAGATGGAGCACAGTTGGACCACGGATGGACCACAGTTGGACCACTGTGTCATTTAAACTTGTATTGTGAGATCTTGGTTTTTTTATCTTGTTTTTCTAGGTACACACAGAAGTTAAAATATCAGTCCATGTCCAGTAATGCTTTGGGAAACGACCCCAAAGATATGCAGTACTACACTTTCATCTACAGGTGAGTCCACTAAAAAAATACAAACATTTGAAAACCTCGCAGTCTTAAATAGCCAGAGCATAGAAAAGGCGAGATTTAAAATGGTCCATTCTAAGCTTTAAAAACAAACAATAAAATCTCAATTCTAAAATTAACAGGAAGCAAATGCAACTATGCCAGAATTTGGTGTAATTGGGCGGCATGGTGGCTGAGTGGTTAGCACTCTCGCTTCTCAACAAGAAGGTCCTGGGTTCGAATCCATGTCGGAACAGGGCCTTTCTTAGTGGAGTTTGCATGTTCTCCCCGTGTCTGCATAGGTTTACTCCGGGTACTCCAGTCTCCCCTACCACTAAAAACATGTACAATAGGCCTGGCCCCGCTCTCTGTGTGTAGTGACAGAGAAATGCCCACAATTGTAAATCGCTTTGACTCTAGTCTGTGAAAGGTGCTATTCTTGGGTTTCATTAAACTCGCCAGTAGGGGGCGCATGAGCAGAGGTGGGACAACTCAGTTTTGCTCCCATTGAAAACCATGTAAAGTCTGTTTTGGAGTCAAAGGCTCTCCTCCTGTGCGGTGTACGGTTGTTGGAACAGTCTTAATCTGGGACACTCAATTCTAAGGAAGTACTAACAAATATTTCTCAAAAGAGTCTTGATTTCGGGCATTTTTGGAAAGAAAAACAGAAGAAATGTCTGCGTTTTATTGGGGTGGCCTGCAGGGGGCGCTTATCTGGGAAAGCCTTGATCCACCTCGCCCGCCTCATTCCAGTGATGTTTTCAAAGTGTCCTCCTTTATATGAGACCACAGTTGGAACATGAACAAACTCTGGTCTTTCTCTCTATTTGTGCGGTTGCTACAAACGTACACCGCACAAAAAGATGGTGTTTTGACAGCGCTTCTTCTTCTACTGTGTCTCCGTCACGTCCGGTCCTATGTTTGTTATTCGCGTCACTGCCCTGATGTCATATGAAACCCAAGAATATATATAAACATTACCTACTTACGTAATATGATCACACCTTCTGCTTCCTGTGAGTCTTTCCACATACTGTCTTAAGTCACCGTAGCGCCCCCGGGGTAAACTGTGCTGAAATACAGAATATACATAACTTTCCTTCTTTCTTTTCTACCCGAGAAGTTTTGCAGTGCGCCTTAACTGTGTTGTTTTCGTCCAATCAGAACGCAGACTGTTAATCTCACTGGACAGCACCAGCACCAGAGCTCTGCCTTCGTCCGACCTCCCTTTACTGCTCGCTTCCAAACCAACACCACGGGTGAGTAAGGGGCTGCGAACCCAAAAACATCAGCGCTTCAGAGTGTTCTTCCATTTTAACCCTTGTGCTGTCCTTTACTACTTTAACCGGACTCATTTAGACCCTTTAAGGTCCTAATTTAGCTATTTTATTTTTTCATTTTTAATCAACTGTGGTGGGTAATTTTGATCCAAGGGTATCACAAGTGTTAAAGTATATACACATCTGCACAAAAGTGGTACTGCAGCCTCTCCCACTCTCCCTGACTCAGGTTGCCAGATATGCAGACGAATCCAGCTGGGACCATAACAGCTGAATAGACAAGAGTTTTGTCAACAACAAATCTATAACCAACACCTTTTTCACAAAGATAGAAATCCTGGTTTTATTCCTTGTTTTGTCGTTAATGATTTGAGAATCATAACGAGACCTTTTTTAGTTCTGCGCCACATGGTACTTTACCAGTGAGATTAGCTCCACGCTGTGAGTTCTGGCGCCCGGATCACAGACTTTCTGATTGGTGAAACGGTGGAGGGCGGGACATCAAAATGAGAACAATAACAAGATTTAGAGGCTGGAAAAGTAATTTAGAAATTCAAATATTTCTGAACTACTGTTATCAGTTAAAGAAGTATTGGAAAAGAACATGTTTTATTAATGCCTTTGGACAGATTAGGGCCCTTTAATGATGACAGATTACGGCCCTTTAATGATGACAGATTAGGGCCCTTTAATGATGACAGGTTAGGGCCCTTTAATGATGACAGATTAGGGCCCTTTAATGATGACAGATTACGGCCCTTTAATGATGACAGATTAGGGCCCTTTAATGATGACAGATTACGGCCCTTTAATGATGACAGGTTAGGGCCTTTAATGACGACACATTAGGGCCCTTTAATGATGACTAGACATGAAAATCATGCATATTATGACTATAAAGTCTTGGATTTGATTTTAATTTTAAACCATAATTTCTGAAACTTGAAACTTGGAGCTTCCCTTAAAAACAGCGCCACCTTCTGTCACAAGTTTGTCTTTGCAGCTCTCTTTGTTTGATGTTTTTCTTTGATGTTTTTGTTAAAGCGGTGCCGGAGTTCATCCTCGTCCCTCTGCACTCGGAACCAACCAAAGCTGTTCAGGAAATGGACAAACTGGTGGATGTGTTTGAGGAGGTGGTCGACAAGTGGAACAACACGGTCAGTTTCTGATGCGGCTTCTTGGTCATAGACGTTCTCTTCTGTTTGATTTAGTGGAATCAGAGCACTTATATATAGTATATGCTAGAGTTTCGTTCGGGCCTGAAAAATGAAGCCCGACCCGGCCCGAGCCCGCTAATGTTAATCCCGAGCCTGTATAAGCCCGACCAATGAACGCTGTATAACAGGCCCGAGCCCGACAGAACCCGACACATCTGATTTCCTTGTTGTACGCACTCATCTTCCAATTGCAAGTTTAGTCTCCACTTTTGAATTTGTTTTGTCTCCACTTGATCCATTTCTACTATTGTTCCTGTTCGCTGTTGACCACAGCAGCAGGAGACACGGGGATGATGCGTTCACGGCTCGCTGCTGCTGTAGGACACGCTGGTTACGGTGTCATTAATATATTCACTTTTTTTAATAAGTTGTTGTCAATCAACGGACATTGTTATTAATATATATATATATATATATATATATATATATATATATATATATATATATATATATATATATATATATACAAAAAAAATTGTCCACTCACCTTTGGCCCTCCGCGGGCGGTTATCCCTCTCTAAGCTCGGGTCCTCTACCAGAGGCCAGGGAGCTTGAGGGTTCTGCGCAGTATCTTTGCTGTTCCTAGCACTGCACATTTCTGGACCGAGATGTCCGAGGTTGTTCCGGGGATCCGCTGTAACCACTCATCTAGCTTCGGGGTCACTGCCCCGAGTGCACCGATCACCACGGGCACTACTGTGACCTTTACCCTCCAGGCCCTCTCCAGCTCCTCTCTGAGACCTTGGTATTTCTCAAGCTTTTCATGTTCTTTTTTCCGGATGTTACCATCGCTTGGAATTGCCACGTCCACCACCACGGCTGTCCTCTGCCCTTTGTCTACCACCACGATGTCAGGTTGGTTTGCCATTACCATTCGGTCGGTCTGTATCTGGAAGTCCCACAGGATCTTCGCACGCTCATTCTCCACCACCTTTGGAGGAGTTTCCCACTTAGACCTTGGGGTTTCCAGCCCATACTCTCCACAGATGTTTCTGTACACTATGCCAACCACTTGGTTATGGCGTTCCATGTAGGCCTTCCCTGCCAGCATCTTGCACCCTGCAGTTATGTGTTGGATCGTCTCAGGTGCCTCTTTGCACAACCGACACCTTGGGTCTTGTCTGGTGTGGTATATCTGGGCCTCTATCGCTCTGGTGCTCAGTGCCTGTTCCTGTGCAGCCATGATGAGTGCCTCTGTGCTGTCCTGTAGGCCAGCCCTTTCTAGCCATTGGTAGGACTTCTTGAGATCAGCCACTTCTGTTATGCTCCGGTGGTACATGCCGTGTAGGGGCTTGTTCTCCCATGATGGGCTCTCCTCCAGCACCTCCTCATCTCGCCACTGCCTGAAACATTCACTGAGTACGTCATCCGTTTTGGCCTTCTCCATGATGTAGTTATGGAGTTTGGATGTTTCGTCCTGGACAGTGGCTCTCACACTCACTAGTCCTCGGCCTCCTTCTTTACGGCTTACATACAGTCTCAGGGTGCTGGATTTGGGATGGAACCCGCCATGCATGGTAAGGAGCTTTCGAGTTTTAACATCCGTGGTCTGAATCTCTTCCTTTGGCCACCTGATTATTCCTGCAGGGTATCTGATCACTGGCAGGGCATAGCTGTTAATTGCCCGGGCCTTGTTCTTGCCATTGAGCCGGCTTCTTAGGACCTGCCTTACTCGCTGGAGGTATTTGGCAGTTGCCGCTTTCCTCGTCACCTGTTCGAGGTTGCCATTTGCCTGTGGTATACCGAGATACTTGTAACTGTCTTCAACGTCTGCTATTGTTCCCTCTGGGAGTGAGATCCCTTCTGTGTGGACTACCTTGCCTCTCCGAGTCACCATCCTGCTACATTTCTCGAGCCCGAATGACATCCCGATGTCATGGCTGTAGATCCTGGTTGTTTGGATCAGAGAGTCGATGTCTCTCTCGCTCTTGGTGTTGTACAGCTTGATGTCATCCATGTAGAGGAGGTGACTGATCTTTGCTCCGTTCCTGAGGCGGTATCCATAGCCAGTCTGGTCAATTACTTGGCTTAGAGGGTTGAGGCCTATGCAGAACAGTAGTGGGGACAGAGCATCTCCTTGGTAGATACCACATTTGATGGTCACTTGTGCGAGCGGCTTGCCATTTGCCTCAAGGGTGGTCTTCCACATTCCCATCGAGTTTGCAACGAAGTCCCTTAGAGCCCTGTTGATATTGTACAACTTCAAGCATTCCATGATCCATGTGTGTGGCATTGAGTCGTAGGCTTTCTGGTAATCAATCCAGGCTGTGCACAGGTTGGTGTGTCGTGACCGGCAGTCTTGGGCGACTGTTCTGTCAACCAGGAGCTGGTGTTTGGCTCCTCTGGTGTCCCTACCAATGCCCTTCTGTGCTGTGCTCATGAATTGTTCCATATGCCCACTTATCTTAGCCGCAATGATGCCTGACATGAGCTTCCATGTATATATATATATATATATATAATATATATATATATATATATATATATATATATATAATTAGGGCTGGGATAAACGATTATTTTTTAAACGATTAATCTAGCGATTATTTTTTCGATGCATCGATTAATCTAACGATTATTTTTGTCGCTTCGCCTCTATTTCGATTCTTGATTATCTCCCCATTAATTGACTAATATTGATGTATACATGTTGATTTAAATATTTTAATGAAAAAAACATGAATTCCTTCACAAAAAATATGTATTGCTTGCTCTTAAAATTCAAAAATAAGACATTCTTAGAGGTAGCATAAAACCTTAAAGCCTTGAAAACACACAGTGTTGCCAACTTAGCGACTTTGTCGCTAGATTTAGCGACTTTTCAGACCCCTATAGCGACTTTTTTTCAAAAAAGCGACTACCGACAAATCTAGCGACTTTTTCTGGTGTTATTGGCGACTTATCTGGTGTTTTGGCGACTTATCTGGTGTTTTGGAGACTCGTGAAGCACGTATTGTTCTGCTGTCCTCAACGTGAGCCCCTCCCCCGTCCCAAAGCACTTACAGGCGGCCAGTCTCACAGTAGCCTTGCGCAGCAGTCCCAGCTACAGTCTATGGGCGGAGCAGAGAGAGAGAGAGGAGACTCAAAAGCACAGGAAGTTTTCAGGCTGCTGCAGACTGAACTTCAGCTCCACCACCACCACACATCCAAAGCTCCCCGGCCACTCCTACCACCGCCACCCCCCACTACCCCCCACTCCATCCGCGGCAGCTCTGTCCGTGACTCTGTTTTCTCTCAGTAGTGGGTCACATTAAATCATTTGTTATGCCAAACTATGAAAAAAAAAAAAAAACTTACAAAAATAAACCTAAGTAACTCTGCCAGAGTGTGTCTTTTGGGTCACTTTGCCGGTCCCAAGCCCGGATAAAGGAGGAGGGTTGGTTGTAGAGCTAGCAATTTCACCCTACATAACAATCTTTTGATTACATTTGCTGTTATAACATTTAACAATACAGGACAAAACTGATGTGTGTAATGTGGATCTAGACAAAGCATTAAAATCATTAAATGTTGTTAATGTTGAAATTATTTTTGTACATTTGTAGTTCTAAACATATTTAGGGTGTTTTTACTCACTTTTGTCTCTCCCACGACCTTATTCCTCTCTCCTACAGCGTCCGTTACAGTTATTTGCAAATGGCAAATTATGCAAATTAGGCGATGACGTCATTTAGCGACTTCTAGCGACTTTTGGGACAGCCAATAGCTACTTTCCTTACTGAGGAGTTGGCAACACTGAAAACACAGCTTACTGAAAAAAGTGCATCTTATCATTCTTGAAACAAACATTTGATGCTTAGCATTCAATAAAAATATGAAAAAGTTCAGCCAAATACTTGTGTAGAGCAACTAAAAGAAAACAGTAACCAATGCAAACTTGAAGGCTTTAAGCTAAACAAAGAGTGCTTTTCCAGCAAAAACAGTGGGAGCCCTCAGCCTGTCATGGCATCCTTCCTGAACCAACAGAGTTTAACATTTAAGTTGAAGACACATAGGCCTATATTACTGAAGTCCATTAATTAAAGTGCATCTCTTAAATTCTTCATTCATATAAAAATAACAGTCAAAACTCTGCCACTCACCTTTTTCTTAAACTCAAAATTCAAAAATAAAATTCAAGTAAGAGTGTACAAGAGAAAAACAATGCATTGTGTAGCAAATAAAAAGGTCAACCAGTCATCCTTTCTTTTAGAGTTACTGAAAGAATACAGTAGAAGTCATCTCAGAGGACTTAAAACAACATTGAAGTCACCAAAACAGATCAGAGAATCAATCAACAGTTAAACACATTAAGGATATTGAACACATGTTGAAAAATGTCCATATACGGCGGGCATGACAGTGAATAATACATGTAGGGGCTATTACGGGCGCCAATATTCCGTTTGATACAAAGAAAGACAGACTAGTTGTAAGCTGCAGAGTGGCCACAGGACGCGTCATCAGCCTACGTCAGCAGCCGCGGACTGCTATGAAAACATTAGCTTTGTGGTTTCACAGGCGCAGTTGACTGCTTAAACTAAACTTTGCACGAAACTTTGACTCTTAAAACCCACATGTGACAAAACGGAACCATCAACATCTCGCCTCAAATTGCATTAAAAGTGACATTCGTGTCTGAATTCGTTCGTATTTTAACTTTTAAAGAAATTCACGGTCCGCCATCTTGGTTTGCTTTGGCTGCCGTGAGACGCGCATGCGCAGGTTTGCATTACATGATAAACAGCTGAGGCTGTGCATCTCTTCAAGGCAGTGTATCTCAGCGTTACACCGGCTTGCACTAACACGGCACTCGCATTGCTACCGCTCGCCGCCATCTTTGTTTTGTGTGTGACGCACCGACGCGCATATTATACGTCGGTGTATTTTTTTGCGTTGACGTCACCGATTACGTCGACGCGTTGTCCCAGCCCTTTATATATATATATATATATATATAA